CGACGACTCGACCTCGAGGGTGATCTGCAAGGGAGCGTGCGGGTGAGCAAGAGGAGCGAGAGAAAGAGGAGAAGGAAGAGAACACACCGTCTTGCCCGTCAGCGTCTTGACAAAGATCTGCATGCCTCCGCGGAGACGCAGCACGAGGTGAAGGGTCGACTCCTTCTGGACGTTATAGTCCGAAAGAGTACGACCATCCTCGAGCTGCTTCCCCGCGAAGATCAAGCGCTGCTGGTCGGGAGGGATTCCCTCCTTGTCCTGGATCTTGGCCTTGACGTTGTCAATCGTGTCAGACGACTCAACCTCGAGGGTGATCTGCAAGGGAGCGTGCCAGTCAGCGAGAGGAGCGAGAGAACGAGGAGAAAGGAGGGCAACACACGGTCTTGCCCGTCAACGTCTTGACAAAGATCTGCATGCCTCCGCGGAGACGCAGCACGAGGTGAAGGGTCGACTCCTTCTGGATGTTGTAATCCGAAAGAGTACGACCATCCTCGAGCTGCTTCCCCGCGAAGATCAAGCGCTGCTGGTCGGGAGGGATGCCCTCCTTGTCCTGAATCTTGGCCTTGACATTGTCGATCGTGTCCGACGACTCAACCTCGAGGGTGATGGTCTTGCCGGTGAGGGTCTTGACGAAGATCTGCATGGTCTGTGGCGAGAGCGAGACGAGGAGGAGGAGGAGGTGTGCGAGCCAGATGAGGAGGAGGAGGTCAGCGAGCAAGTCCACGCCGACGCCGAGTCTGTGTGATCGGGCACTACGAGCAGCTACACAGAACCCTCTGAGCACCGTGCAACACTCTTGCGTGCCCACAAAGCCGCCACCGCGCCCAGCGAACCTCGTCTCGCCCGCCACTTCCCGCCCGAACCCCCATCCACCACGCGCGCGCCGCTGGCCTGGTAGAACGAGACTCACGATGCTTTGAGTCGAGTGTGCGAGTGTGTGTGTGAGGAGAATGTGCGTGTCCGAGAGTGTGTGAGTGACTGTGCGGGGTGGCGATGACGGGGCTAATCAGTCAGCGAGCGATTACAAGCGAGAGTGTCTGCGCCAATACAAACTCGACTCACGAGATCCGAATCGCTCGAGTGCGAGTGGTCGAGTGAAGTGGGCGGGTGCAAGAGACGAAGGGAGCGAGGCGAGCAGAGCTTGCTTTCGCTGTGTGCTGACTGTCGCTTTGCGAGAGTTGCGCCTCGCCCGCCGTCGAGATTGTTCGGCTGCGGAGCGTTCCGTCGCGTTCTCTCCCGAGCGAATAGCCAAGTTGCGCAAACAGGCAACTCTTCGAACGCACCGCTCCGTCAGCTCAGCGAATCGATCCTGGCGCATCCGAGGGATCTGCCATCGTAGGCGAGGCTCTGGTCAAGCGGGCCAGAAGCGAGCGAGCGAGGAAGAAGCGGGAGGAGGCGAAGAGGCGGACTTTGACCGCATGGCTCCGTCGCTGGGCTGGATGGAATAGTATAGCAACACGGTGTAGAGAGAGGCAGGGCACGGCAGTTGTGCGAGTCATAAAGGGCGGCAGGCGGGATCACGGGTCGACAAAGACCTTGATCTGCTCGTTGAGGTAGCTTTCGAGCTTGTTGGCGTTCTTGACGTCTGTACAGGAGCAGCAGCGTCAGTCGCAATATCGAAAGAGGTAAAGGGGCACGCACAGTTCGACTGGGCATCGTTGTACTGCCGGCAGTTGGCAAAGATGAGGCGCGCGTCGTGGAGGAACTGGTCGAGCGTCTCGTAGCTGTTCGCCTCGAGCTTCGACTCCATCGTCGCGAGGTCTGTTGCGGACGAGCATCAGTGAGTGTTGACATTTAAGAGGGAGAGGGAACGGACCCATCGGCTCCTTGATCACGTTGTAGTAGTCCGTGACCTGCTCGCTCGAGTGTTAGCGGACGCTCGCCTCCCTTACAAGCTACTCTACGCACCTCTTCGGCGTTGACCGGGTTCGCGAACGCCCATGAGCTTGGGTGGTCGATCATGAGTGTGAGGAGCTTCTTCATCACCGCGAACTGTGGGCCTCGCTTCGGTCGTCTGGTCCTGTATTCGCCAAGCAGCTCTATCAGCTCACCGCAAAAGAGAGAGGGGGACCGCATGCGGAGGCGAACGCACAATTGGTCCATCTCAGGCGTCCACCCACTCTCCTTCAACCCCGGCACCAAACTCGGATCGATCTTCGTCCCGGGCGGATGTTGCGCGAAGAACGCCAAGCCGGGATGTACGACGTGCGATTGGGAGAAGAGGCGGATCTTGGAGCGGATGAGCTGCGCCAGGAAGGAGGTTAAGCCGTGATGAGGAGGAGGAGGGCGGGGAGACGCACCTCTTTTTGTTGGGCGAGCATGGCGGAGACTTTGAGGTACTCGACGCGGGGCAACATGGCGCACTGTGCAAGAACGTGTTAGTTCGGAGCTTATTAAGCGACCGAGAGGCGCGCGACTTGCGTGCATGATCGTACCGCCCTCGTAGTCCTTGATGTAACCCGCCCACACGCTCCGGTCGAGCTTGATCTCCTTCGAAAAGCCCTGCGTTCGACAATTTCGTTAGCGCAAAGCAGCAGGCGTAGTGGGAGGGTGAACGCACCTGCTTCTTGAAGTAGCCGATAGCGTAGTTGTCGGCGTACGTCAGGAAGTGCATGCACTTGGTCGTCTCTTTGACGATGTCCTTGAGGTGGTTCATCATGTGCGAGCCGTAACCCTGCGGGACAAGCCGTGTATCAGCTCGTAGCCCACTGAGAATAGCAGTCAAGCCAGCGCACCTTCACCTGCTCGGTACCCGTGACCGCACAGAAGACGATCTCCGCAAACCCTTGCCCGTCGAACGGCCTGTACGTGATCCCGCCAACGACCTCCAGTCCCCTCTTGACAATCGCCAGGCTGTAATGCGCGCGGTCGAAGACGAGTCGAGCGATGTACTCGCGCGGCATCTTCGGCAGCTGCTTCTGAAAGATGTTCTTGAGGCCGGTGAGAATGATCATCGATTCGGGCTTGCCGTCATTCGTCACGACGGGGAAGCGGATAATGCCGGCGCGTTCTTCGGCGATGGAAGGTCGCTCCTTCCGAGGCTGCGAGGCGAGAGTCAGCTTCGCATCGAAATCGGCCCCATGGGAAAGACGTACCGCCTCCGTCACCTCTTCGGCATCCTCACCGTGCACAACCTCGACGTCAACATCTTCCTCCTTGACCTTGACAGCCTTTGGATCCTGGTCAAGTGCCCGCGCCCCTGCAACTCCCACGCCGTTGACCTCCTTCAGCTGCGCTCTTCGTCGCTCCACTTCCTCTCGCGCCGCAACCGCATGCTCGAGCGCCTCTTCTCCCCGTCTGCCTTTCCCTCCCTGCGTAGCCCGCGATCCCTTTCCTGCCGTTGCGCCTGACCCATTCGCCGCGCCGCCTCGCCCAGGCTCAGACGAGGGTACCGTCTTGGCACTGACGACGTGATGACCCTCTGCCGCTGCCTCTGCCACCCGTTCCGCATCCTCGACTTCCGCAGGAGCAGCCGCACCCCGTCCCTTCTTCCGCCCTCCCGCCTTCCGAGGACTGCTCGCTCGACTGCCGTTCGTACTAGGAGCCGGTTGCGCAGCAGTCGGCGGTGCAGACTTGACTGCTGCGGCGAGTTGGACTTCAGGACTGGACCCTCGCGACTCGTCGTCGGTGAGGGACGAGAGCGAGTCCTGGCCGGGTGAGAGGGCGCGCGAGGGTGCTGTAATGGATGTTGGAGTGCCTGTGCGGGACGTTGCGGCTGACCGGGTGGGCGAGAGACGTTGTCGCTTCGAGTTGGCGGGCGAGGGGGCAGGAGGAGGAGACCGCTTCGCCATGGTTTCTGGCGGGCGCTGGCGGTATCTCACGCGTGCAGGTTGCCTATTTAGCCGTCACGAAAGCAGATTGAGCCAGCCAGAGCGAGTTGACAGCGAGTGAACTTCGACAGACCGTCTTCATCAGTTCACGAGAGGGTTGCTCGCGACCACGACTCGCCCGCATCGCTAGAAGGGCCAAAGGTCTCGCAAAGAAACCCTGGTCGGTGCACTCGCATTTGCTGAAGCAGCGCAACCTCGCTCGAATCGCTCACTGACTTGCTAGCTCTCCCTTCTCCCCCTCGCCCGCTCATGCCGAATGACCACGCTTACAGACCGCTGTACAATCTACGCAGTCCACGCCGACTGCTCCATACCATGCCCCACACCCGCCATCTCCAGCCCGAGCATTCCGTCGTCTTCGCCCGTTCCCTCCGGATGCAACAACCGCCAAAAATCGATAGCCGGGTCGTCGCCGAGTCCCATGCCCGTCAAGTCGAACAGCCCCGACTCGCTGGCACCAGGCACGCTCGACTGGAGCGCGTCGCGCGCCATCGGGTCCTGCGCGACGAGCGATTCTGACATCCCGAAGCCGCTGCCGTCCGGCTCGGACGTCGAGTACGAGCCGCCGAGGCCAGCAAAGAGTGCTTCGAGTGCTTGTTGCGAGAGGGGCGCGGAAGGGAGGACGTGGGCGGACGGGTCGGGCAGGACAAAGGTCGGCTCAGACTCGTTGGTCTGCTCGGGGACCGGCGGTAGGCGCAGCGAGGTGGACGAGGAGGCATTCGACGCGAAGAAGGGAGTTTTGCTCGTGGCAACGCTGGGCGTGACGACCGGGAGAGGCGGGACAGAGATAGCTGCCGAGCTCGATGAAGCGATGCGCTTGGCGACCGTGTCGAGGCGGGCTGATTCGCCCGGCGAAGCGGCGAACGAGTCGGGCGCCAGCGACATGCCGCCTTGTTCGTCCATCGCGCGATGCTTGGTTTCCTCCGCCAGCAGAGTCGACAAGAGTGAAACGCCTCGAGCGGCGATGTGACTGCTTGGCGCAAGCTGCTGCAGCTCGTAGAGCGCATGCTGCACCTCGACGCGCTTGACGGGGACGCTCGGGTCCTCGGGCGACTGGAAAATGTCGAGCATGAGGGTTGTCGCAGCCGAGATGGTGTGGTACGGCAAGGTCCAGTACGCTGAGATCGAGTTCGGCGGACTGCGAGCGAGTTGCTGGATGATGCTCCGCGCTGCTTCGGTCGCAACGCGGCGAGAGTAGGCAAAGCGCTCGTCGGGGACGGTGAGGAAGGTTCGATGGACGACGAGGAGCTTGTGCGAGATCGAAATGATCCAGTAGTGTCGGAATTTCGCAGTCCAAGACGGGTAGCCCTCGGCGCCGCTCATCTCGGCCTTGAGGAACGCCGGGCCGTCGAGGATGATGCTTCGCAGCGCGCGATCCGCCTCGAGGCAGTTCGGATACGAGAGGGCCGAGTGCGTGTGGATGTGCTCGAAGAAGCGCCGCATGCAGTCGGCGACCTTATAGAGCAGGATCGTCTTGGACGCCTCGGTGGGTTCGTCCTGCGGGCGGTTGACCATGCGACCAGCGGCGAGGTCTTCGTCGGTGCAGTTGAGCGGGAGAGGCGTGGAGAAGTGTGTTGGCGAGATGAAATAGGCCCGTCGGCCGTGATGAGATATCCAGTCTCTGCGAGAGCGAGCGAGCGAGAGTCAGCTCAGGAAGGGTGGAGTCGACGGAGCGCACTCACTCGGTGACGAGGCCGTACCAGACCCGTTTACGGATCTCGCGCTCAATCAAGCCCTTGATACCCTGCTCGCTCGTCGGGTCGACGCCGTTCTTCCGCCGCTTCGCATCCCACTCGGCATCGCTCCGGAAGCGATGAAGGTTGAGCGCCTGGGCGATCCGCAAGCCGGCTGCGAGAAGCGTCGCAATGAGGTCCGATTCGCCGACGTCTTGGCACGAGACGGCGAAGAGGTTGATTGCCTGGACGGCGTAGATCGAGTGCTTGGCCATGAAGTTCGAGCGGTAGAGCGCGTCAACTGCGGCGTCGAAGAAGCGCTTGGCGAGCGGGCGCTGCTCCTGAGTCGCGATGCCGTACTTGTCGATGTCCTCGGGCGTCATGTGCTTGACGGCGACGCAAAGTACGGCGAAGTAGAGCGCAAGCCAGGCTTGGTTGACCTTGGTCGCTCGCTCGGGACCCCAGGAATGGAACTGCGCCGCTTCTTGTCGGAATTGGCCCGTGTGGGTGCCGCCGTGCTGCCACAAGACGTGTTCAAGCGAGAACTCGACGTAGGCGTGACCGGTCGCTTCGTCTGGGAGGACCGCATCCACCGCTGACAGATGAGTTCCTGTAGAAGAACCGACACCGTCCGCAGCGGGTCCAGTTGCAGCGTGGGGCGCAGCTGTCGTAGACGAGCGCTCCAGCGCGATAGGCAAACGCTCGTCTGCGTCGTTCGACGGTCGCCGGAGCTCGGCGCGGGAGAAGTGACTCTCCTTGCTGTCATGGCCGAGAGCGAGGAATTCGAGCGTGACGGCCGCTTCAACTTCGTTGTCTCGCGGCGCTGCCTGCTGCTGGTGAGGCGAGATAGGGTGGAGGGAAAGAAAGTCGCCGGCAAGAGGAGTGTTGAGGGCGGAAGTGGACGGCGTCGGGAGAGCAGCGGAAGGGACGTCATGTCGCAGGCGGTTGAGGTCGACACCCCACATGGGGTTGCCAGTGTCGTCGACAGCATCAGGTTGAGGAACGAAAGCGCGCAAGACTCGCTCGAGATGGTGGAGACGTTGGCGAACAACGTTGACCGAGCGGGAGATGGCCTCGTATTCGTTCGAGGTTGCTAACCGCGGCGGGCCAGAAGCGGTTGAGAGGGCAGAGACGGGTGTCGAGCCTCCACTGTAGACCGAGATGGTCAGCGTGTCATGGCGGGGCACTGACAGACGAGCGTACGGAGGAACAAGTCCGACATTGTCGTCCTCTAACCGGCACAGGTGGACTTTGCCGCGCTTGATGCACTGTAGGGGAGGGTCGTGTCAGTCGATCCTTCCACAAGCACTCAACGAACGCACCTGTCCACAGCCGGGCACGACACGGTCACAGCGGATCTTCCGTCTGGATGAGGAACACGTTAAGTCAGTCCTTGCGCTTCGAGTCGGCGCTGCAGACGCTGGGCCGAGGTGTGTGCGTACCTGGTACATTCGGTGCACTGCCAGCGAAAGAAAGCGCAAGGTTAGCTAAACAAGGATGAGGAGAGAGGGAGAAGGTCCGGGACCCACCGACCAGCTGGGGCGCTGTGACTTCTTCTTGCCCTTCCTGTCCGGTCCAGCAGCGCTCGTCTTACCCTCCAGCCCGTCTCCCGTGCCACTCGCTGAGGTTGTAGGAGCTGTTGATGAACTCGCGGCGGGCGGAGACGCCGCGACGTGGATGTCGTTCGTAGGCGGTGAGCGGGACGTGCTAGCTCTAGGAGGCATAGTAGCAGTGCGCGCGGGCCTCGCAGCTGTTCGTACGGCGGGTGAAGCGAGAACGAGGAGGACAACCCGCCGATAGCGGCTCGCCCGCTATCTTTCAGGCTCACGAAAATCGAGGAGCGCCGTGTAGAGTCATACGAGCTTCAGTACACAGTACTCGCTACGATCCGAGACCGCCGCACCCGCCAAGCGAGAATGGCTCCTATCCCGCCTTGACCGCTTCGTCCTCCTCGTCTCGCTTCTTCCTGCCCGCAAACCACTTCCCCCGACCTTCCTTCTCCATGTCCAGCAGCCTCCACGTGTTGCACCCTTTGCCGCCGTTCGCCGCGCCCGCATTGCAGACCCAGAAAAAGACCATCTCGTCCTGCTCGTCTCCCTCCGCTGCCTTGCCGTGCTGTCGGGCGAGGGATGCCCGTGCGCGGCCGCGACCGTCAGGGCGGAGGGTGCAGGGTACTCCGCAGGCGCAGAGAGGCGTGCCAAGGTAGCCGGGAGGAGAGAAGGACGTGCGAGGAGCAAAGTCGGCGCGATAGTGTCGGAAGGTGAGCTGCGAGGTCACGGGACGTCAGAAAGATTGGCAGAGACAGTTAAAGCGCCAGGCAACGCACGTTGATCCGCTCGTTCCACTTCTTGCGCTCTAGCTCGTCCTTCTCCTCCCTCGGGAACGCCTCGCTCGTATCGAGGCTTCCTCGAGGCAATCGAAAGACGTCCATCCCGTTCATAGGCGGTACCGCATGCTTGTACCGCTCTTGACAGCCGGCGTGCATGATGAGGAGCGAGTTGTGCGGGAGAATGATGTCGAGCGTACGGATCTGAGGTGGAGGCTGGGCGGAACCGTCTGAGGAGGACTGCGAAGATGGGATGAAAGGCCGTAGCCGGAAAGGGCGGGTGCAGCCAAGTGTGAGGGAGGCGATGGTCGGATACGGCCCGAGGTACTGCAGGACGTCCGAATGGAACCCGACGCTTTCCTTCGATCCGCGGTAGCAGTTGGCGACCGCGACGTTCGGCAGCCAGTCACCGTCCCATTCGAGCGGATGTCGCTCTCGACCTGCCAGCAGCGTGCGGACGAACTCGCCGACGAGTTGGCGGGCTTCGTCCTGGTCGCGGGTGAAAGCGCGAGCAGTCCGTTTGACACCGTTGTACCAGTACTGTGCGGACTCCTCCGAGAAGCGGTCAGTAACGAATGGCCGACATAGGTAGAGCTGGAGCGAACGAAGGACGCACCTCGTCGAAACCAGCGGCATCGTAGCCTGCTTCCGCACTCAGCTTCTCCGGCAATTCGCGGTAGAAGCAAGAAGTATGAGGCGAAGTGACTTCTCGGTCGACGAGGTACCACTTGTTTTGCGACCCTGAGAGAGGTGAAAATCAGTCAGTCGCGCGCAAGCTGGCAGAGTCGGGAACGACTGACAAGCCCTGTCTCCCTCTCCTTCCCCGACGCTCTCCTTCACCATTTTGACGTACAGTCGTGCAGCGAGTTCGGGCGGCAAGGCATCCTCAACGAGCGTCACGAGCCCGTTCGTGTGTTTCGCAACGAGGGCAGGGGTCGAGACGGTGAGCGGGGGAAGGTTGACATGGGTCGGTGCGGGCTGAGAGGCAGTAGCAGGAGTCCTCGAGGGCTTGAGCAGGTCGAACGCGGATTTGCTGGTCGCAGGAGCGGAAGGAAGGGGGTCCTTGTCGTCCTCCGAGTCACTCAGGATAAGTACCTCGCCCGTCTTCACCTGCTTGTCCCGCCGGATCCACCCAGCGAGTCCCTCGTTCTCTACCTTCTTTCTACGCCGCTTCCTGCTCCCGCCTGCCTCGACGATCGCCTCATTCCGCTCGATAGCGGCAAAGGCTCTTTCGACGTTGTAGCTGGACGCTGCGAGGTATTTGGCGAGTAGGGATCGACTGTGTGAGGGAAAGAGAGCCTGTAACGTGTCCAGCTGCTCTGCCTGTGACATTCGAGCGTAGTCACACTGGTCAAGAGGCGGCGAGGAGAGGGTTGGAAGCGACCACACCGCTCGCTTCGCTCTGACCGCTCGAAATGCCTGCGAAGAAGTCTTCTGTTACCCAGCCAGCTCAGTCGGAGCACTCGCAGCTTCTCCCAGGAACCGCTCGTTCGTCCACTCTTCCTCATCAGCCCATGACGAACTCGCTCACTCAACCCGCCCACACTCGCTTGTGGTCCGCGCAAACAGCTCCGCCATACTCAGAACTTCCAGAGCAAACGTCACCACACCCTGCAGGCGGACCGTCCTCGCACCCCTTCCCCTCGACCTCAGGCGCCCGAATCCCTTCCCACCCTTCCGGCCCCACCGCCTTCCACTCCCTGCCCGTCCCAAACACTCCCCACACGCAACTCGACCTCCACGCATACACGACAGGCCTTCGAGCGGCGGACCGGCGAGCACGCTACAGGTTTTGTGGCGCGCTGTTCTGGGGATTCGTCTTGTGGATCGTCCTGGGCGCCATCGTGGGCGGAGTCATCGGCAACGAAGTGGCGAGGAATAGCGGGAAGGCGAGAAGGAGGTGGGAGGAGGAGCGCGGCAGGGTTGGAAGGTGGTTGCGTGTGAGCGGGAATGCGCGAGCGGCGGTCGCAGAGGTACGTTGCACCTATTCTTCCAGCGACTCGGCCGGACGAATGTTAACGCGGACCGTACGCAGACAGAGACATCGTCGTCGGCAGTCCCTCCACCTCCTCCCTTCTTCGCCGCCATCTAAGTCTCGCCGCTCGTCATCCCTTGCACGTCCCTTCCGTGTTCGCCAACCACCGCAGTTCCCCTACTAGCAGTCTTACCTAATCGCCCTGTCGTTGTCCCTATTCAGCCTGCTTTCTCGCCATCCTTGGCCACCAATCCACTTGTAACACTGCGAGGCTCTGACTCCCCTCTGCTCTTCGATCCGGTCAGGCAGCGAGGGCGATCCAGTCAGCAGCGCGTTCGCGCAGGCAAGGATAGCGGTACAACACAGCTGTCGGATTGGGCAAAGGAGAGCGCTAGTGCGCTACTGATCCTTCACTCGTCGTCATCGTCTCCTCCCGCCGCTCCGCCTTCATCTCCAGTCGCCTGTGCCTCCTCCTCTTCATCATCATCCTCGACCCTCTTCTTCTTCTTCGGCCGCAGATCCGGCAACTCCTCCTCCTCCTCCTCCTCGCTCAAGTCCCGTCCCCTCTGCTTCTCCCTCCGCTCGTCATAGTCTCCATCCTCCTCCTCTTCCTCGTCGTCCTCGTCAGACCCAGCGGCTCGTCGCTTCTTCTTCTGCTGCAGCTTCTTGCCCGTACCGGAGGCGGCGGCGGGAGTCTTGGGCGGAGGAGCGGCATCGCGGTTGACGGCTTCGCCTGTGGGCAGCAAGTAGATGTCAGCCTCGTTGTGTCGCAGCGGGTTCGCGCGAGCGAACGAGTGCAGAAGAAAGGGACGTACAGGCGTCGATCCACTGCGAGTAGAGGTCGACCGGCTCAGAGAGGTCTGCGGAAGTCACGCCAGCTCGTCAGCTTGATCACTCCACCCACTTGACACAATCCAGCAATCCTGCTCGTCGCTCGCGCGAGACTCACGGTTGATGTCGGCCTGTTGTGAGTACGAGGAGGAGCAACGAGTCAGCCGCAGCTCATCCCGCCTGAGCGATGGTCGCGGTACGCACCTGGAAGCTCTGCCCGCAGTCCTTGCAGTCCAACCGCCCTATCCGCGTCTTCATATCCCTGCGAGCCGGCTTCATCAGCTTCGCGCACCACACGGACCGTACGCGGTCCTCACGCACATTTTGCAGGTCACGCTGCCCTGGTGAGCGCAGAACAGGCATCGAAATGACTTGTCTGTCTCACAGAAGCTCGTCAGTGCGGTGGAAGACGCAGGTTGGCGGAAAACAGGCGACGGACCAAGAACTTGCTTGATGCGCTTGACCTGCGGCTTTTTGCTGGACTTCCTCTTACCCATGTCGAGTATCCGGAGCTTCGGACGGTCTCTGGACGTCTAGAATGGGCTCGGCAGCGAAAGAGAGTGGTGTGTCGAGAGGAAACCCGCGAGTTCGCTGATGAGGAGGGTTACACTCCGACTTGTCGCCCAGCTCACGGTTAATGGGCTAGAAAGGGCTTTGCGAACCATCCAGATTTGGACGGCGCCGTCTGAGGCAGCGCGACCTTCCACAGCCAGTTGCGACACCCTGTCCTCCTCGCAAACCTCTGCCGCTTCGCTCGCGCTGGATAGGGATCCACAGGGATGCGCTCTTGCATCTCGATGCCCCGTTTACTCACCGTGCACGTGCTCCTTACCGGCGTGCACGCTGCATTGGTGCGGCGCTCCTCCTAACGTGACCTTCAACGAGGACAGGGCACTTTGCGGTGCCTCGTTGGTCGGGGAGTCCGCCGGATACTCCGTGCGCATCAACAGGGAATCTTTCCTGAGCGGAAGGTCCGCGGAAGGCCCGCGGTCGACGTCTTTCGCCCTCGTCCTGTTCCCTTCTCGCGCTTCTTTCGCCTTCTCCTCACCGACTCGCTATGCGCTACCCGCTGCCCGACTTCCTCGAGAACTTTCCAGGCTTCCGCGAAGCGTACGACGCGCTGCTGCATGTCCCTTGGTCGCCGCACCAGATCATCGAGCGCGAACTTGTTCGAGGGATTGAAGAATCTCGCCAAAAGCGCATCGAGGCGGGCCACGAGGCAATGCCAGGCGATCTTCGTCGCGGTATCGAGGCTATTGTAGCTTGCATGAGGCATGCCGCCGACGCTGCCCAATCCGCAGCGGATGAGGATAACATATCGCCGGCCGGTGTGTTGCAGAAAGGCTACATCGTGCGTCGAGTTTCTCGACACAAGAAGGCGCCTCACTGACCAGAATGGCTTGTTCTGCTGAGGAGACGGGCTACGCCGACTTCCAGGACGAGTACCGAGACGCCGTGCGGTTTCAGCGGAGCGTAAGCCTGATCTCCCGCCCGCCTTTGGCCGCTCTCTTTCTTGGGGGGTGAACTGACCATTGTCACGACCTGCAGGGAGCTTGGCACCCCAGAAACATCTCGCAGGCCGTCGACCACCACTTGCGAACCGAGTGGGCAAAATTCAAGGAAGGGCGGTCAACCATCAGCCGCCTCATCCGAGCCGCGCTGGAATCGATCGAGCTGAGAGACCCTCAAGGCGACCATGGGCAGACTACGACGGCTTACAACGGCGCTGAGAAGAGGGACTGGCTCAAATACATCTCGTCGTCCGAATCGGCAACTTCCCGCCTGTGCGCGACCATCGTCGAGCACGACGGTCATGAACAGTTGCTGCGATGCCTCGCTCTCCTCAATATCAACTGCCAGAACTACGACCTCGCACTCCGTTACCTCGGCTCGCGGTCTCAACTCTGGGTGAGCCTAACTCTCTGTCAAAGCTTCGCAATGGGCTCACTCGTGTGTGCTACATACCAGCCATCCGACGATCTGTTATGCAGCGTCATCAGCGACCGCCACGCAGCCATCTATACGGTTCGGACCTCGTCCTCTTTGTTCCTCCCCGTCGTTCGCTTCCGCTAACTCCTAGTCCCCGGGCAGCATATCGACCTTGTTGGCACTTTTTTCGATCCCGTATGCCTGGCGAAGTCCTCAAGCTGCCAGGGATGACTGACTGTTTCCCTCGTCACGCCCCATCCTCTTCCTTCCTTCTCCTCTCACGCGTCTCGCCCCTTGCGCGGCCGACTCGTCCGTCTTTCTGCCTCCGCTCAAGATGGGAATTGACCAGCGGGAGTAGCGTGGTTAAAGGCAGTGAACGCTTCGCAGGCAGTAATCAGGGACGCCTTCTTCACCTCTACGGTTGTCCATAAGCCTCTTCCGTGATCGCGGCTGGTGACTGCACCTGTTCCGCTCCCTCTTCCGCTGCGAGTAGCTCTAGAATCCGTAGCGTGTGCAATTCGGTGTGAAGTCTGGGTGAATTCTCTTTCTTGTCCTCCCTCCACCGTACCTCTTCTCCCGGTCTTCAGAAGCTGACCTTGCGTTCGCACGCTGTCTGAGAGCATTTCAGCTCAATCGCTCGCCAGCAGAAGCGCCCCAACGCGTCATTCCCTCCTCACCCTCGTCGCCCCGTACCCGCCTTCTCACCTGCCCTTCGCCTGCTCCCGCCCGCTGAGCATACCGCGCACGTTATCCAGCTTCCTACTTTCGCCAAGAAGCGTTGACGCTAGCACGCGCGTCCACGAGGCTGGCTGCTCGCTTTCTTCTCGCCTCTCATCGCCCATCTCGCCAAGCGCCACGGCGACACACGACGCTGAGCGCGTCGCATATACCATGCGACACCTCACGACAGGGATTCTGCACGAGACTCCCTCGGGCGCCATCTCTTCCAGACGAGCGCGTGCGGGTCGATTGGTTCCTGCTGGCGACGCTGGATGTTGCAAGGAGACGGGACGGATTGCTGACGACTGCGAGGGACGGCCACACGTAGTATTACGCTGTGCTGACTGCCAGACGCGCAATTCGGGCGCCGCGGATGTCCCGCTCGAAACCGTCGACCTCGCGACCTGTCGCTTCTTCCCAACTTCGTACCTTGCTTCTCTTTGCTTCTCTCTTCATCTACGCCGGCAATCCTGCACGTCCACGATGCATCACCCTCTCCCCCAGCCACTCGAGACGTTCCCAGGCTTCCGCGAGGCGTACGACAACTACTGCCTCGCCCCGTGGTCGTGCCACCGCGCCATCGAGCGCGACCTGATCCCGCACATGATGAAGGTCTACAGCAAGTTGGGCATGTCCGGCGACTTCAAGACCGGCGTCCAGGCCCTCATCGGCTGCATGAAGTTTGCGACGGTCGCTGCCGAGCGCGCCGATCACGAGGACAGCATCGACCTCGTTGGACAGACTGGCCGTCTCCGGCAAGGTGTCATTGTACGCGACGATTCTTCCATGAAGCGCAGCGGACCCCTGATCTCTGTCGCGCCAACGCACACGCAGCTTGCGTACGGCAGTTTCGAGGTGGCTTTCACGCATAGCGTGAGTACGGCTCCACTTCTGCATTTCCAAGATTTCTACCGACAACCACTGTCGGTACGCTGCACAGCTGCCGGTCGCGGCCATGCCTGAGGGCTGGCAACGTGCTGAGCCAGGCTTCAGGGTGGAATGGGCGCGTCACAAGCAGGGACAGTCAACCATTACCCGGCTCTTGCGCAGCATCCTATCCAACGTGCCGACTGCCACACCCAATCCCACCGAGGAGGCCCCCAACGGCGCGTCGAAATACGACTGGTTGGGTCACATCACCTCGAGCGCCTCCGCAACGCATCGCGCCTGCTCGATTATACTGGAGCACGGCAGTGAGGGGGAACTCTTTCGACGACTGGTTCTCTTGAGCATCAATGTGTTCAACTACATCACCAACATGCGATCCTACAGCCTCTTTGTGCGTTCCAGGTCGCCAGATGAGGGCAAGCAACGGCTGAGCTGACTGTTTGTGGGTTCTCGCCCAGCCCTCTGACGACCTGATCTGCGGCGCGATCGGCGACGCCAAACTCGCCATCTACGCGGTGCCGTTGCCCGGCTTCCTTCGCTTCTACAGCGGCGCTGACTCCCGCTCTTGCAGCATCCCGACCTCGTCGGCACGTACTACGGACCAGTGCGTCAACTCCTGGCTGCTCGCAAGGGCTGGGACCTGGACTTACCCTTCGCTCTCGCAGGAAATGCCCGCTCCTGCCTCCCCTCATTCTCACACACCGCACTCGCTCGCCAGCCCGCTTGTCCTCAAGTCGCAAATTGACCGCCAGCGTCGTCGTCTGCGTGGTGGTGAGCTTGGTCACTGGTAGAAGACGCCCAATGCGCAGAATCCCGTCCTTCGCCGCTTCGCTCGTTCCGCAAGCTCGCTTCGCCTCGTCCTCCCGCCCAATACCAGTCTCTACGCTCTCATCTGCAAGGCAACTCGTAGACTCGTCGACTCCCTCCGTCCCCAGCATTTGAACCTGCAACCGATTCTCTCGTCGTCGCTTCCCTCGCCTCGATGCCTCACGCACTCGTTGCAGTCGAATCATCCTGCACGAGAGCGTCCTTGTGCGAGTGCAAGTGCCGCTGCATCGCATAATCCGAGACCAGCTTGCGAGCGGATATTCATTTCCCCTCGTCTCGACTTGCTCTCTCGCTCGCTCTCCTCCTTCCCTTTCCCCTTCGTGCCGCCGTAGTTGACTGCCATGCTCGTTTCCACGTCTCGCCGATTCCTCACCCGCGTGCGTCTCGCTCGGGCGCCATCTCATACGCGCCGGCTGACAGCCCCCCGCTTCCTCCCTCAGCAGCTCCCGACCCGCGCCTTCTCGACCTCGTCCGCGCGGCTCGACGTCAAGAAGACAGTCTCTAAGATCTACCCCTCGGCGGAAGAGGCCGTCAAGGACGTCAAGGGCGACTCGATCGTCCTTTCCGGAGGTGAGCAGCAGGTTCGAACTGGTCCTGCCGCGGTTCGCCGGCTCATGTGCTACACCCCGGCCGGGGGCGTGTTAGCATTCGGGATGTGCTGATAGACTGGACGTGCACCGTGCGGGGCAGGGCCGCTTACGCTGCGAGCAGTGTGGACGACGTTGTTCGACGATATTAGCGGGAGGAGGATCGCATCCTCCCGAAACTTGTCCTCGTCCTTCCGGCTGCTGCTTGACAAGTGCTGCGGGCTGCTGACACCTTTGTCGATTCTGACGAGTCCCGCCGCGATCGCCTATACCTTCAGCACCAGCGCAAACTGAACTTCCCACTAACGTACCTTTCCCTCCTTCTCTGCACAGGCTTCGGGTTGTGCGGTACCGCAGGTGCGCTGCCCTGCGCCTAAGGTATTTCTCTAGCCAAAGCTAACCGACCGCCTCGGTACAGACACCCTCATCGGCGCCCTCGCAAAGCGCCCCGAAGTCAAGAACCTCACTTGCGTCTCGAACAATGCGGGTGTCGGAAAGATGGGTCTCGGTGCGTCAGATGCTCTCCACAAATGCTCTTGCGACCGTCAGAACGTGCACGAAGAGCTGACGCCTGATGCCGCCGAACAGGTGCCCTCCTGCATTCGGGACAGATCTCGAAGATGATCTCGTCCTACCTCGGTGCCAACAAGGTGCGTTGCGTATCTCGACAAGACTCGACGTCTTCGCTGACCCTCCACCGCGTAGCACTTCGAGTCGCTCTACCTCACCGGCAAGGTCTCCCTCGAACTCACTCCCCAAGGTACCCTCGCCGAGCGCTGCCGCGCCGGCGGAGCCGGCATCCCCGCCTTCTACACTCCGGCAGGCTACGGTACCGCCGTTCAGACTGGCGAGATCCCGATCAAGTACACGGAGGGCGGCAAGGAGGTTGAGGTCCCTGGAAAGCCGAGGGAGGTCCGCGAGTTCAACGGCAAGGGGTACTTGATGGAAGAGGCGATCAAGGGCGACTATGCGCTTGTCAAGGTCTGGAAGGCGGACGAGTACGGAAACTGCGTCTTCCGGTGCGTGGCGCTTCCTTTCCTCCGTTCCTCCGTGAGGGAAACATGGCTGACGGTATTGCGTCTCCAGCTACGCCGCTCAGAACTTCTCCGGCGCCATGGCTCGCTCGGCCAGGATGACCATTGTCGAGGCGGAGGAGATCGTCCCCGTTGGCTCGCTCGACCCGAACAACGTCCACCTTCCCGGCATCTTGTGCGTCTGCGCTTCGCTCCTTCTCCTCCCCACGCTCGAGCTGACTCAGGACGATCCAGCGTCAACCGCGTCGTCCAGTCGACCGCTCCCAAGCAGATCGAGATCGAAGTCCTCCGCGAGGAGGCCTCCGCAGGCGGTTCGGCGTCCGAGGCCGCGATGGGCAAAGACGAGGCGCGTCTCCGCCGCGAGCGGATCGTCAAGCGTGCGGCGAAGGAGTTGAAGGAGGGAATGTACGTCAACTTGGGCATCGGCATGCCTATGCTCGCGCCTAGCTTCCTCGAGCCTGGAACGGTTATCCACATGCAGTCTGAGAACGGTATCCTCGGTGCGTGCGACTCCTTTCTCTACTCTCTCGTGCTCGTACTGATAGCTTGTCGACGTACAGGCATGGGCCCGTACCCCACCAAGTCGGAGGTTGACCCCGACATCATCAACGCCGGCAAGGAAACCGTCACTCTCCTCCCCGGCGCCTCGACCTTCGACTCTGCCGAGTCCTTCTCCATGATCCGCGGCGGCCACGTCGACGTCTCGATGCTCGGAGCGATGCAGGTCTCCGCCTCGGGCGACATCGCCAACTACATGATCCCCGGGAAGATGGTCAAGGGTATGGGAGGCGCGATGGACCTCGTCTCGAACCCTGAGCAGACAAAGGTCGTCGTCGTGATGGACCACGTTGCCAAGGGCGGCAAGCACAAGATCCTCGACGAGTGCTCCCTCCCCTTGACCGGCGTCAACTGCGTTTCGACCATCATCACCGACTGTGCGTCTCGCTACTCTTCACTTCCCGTCGCAGCAACGTTGAGCTGACCGTCTTTGTTCGCGCGCAGTGTGTGTGTTCCAAGTCGACCGCCAGGCAAAGAAGCTCATCCTCACCGAGCTCGCGGCGGGCGTCACCGAGGAGGACGTCCGCAAGGCGACCGGCGCAAAGTACGAGGTCTCGCCCGATCTCGTCACCATGGACGCATAGACCGCGCACTTTCGTCCTCGTCCTCTCCGTTCCGGGTTGTAGAAATCTCTTTCGCCTGCTTGTCATATTGCACCTTCTTCTCTTTCGCTTGCAAGCTGTTCCTTATTCCTCGCCTTCCGCTGCTGCTTGCTCAGCAACTCTCGATAAGGACACTGAGAAAAGAGTCGAAAGGTTGCTTTGCAAGGGGGCTCGGGTCGCTGCGATCGTGTCTCAACCTCCGCCTGGAGTTGCCGCCACAGCTACAGCGGCGAGGGGAGAGAGCGATGCGAGTGATGAGGAGGCGACTGGTCGATCGAAAGAGAAACGGGAGAAAGGGAGAAAGGGAGAAGAGAGAGGGACGCCCAAGCTAGACCTTCCCAGCCTGACCAGCCGGCATAGGCCTGTACAGTCCCGCCAATCCAGGCGGCGGACCCTGCGCGACACCGCCCTGCTGGCCACCCGGCTGCTGCTGTTGCTGCGGCTGAGGCATCCCGTGCTGGTGGAACGGCAGCCTCATGCCAGGCGGGAACGGCGAACCTTGACCGCCTGCTCCGAACGGCGAGAACGCGTGTTGCTGCTGTTGCTGGCCAGGAGGGGGAGGGAGCGCCGAGTCGGCCGTCGAAGCGAGTCGAGCATTGAGGATCGCCGGGTCGGAGAAGAACGGATGAGGGTTCGCGTCTTGTCCTTGCTGGTGACCTTGCTGGTGCTGCTGCTGCTTGGGCGCCGAAGCTTGCGCGGCGGCGATAAGCGCGAGCAAATCCTCCTTCGCGACGGTCGACGACGGGCCTGAGCCGCAACGGGGAGCGGGAGGCGGGAGGGGGAACGACGCGGCGGGGATGGCGGTCGCTGACGAACGACCTTGCCCTTGCATGAGACCGGGCGGAGGCGGGAGAGCCGAGTTCGCTGCGCCGCTGACGGGCGGGAGCGCAGAGTTGGCTGCTCCTCCGAGCGGTCCGCCCAGTCCAGGCGGCGGGAGGCCGTACGGATGCTGTTGCTGAGAAGGCGGGAGGTTCGAGCGCGTGCGGGGCGAGAGTTGGGGCGAGGAAGTGGCGGAAGCCGAAGGGGAGGCGAGGTTGCGCAACATGCCAGGGGGGAAAGCGGGTGCGGCTGCGCCAGTCCCGGTCTGCCAGTCGCGGTTGTCGCCGGCGGGCTGAAGAGACGCAAATGCTGTACTGCGGAGCGGGAGCCCGAAGCCGGGCGGAGGAGCAAACGTCGAAGCAGGCGAGGTAAGCCCGTTAGGCGACGCTTCCCTGCCACCTTGACTCGAGTTGCCGCCAAACGCCGATCGCGCCGCAGCAGACAAGAGCTCCATCGGCTTGATCTGCTGCGAGCTCGAACTGCGCCTCGCGAACCCGAACCTCGAACTCCGGCGTGACAACTCGTCTTCTGCCGTCGAGGGCGGCGTTGGCGATCCCGAGCGAAGGTCGTTCGAGCCGAGCGAGAAGGTGTTCTCGGCGAACGGGTCGAAAGAGCCCATGTACGAGGACGATGCGGCGCTCGACAAGGCCGAAGGCGAGAACGGGCCGTTGGCTTCGCTCGTCTCGGAGGGTCGGCCGAACGATTCGAGGTTGGCAAAGTCGCGCAGCGGAGTCGACTCCTCGCCTGAAGAGGTCGTGACGGCTCGCCCTTTGCCCTTGACGTCGAGGTTGAGGCTGAAGCTGAACGGGCCGTCGCCAAACTCGAGGTCGGGGAAGGGAACGGTCGGGGCGTCGAAGGACGAAGAGAAGCCGTTGCTGAGGGTGAAGGCGGCGAAGGGGTCGTTTGAGGCGGGAGGAGGGGGAGAGGCGACTTCTGCGGAACGCGTAGGGGACGGCGAGGGCGAACGGGAAGTCGAGGCAACGGGTTCCGCGGGTCGTTGTTCCGCCGACTCCTCCGCTTCGCTCATCTTTGCCTTGGCGCCGGCATCGGACGAGCTGGACGAAGGAGGCGCGGAAGACGCAGCCGTGGCGGCAGCTGCATCTTTCGCCTGTTTCGACCGCGAGGACGGCCGAGCAGGAAGCGGGTGGTTCTGCGGTTTCGGAACAGAGATGGTGCGAGGTGGAGGCGGTTTGGGGAGAGTGGCCGAGAGGGGAGGGAGGTGCGGGTTGAGGATGATAGGCGTCGTCGGTTGCTGCGGCGCGTTCTTGGACGCCCAGCTCGCAGTCGCCGGCAGAGACGCCTCGGGTTGCTTCTTGGCCTGAATCGTCGGCGTCGCAGACCGAGGCTTCGGCACGACTTCCGAGTCGTACGTAAAGATCTCGTCCTTGGTCGATGGCGCCGGACCCTCGACTTCCTCTCCTGGCTCGTGCGCGAACGTGCAGTTGTCGTTCGAGCACCGTGCGCCTTTGAGGTACGTCGGGCAGTACCTCGTCATGCCCCACATCGCGCGCAGCTTGTTGCCCTCGCTCGAAAAGGTCCCGTCGGTCGCGGCGATGCAGTGCGAAGCCTCGGACGGCGTGCGGTAGTTGACGTAGACGTTGACGGGCTGGAAGTGAGGGTGCGACGCGCCTTGCTGAGGCGCTGACGGCGATCGCTTCGACATGAACAGCTTGAGAACCTTGCCGTATCGTCCGAAGTGATCCGCATCCTTGAGCTGCGCGAGTGTCTGCCGCGTGCCTCTTGGTCAGCATTCGCCGCAATAAGATTCAAGCGAAGCGAACGCACATCCTCGTTGGCCTCCTTGCTCGTCATGCCCGTTATCTGCACCTGCGTCCTCTGCCGCACCCTGACATTCGCCTTATTCTGCATCGCCAACTCTGCGTCCTTGCGCCTCTTGTCGCGCAACTTCTTCGCAGCCTGCAACCGCTTCATCCTGTGCGTTCGAGAGTGTCAGCACACGTCGTGCAAGGGAAGGAAAGGGAAACGGACTCTTCGGGCTTGATCGCCTTGAACTCGACGGTCGCGTCGTCATAGGGCGTACGACAAGCCGGACAACGGTTGTTCAGGTTCTCCTTGATGTGGTGATAGCAGAACCGGCAGATCTAAACAGTCGAACAACGAGCCGAGTCAGCCGAGGAGGTCCCGCGGCGCGGAGGTGAGAGCACGGCATTTGGACGAACCTGGTAGCCGCACGGACAAGGCTTGAAGTTGAGGTCGGAGAGGTCCATCTCTTCAAGGCAGAGCGGGCAGTCCATGTCGTCCTGCGAGAAGGATGCGGGAGGAAAGGTCAGCGGCTACTTCGCCAGCTTGAGCGACTGCGGTGTCGCGAGCACCGGAAAGGGCACGAGAGCCATCCAAGAGCCTCCTACACCCTCTGCCAGCATCTCCCATGCTGATCCGACAAGTCCGCCCATTCATCCGACTGAGCAGCATGACCTCGACCGAGTCGATGGAGGGGACTCCCCATCGCCGCCTGAAGCCGCATACGTAGCTCATTTGCTACTCTTCAGCCCTTGACCTGTCCCCCTGCTCCTCCCTGCGCACTCCGGCGGAGATCCGCTCGCAAGGCGCCACCCTGCCCGTTCTTCGCGCGACTCGGGCTGCCACAGCGAGTCGCCCAGCTCGCCCAGATCCCGCCCATACACTCCGAGTAGGTCCCTTGAGCGCCTGCAACTCACCTCGAATCCGTCGAGCATGGCGAGGACGCGCTCGAGTGCCGTGCTAGCGTTGGCGACGCCCGCGCTTGCACCCGCGATGCCGTTCGAGTGGGTGGACGCGGCTGCGATGTCTGCGTGAGTCGCACCGAGTGGCGGGTACGCAGACGCTGGCGGTGCTGCGTGCGCGAGGTGTGCTGATGGGACGGGACTGGCTGACCATGCGCTGGCGGACGACGACGCGGGCGGGTGAGCGCGCGCGTGCGCTGGCTGTGACCAGGCGTGCCGCATCGTTCAGCGTGTGCTAGCTTTGGCTCAATCGTCAGCGTGTGAGCGGTGTGCGTGCGTGCGAGCGTGAGGACGAAGACAGGCAAAACCACTCCGCCACGTCAACTCCTTTCGCACAAACTGGCGAACAAGGGGCCATTGCTACAGTGTGAACAGTCCTACTCATGCAGACATGCGTGTACGGGTCAAGCGGATCCAAGCGGGTGAGAAGCGGGAGGCGAGGCGGAGGAGTTACCACAGCTGCAGAGACGACCAACCGTCAGCACCTCGTCCTACGCAATGAGAACAGCCGCAGACGCACCTCGCAGCGCTTGTTGTCGCCGCGATTCATGGGCGAGCCAACGGGGCAGCCGAAGGCTTTCGCGAACGCCGCGTTGTTCGACAGCGGGCCGATGACTGCGTACGCGGGCAGACGTTCAGTCAGCTCACGTCTTCGAGAGACAGAGAGAGACAGCGCAGAATGACCGGAACGCACCGCGGTACTTGGTCGGCGAGTGCGGGTCGATGCGGATCCGCCTCACGTCCTCCGCCGGCGTACTCTTCCTCGCCCATCCCTGCGCAAACGCGACGAAGAACAACTGCTCCCTCGACCACCCTTCAAATCCAGGCAACATCCAATTCGAGTACTTGTCGCCGTGCGGGTCCGAGGCGAGGCGAGACTGCCACGCCGAGAACGACTGCGCGATACCGCCTGAATCGGCGCCGTCTTCGCCGCCCGTGAACTTGGAGTTGATCGGGTAGTGCTTGCCGTCTGGACCGACGATCGTGTAGTTGGCGTACTGCCGCTGGAAGCACTTCTGCCTCTCGACGAAGCGGGAGTTGGTCGACTGCGAGCGTGACGTGTGACGAGCGGAAGCGGGTCAGTGTAAGCTGTCTTACCCGTTGAAGCCTTCACCCCCCGAAGGGGCAAATTGAGAGCACGAAGCGAGACGCCGAACTCACGTTCGACCACCAATCGACCAACCTCCCGTCCTTATCGTACTGCCTGCCCGCCTGGTCCAGACTGTGCGTCAACTCGTGGCCTGCGATGGCGCCGAACGAGCCAAAGACGAGGTATTCGGGCCTGGAGGCGAGCGGAGCGTCAGTCTTGAGAGAGACGCGAGGAGCGAGTGGGAGGGGAGGGACGGACCAGCTGACGTCGAAGAAGGGCTGCAGGGCGCAAAGTCAGTGAGGTTGCTGCTGTCGGGCGAGAGCTCACACGCACCTTCTGCAGGATGCCGGCGGGGAAAACGATCTGGTTGTCGGGCGGTGCTGCACGACTCAAAGTTCGTCAGCCAATCCTCCTAGTCTTCCTCACGACGCATGGCTCACAGAAATACGCGTTAACCTCGGCAGGCACCATCTCCCACTCCTCGCGGTTCTTCGCCCTCCCAACCTTGACCCACTTGCGCTGTTCGTCCGCGACGTAAGAGCGGAGGACGTTGCCGAAGAAGTCGGAGGACGAGATGGGCATGTTGGGGCCGTAGTAGTGTGCAAGGGAGAGCGGGTCTTCGGTGTCGGGCGAGCGCGGGTAGCCGATCTGTCGACAGGGGCGGGAAGGTCAGCGGGAGCGAGGAAGCGGGTGAGGGCGCGCGACGCACCTTGTACTGGATCGCATCGACCTTCTCCTCTGCCTTCTTGCTCGTCTCCTTGTCCAGCCAAGTCCGTCCAGGCAACCTGTCGCGGAAAGCCTGGATGATAGCCTTGATGACCTCCTCCGCATACTCCTTCGAGCGGCCAGGGAAGGCCTTCTGGACGAAGTAGCGACCGACGAGGAAGCCGTAGTTCTCGTTGAGCAGGGCGAGGCAGGTGTCGGCGCGAGGAGGGTGCGAGTCGGGAGAGATGCCGGTCAGCGAGTTGCGGAGGAGGTCGATCGACTTGCGGATGGGCTGCTTCGAGCCGAGAAGCGGGGCGAGAGCCTGCGACGTGAGGAAGACGAAGTAGGCCTCGACCTGATCCGGCGCAGCCTTGTCGATGATGTCACTCAAGTTGCCGAAGAAGGCTGGGCTGGTGACGATGACGGGGTCGGGGTACTTCGGGCGCGGGAAGGAGGCGGCAAAGTAGTCGCGGAACGAAATGGCGGGGAAGAGCGACTGGAGAGCCGAGGCGTTGAAGGGGTTGTAAGTCGGGATCGGCTCGTCAAGCTGGTCGACGTCGAGCGAAATCTTGGCGATCTCCTTCTCGAGTGCGACGACGTCTTTCGCGAGGTTGTGCATGTCCGGCTCATCCCTCGCGGTGTAGACCTCCTTGAGCACCTCGGCGACAGTCTCTTCGTACTTCTTGAGCGTCTCCTTGTCCTTATAGTAGTCCTTCGAGGGGAGACCGAGACCGGACTGGGTGAGCCAGAGGACGACCTCCTTCGGGTCGCGGCCAACGTCGCCGTCGCTGGAGGTCTCGAAGAGGGCGGGAATGGCTGCAGGATGAGGTCAGCGGAGGCTTCGCGTCAAAACGGATCATGATCAGCGGACTCACCGCGAGAGTGCAGGAACGCCAACGCGTTCGTCAAGCGGCTCTTCTTCGTCTTCGGGTCCCACTTGCGGCCCTTCTTGGCGCCCTTGCGATTCTTGTGCGACTCGGTCGACACCTCGTCCGAACGACCGTTGATCTCGAGGAGGAAGTCGAGGTCGTCCTCGCGGCCGTCGCGCTCGACAACGAGCGACTCATGCGACGCCGTGAGGGGCTTCTCGCCGCGCCAGAACGAGATAGCGGTGTCGAGCACCTCGAGCAGCGGGGTGGATCCCTTCTTCTCGATGGCCGCCTCGTCCATACAACTCGTCCAGAAGCGCCTCAAGCTCGCCAAGTTGCGCTTGTCCGCCTCCTGATCAAAGCCCTTGTCGTCATTCGGGTCGCGCTCGATGATGTCGCGAATGATGCGCTTGTTGTTCTCGTCGATGATCTGGAACGTCCCAATCGCCGCTTTTCCAGGCGGGATCGAGTGACTCGCGATCCACCCGCCGTTGGCAAACTCGAAGAAGTTGTCGCATGGGTCGACGGAGGTGTCGAGGCCGGAGAGGAGGTTGGCAGCTGACTGGACGCACGAAGCGGTGAGGCAGAGAGGGACGTCTTTGCCCGGGTTCTTCGGCGGAGCGGGCGGGACGGGCGGAGCGGGAGTACCGGTCGGTGCGCCAACAGTCGTCGTAGCGGTGGCTGTAACCGTGCTCGTCGGGCGAGGCCAATCCCTCCCAGGAGGTCCGGCATGACGGTGGTCCCTCTTCCAGCGCTTGAACCGAACCGCCGTGCCCGCAAACAATCCGAAGCCGGTCGCCGTAAGGAGCAAGAGGACGACGCTGAGGATTGCAAGCGCCTTCTCGAGGCCTGTGAGGCGTAGAGGATGCTCGAGAGCGGTGCGGAGACGGGCGCCGAAGGAGGGGTCCTGCGCGATGTCGGAATCGGCTGGGCGGGCGTCAGAGCCGAGCAGGGGTTCCTGCTCTTCGTCGCGGGTGCTCATCGTGGCGGCGAGCCCGTGAGCGAGCGAGTGTGAGGAGGACAAGCTGTCGATGCAAAGTGGGGAAGGTCGTCAGCGAGATGCGGTCCTCGAGATCTCGCTTTGCAGGGCTCGTAAGACTCTCTGCGAGTGTTAATGCACGCCTACAACTCGAAGGACTGGCGCGAGATCCAGGACCGAGAGGGAACGTCGTGAAAAATGCATGTCGATAACTTCGTCGTACGGAGACAAGGTCATTATAAGCGTCCATCTGCCTCTTCTCGTGCTCCACCACGCCTACCCACCGCTCAGTAGTACCCGCTGTACGGCTTGACCGTCCCAGCCGCCTCTCCCCTCCTCCCACCCACCTCATGCGGGTTCGCCTCGAGCGGGATCCCATTCCCTCCCATCGGCGACCCATCAGACCCAAACGACTCGCGCCCATGAAGAGGGAGGATCGGTGCGTTCGGGTTGTTGTGGCCTTGGCGAGGACGCGGAGCGGTGCCGGGCTCTTCGGCGTCCGAGTCGAGGCGTTCGGAGGTGGCGATGGCGGGGATGCGAGGGGAGAAGGGGAGGTGGCACTGAGGCGAGAAGAGGGAGGGGTAGTCTGCGGAAGGCGGGGATTTAATGATCAGGTCGAGCAGATTCGCGAAACGGAACGCACAGAGATGGTAGGTCATGATGGCAATCAAGGCGCCGAGGATTCCGCCTGCGATGACATCCGTAGCGTGGTGGCGGTAGTCCATCGTGCGGCTAACGGCGATGAGCGTCGCACCGATGGGTGGGGTGATGGCGATCCAGGACTTGATCTGCGAGCGGTGTGGTCTTCAGCGTAAGCACTGGGACGCGAGCGAGAAATCACGGGAGAGTAGACGAACAGTGTGACCTGTGCACGACGCAACGAAGCGAACGTCAACTAAGCTGTGCCGCGCCACAACGAGCGGAATCGAACGAACCTCGCTGGTCGAAAAGGTGCATCTTGCCGGCCAAGTACAAGGCAAAGTAGCCTAGTCCGGCCCAAGCGAACGACGAGTGACCCGACGGGAAGGATTTGAAGCCGTCGTCGCTGCGAGCGGCCCGCTCGTCAGATCAGCTTGTTGCGAGAGAGACGCCAGCGCCGAACGCACATGATGTGACCCGTCTGGACCGTGCACAGCGCAACGGTCGCCAAGCCGTAGACTGGGTGATTGCTAGCGCCGCCGACGGGCTGGCAGCGGTCGATCAAGTCGGGTCGCGGACGTCCGACGGTGACTTTGACGACTTGGGTGAAGACGGTGGTGAGCGAGACGCTCAGCAAGAGACCGAGCAAGCCGTTGTGCATGTCCCAGAACGAGCGTCTGTCGAGCCAAGCGGATCAGCGGGACTGGGAAGAAAGAAACGGTAGGAGGAACGGAACGCACCGCCAGATCAAGGCGACAAGGATGATGATGACGGCGGGAATCACGCCGGCATAGACGACGCATTCGCCGAACGAGATGCGCTCCTTGGTGGCGAACGTGTGCTGGATCGAGGTGTCGGTGAGGGAGAACTGATCCAGGAGGAGACAAGGTCAGCTGATGGTTCGGATACGAGTCCGTTTGCGCCGCACCTCGCGCTTGTAGCCTGCATAGTCGGTGAAGTATCCGATGATGGCGACGAGGATGATCGTGAGGCTGCGTGAGATGAGCGGGGATGGAGGGGTCAGTGTGAGGAGGTGGTGGGTGGTGACGGTCTCTCGGCGGGGTCGACGCACATCCAGTCTGTGTGTAGAGTGTGTGCAGGTCAGCTCTGCGTCCTCTCCCGCTGTGTCCATCGCTCGAGTGAGGGTGCGAGGGGCTGTGCAGACCCGGGTGAGAGTGGACGGACCTGGGAGGTAGCTCGCGAGCAGTTTGAGCCTGCGTGACTTGTCGACAGGCTGCTTCCTGTGCTCTGGGCCGTGGATCAAGCGGTGCACAAAGTCCATCGCGCCGTCAACCGTGAGTGGTCGAGGGACAACCTCGCCATCTCCGCCTCTCGCACCCATTGCAAAATCCGCAGACACCGCCAACAACGCCCTCGCAGGACTGGCTGAGCATACGGTCGTGCTACGGAGGAGTCTACAACCTCGCCTGGCTTTGCGCCGGGTCATTTGGTGCCGCCGTCGTCCCTCTTCGCACCCTCGTCAGCCTCATCAGGCAACCAGCCTACAACGCCATACATCGCCTATGGCGCTTCGTTGCAGCTGTCTCCAGCGTCCTTGGGCGTCACAGATGGAGCGGGAGGGACACGAGATGCGCACGGTTCTCGAGGGAGTCACGGAGTGTCCGCGGATAGCCTCCTCCTCTTCGCTCCTCACCTTCCCCCGCCGGGTTTTCGTGATTTCTCTAGGCTTACAAGTCGAGTTTGAAGCCGCCTCTGTACTGCCATGCTCCAACCCACTCGACAAGGCCGTCCGCATGGCTCGCTCACCTTGCTTGCGCTCCTCTCGCTCGCTCCGACAGTCTTCGCTGGTGACCGGCAGTTCACCATCACCAACAAGTGTCCCTACACAATCTGGCCAGCAAGTGAGTCCTCACCACTCCTTGTTAGCCAGACCTGCGCTCACTTTACTCCTAGTCTCGAACTACCTGAAGCCAATCTATACAGGTCCGGGAGGATGGGAAGCGAAGCCTGGGACGAGCAAGACTGTCACAGTACCCTCACCGGCCAATGTCCGAGTCTGTGCGTCTTTCCCTTGCTCCCGCTCCCCGCCATCGCTAATCCTTCCTCGCATAAGGGCCTCGTCGAGGATGCACGTTCGACGCGAGCGGGATGGGCAAATGTGTGACGGGCGATTGCGCTGGGAAGCTCGAGTGCGGACTCGGGAGTATCGGCTGGGTCAACGTCGTCGAGATCAACCTCGATAGCTGGGCCGGAAAGGACTGTCAGTCCCTTTCCTCCGCTCGATGCGGCGCAGCTTAAGCGACTGACAAGATCGGTCTCCGCTTGACAGTCTGGGATACCTCGAGCGTGCCAGGCACGCCTCATTCTCCTCCTGCTGTACGACTTTCCGCTGACAGCGATCGCTCCTCGACAGGCTGGACCGCCCCAATCGCCGTCGAGCCAGACGGCTGTCCGAGCCTCGCATGCACGAAAGACGCCAACGCAGCCTGTCCAGACGACCGCATGAAGCAGTGCGTCATATCCGCTTTCAAGCCTACGGAATTACGCTGAGATCGTACGCTCGCAGGAAAGACTCGAATGGTAACGTTATCGGCTGTCTTTCAGCTTGTATGGCGGGCATCAACGCCCAGGATCCTAGCTACAACTGCTGCGTGGGCTGCCTCGCTTCCGACGCTTTCGTCTCGACGAGCTAACTTCAAAATCGCATGCAGTCTGGCATCTACAATTCCGTCCAGGCGTGCGACGCTACCAAGGTCGACTTCTACAAGGTCTTGAAGCCGCTCTGCGAGCATGCTTATTGGTATCGTGCGTCCTCCCTCTTCCTTCGCAGATGATCCCCTTGTTCTTCGCTAAATTCCCACCGCACAGCCTACGACAACAACGCTGCCTTCCCCAAAGTCGACTTCCCCTGCCCGGCCGCCGACTCGCCCGGCTACAAGATCACCTTCTGCCCGGACTCTTCCAACCATGCGAGCGATCTTGGGCCGGATCAGCAGACGGCTGGAGGGTCGACTCCCACGGGGAACGCTGTACCGGCGTCTTCGCCAAAGACGCTGCTTCTGGCGGATGCGACGCAGGCGCCTGCGTCGTCGACTGGCAGTTCCGCACGCACGAAAGCTGCTTCGACTGGCTCGTCCGCGAGGTCGGCGGACCCCTCTGCGGCGTCCGGTACAGCTTCTGCGGTGGCAACAGCGGCAACGTCTGACCCTGAGCCCTCTGCCGGCGCTACGAGCGGCTCAAGCGACGGCCTTACTTCCGCAGCCTCTCCCGACGTCGCCTCTCCAACTTCCGCACCCACCGACACTGCCTCCCCAGCGACGACCAGCAGCAGCGACAAGACCATCCTTGGCCTCTCGCAACCGCTCTTCATCGCCCTCACAGCCGCCGCAGTCCTTTTCCTCCTCCTCGCGATCGTGCTCGTCTTTCGCCGGTCGCGCTCGTCGCAGGCTCAAGCGGCGTCGTTGGCGAAGACGCCGCAGCGTCAGTATCAGTCAGGGTCTGAGGAGAGTGAGATGGAGAAGACCACGGACGAGTCGGAGTCGGAGGATGAGCGTGGTGGAGGAGTGAGAGGTGAGTCCGCGTTGCTTTTCCTCCCACGCAGCTTGTAACTGACGCAATCGTCCAGCGCGATTGCCGGCTGGAAGTGCAGCACGAGCAAGCGGCCGGCAGCCTTTGCTGGCTCGGTAGAAGCGGTGGCAGCGGGACAAGAGCGGGACGAACCGGAAGAAAGGCGGGTCGCGTTAGGTTTTACGTGCAGGTCTCCCGACCGGCGGGTAGACTCAACGCAGTGACAGTGCGACTGTATTAGAGCGTCATCAGATCCTTGCTGTCCCTTGTTCGAGCAAGAAAGGAAAGGAGGAGAGGAGGATAGCGCCGCCAGCGTCGTCGTAAGGAGCTGGTTGCTCGCTCATCTCAGCAAGAGTACCCTTGAGCACAACGCGACTTGCTGCAGACCTCCCGGCGCCCCAATATACCGTTGTTTAACCCCTCCTTCTCTCGGTCGAACTGATGAAGGTCTAGGAAATGGGTGGAGCGGGCGGACTGAGTTGGCCGCGAAATCAAGCATCAAGGGCGACTGAAAGAGCCTCTAGCTAGTCAGTGGCGCACGAAGAGCGGAAAAGGTGCGGCGGAGGAGGGGCAGCGGACAAAGGACAACCCTTGACCCGCTCGCTCGCTCCTCCTCTCTTGCGCAAGGGACTCCTCTTGCTCGATCAGCAGCAGGATGCGCTTCAGCTTCCGAGCCTCGCAGCGCACGCGCTATCGGACAATCCGCGGACCTGCACTTCGCTCTCCTCCTCCCCTCCCTTCCTCGCTCCGACACGACCGCTACGGCTACACGGTGTCTCCGCAGCTAGCGTCTCTCGGCTGCTAATTCCATTTGTGCCTAAGGCACGGCAACAGGTTCTGCCTCGCTTGTTCACTCGCGCTCACGAACCTCCTCGCGTTCACGGACCTCCTCGACTCTCGCTGTGCGCATCCCATCCCGCCTAGCCTCCATCTGTGTGTAGGCGTGCGACACGCTGGGGCAGAGCATGAGGATCACGGACTGGATGCACACGACCGGTTCGAGCGGAGTCCTAGTCGCTCTCGCTTTCTTTCCTGCTGTCTACGCTCACATGGTGCGTGGCTCTTCGTTGGTCGCTCTCAGGTCTTGACACCTGCTGACACAGTCGCATATGCGCAGTCCATCTGGTCAGCCGTCAGGACAATCGCGCGCCTGGCTCGCCAAATCAAGCTGACCCTGTCTGTACAGGCATCCCTCGATGTATGGCGTCGGGCCCGGCTTCTCGTATGACGGCGGGAATCCCGTCGACCCGATCGGTCCTGGGGTGGCGAAGCAGTCGGACTGGTGGTTCAGGTGAGGATCTCGAAGCTCATCTTGACCTGCTGACAGCCGTGCTGACCCTCGAAGCTCGCAGAGGGCCCTCGTACCGAGCGCTCAAGCCGCAGAACGGTTCTGTGATGGATCTGCCTGCGGGAGGGAGCGTGACTATCGAGATTACCTGCCAGTGGGTTGCTTTGCCTTCTTCTCTCTCGACAGCTGAAGCCACTGACTGCTCGAAACTCGTCGCTGGCTGCAGCCTCGTCCACTCCTCCTACGGCACGCAAACATCAGACCCTAACGACCCGCTCTCAGCCTGTCCGAACGGCTACGGCCCGCATCACGCAGGCGATCCGGCAGGACCGATCGTGGAGAACCTCGTTTCTAGATGCGCTCTCGGCGTGGCAGACAAGGACGACGACGAGAAAGTCGGTTGGGACGACATTGTCATCTTCTCCGTCACGCATCGCTGCGTCCGGCAGCGGCTCACAACGTTCAAGGTGCATCTTCCCTACCCTCTCGCCGCTCTAAATGTGCTCACAACATCGTCACAGATTCCTGATCGCATGCCTGCTTGCTCAGGGAGCAAGTGCATCTGCGGCTGGTCAGTCCGCCCGCTAGCTCGGTTGCTCGTTCGCTCGTCGCTAATCTTTCAGACCCGCAGGTTCTGGTGCGCCACGGTTCTACCTCTCGACAAGAGCGTCCTCGCTGATCTGGCGATCCGTTGCGCCGCAGGCTAGCAAACAACGGCACAGGTGCGTTTTCCTTGTCGGGACTCGGCTGCTTCGATTTCTTACGACGTCCTTCTCCTCGCAGCCAACTTCTACATGAGTGCGTCTAGACCCGATCTTTTCGATTGCTCCATAGGGCGTTCGCCGCCACTGACTGTCGCTCGTTGCGCACCTTCCAGCCGCTTTTGACTGTCGCTTCACGGACGTCAAGTCAAGCAAAGCTCGCGCATTGCTACCGCCTGTCGACCCGGCCTTCTGCCCGACGGGAAACACGACATGCCAGCCTGCGAAAGGAGCAAAACGACCGCTCTAGTCCGTAGACCGTCTCCTCTTTCCTCCTTCCGCTGCAGCTAACTGAGTGACTGCTTCCACCCGTAGCGCATACAATACGCCGACCAACGTCGTCTGGCAAGGCAACGATGCGCGACCAGGCTACCATCAGTCTTGGAGCTTCGGCGAAGACGGCGCCCAGGAGGACATCTTTTCGGACAAGGCACCGGGCCAAAGCGGTGGAGCCGTCGCTTCTGGTGACCGCCCCGTACGACTCGCTTGCTCTGCGGTCAGGGTGTCGAGATGCTGATAGGGCTGATGCGCCGCAGGTCGCCGCGTCGTCCCCCTCCATCTCCCCTTCTTCCGCAGCTTCGGCAATGGCGGTCTCCAGCTCACCCTCGCCCAGCCCAGACCCATCGTCTTCCTCTTCTGCCTCGACCGCGCCTTCTACCTCGATCCTCGGCCTTCCTCGGCCTTCCTCGACCTTTCTTCCTCGCCCTTGCCGCCGGAATTGTCCTCATCCTCCTTCTCGCCGTCTTTCTCGCTTGTCGCCGAAGGTCAACATCCCAACCGGCAGCTATGGCTTCGCTTCCGAAGTCGTCGATGCGCTCGCGTGGACGAAGCAGCAACACGGAGAGCGGGACGAGCGGTCCAGAGACGGAGACGGAAGACGAGGAAAAGGGCTCGTTGGGTGTGTTCCTCGCCCATTCTATGACAGCGCCTCCGCCTGACCGTTGCATACGCCACGTGTCAGGTCGTAGGCAGGGAGGTGCCTCAGGTCGGACTGCGAGGCCTTTATTGCCGAGGGGATAGAACCGACTTTGGCTGGATTCGCTGCTGTAACGAAGTCGTCACGCCCCGTACCACGACAGAAGGCGGTTCTGCTGCTGCCTGTGGGTTCTTGCACGTCCGCATCCTGCAGTCTTTGCCGTCGAATGCAAAGGAAAGCGAACTGAAGGAGAGACAGGAAGGAGAGCGCATGGGATTTGACACGAGAGCACAGTAGCGCGGATTGGCAGCGTCAGCATGGGTTGTGGCCTCGTCCACGGGCGCGCTGAGCAGCTGCAACGCCCTCGGAGCGCCGCAATGCTGGACCGACGTCTCGAGGTGACGAGAAACGGAAATTTGGTTGCAGCCGCCCTGATCGATTGTGTCGTGGTCCTGTGTAATTGTGGAAGACGCAAACAGCCAGTCAGCACCGTCAGACCGCCAGGCAGCGCGTGCGACGGCGTTGGTCGAGGGCAAGAGCCGCCGAGGCTCGCTCGCCTCTTGACCTCCTACACCTCACTCGATCCAACTCGAACTGTCTTGTCAGGCTGCCAGACGATGCTTGAACGCTTCTGTCTGCCAGCAATCCACGACCGGTGCTCGCCCGTGGCATTCCCATCCGCCCACCGCCTTCGACACCCCATCCCCCCTCCTCCTTTTCACCCTCGCACACATCGCTGGGCGCCAAGAGAACTGCTTCGAAGCAGCACAGTGCGCCACTTACACTGCTCCCGCTACGCGCAACCCGCAGCGGCGAGGTTGGCGCGGTCGCTCGACCCGCATTTTTTTCCCCGGATGGGCTCAGGGAGGCTTCGTCGAGACGGGCCTCAGGAGCCGGCCGCCCATGCCCACGCTAGCTTACGACACAGACCTTTTTCTTCGTCTCGCGCCCCAAGTTACAGCCAAATCGTTCCGACTCACCTCCCCTTCACACCGGTCTTTAACACTCTGGTTCGAACGGCGGCGGGACCTCGGTCCCGCTTAGCTCCCACGTTCCGTTCCTCATTTTCCGAGACCGAGACGGAACCAGCCTCCTTCGGGGGGCACTGGCGCACCAGACACCGCGTCTCGAAGCAGACGGCGTCCTTTCCTTTCCGAAGCTTTCGGGCGGAGGGAGGAGGACGTCGGCGCGAGAGGGGCGGTCAGGGTGGGCCAACACGCATGCATCGTAGACGTCAGAGCGCTCGAGCAATGCCATTCCCCTCGCCTCGCACCTTCCCGGCTCTTTGGCTCGCATGGTCGCTAGTGGGCGAGAGCGCGAGCGAGACTGCAACCGAAAGCGAGATGTGCGATATCCCAAGCGTAGCTTGACACACTCCGTGGCTGTCGCTGCGAGGCGCGGTTCGAGAGATCAGAATGTCCATGTCAACACCGAGCGACTACCGCTTCCGCCCCGGTCTCGCCGGCCTCGCAAACTTCATACCCTCATCCTTCTGCCCTTGCAGCGGTGTCGAAGTCCCGCTGCCCGTTGCTGGTGTCTCCGTGCCTGATGGAGTCGAGGACACAGTCGCGACAGAAGGGCCGAGTTCGGAGTCGATCCATGCGGCGTCCACTTCGTCTGGCGAGTCAGTCTCGAGCTGCGCAAAGGGTGCATAGTATTAACGAAGCTGCTCGAGACTACGAGCGCGCAGAAGGGTACCCGCCGATCCAAGTGGCGTCAGAACGCGAAAGGCGCGGCTCACCTTCTTGCTAATCTTCTGACCTGTGAACTGCGGTAAGGCGACCTTGTAGAGCACGAGCACGGCGGAAGAGTAGATGAGGCGGGACTTGATTGGCGATGAAGGCGGGCACGAGTAAATGAGGACTGTAGACAAGGTTATCGAGGAAGAGGAGCCTAAGTCAGCAAGCAACTCGTGCACGCCGGACCTGCAGAGACGGCGAGGGTGCGTACCGAGACCTGCGGCGTGCTTGTAGAAGAGGTAGCAGGGGGAGGAGGTGGGAAGCGAGAGCGACGAGGGTTGCGGAGTGGAAAGAACGACCGTTTCCGTCGAGATGTCGATTTCCTGCGCGAGGAAGATGTACCACGGAAGCTGTCAGTCAGACCGGTGGGAGACAGATTAAAGTGATCGCCAAGTAAGACTCGAGAACGCACCAGAGCGACAGACTGCCCCGGCTCGCCCGACTCTCCCAACTCCCTTACCTTCTCCTTCGCCTCGTCCGCCCACGGAAGCACACCTCTCGCCTCGTTCTGCCCCTCTCCATCCGCTCCTTGCTCCCCAGTTTCCAGATCGTGATTTCCGAAGATCATGCTCCTGCCTTGTCGGGTGTCGTTCCCGCCCGAAGAGGCCGCTTCAGATGCTTCTGCCGCTCGGATCGACGCCATCTCAGCTTCGCGTGCGGTGAGAGGAGCGGAAGCGGTGCTGTGTTCGATGTGCGAGAGGTAGGAGGCGTGCGTAAGGTCAGACTGTGCCGGCAGGGCCGCAGAGCAGAAGGCGGCGAAGTCAGCGCGATTTCGTGAGCATCTGAATGCCGAGGGCTTGAACGCACCTTGCTTGTCGCAAAGATCGAAAGAGGTAGCCGCGAGTCGCCCAAAGATTTCACGAGCGTGTTCTGCGTCGAGGCGTAGAGCATCTTTTGCCGGACGGGCGCATGATCAGGAACGTAGGAGAAGAAGGCGAAGGTCGAGGCGGGTGGCGCGGTGATGCTGCCGACCAGACGGAAGCTTCGTCAACTTCGGCAAGCTAGGAGGAAGAAGAGGTTGCCGCGCACCGGTAAGCGTAGTACGCCGGAACGTTCTCCTCCACTACACCGTCCTGGTCGAACAGTGCAAAGTCCTCCGCGAAAGCAGCATCACTCGCCGCGTCCTCCTCGCCCAAACTCGAGGTGGGGGAGGTCGAGGTGAAGGTGCCGGACGGGACAAGCTGCTCGTCCTTGATGACAATCTGCGAGATGCTGACATATCAGCTTCTCCATCGCCCGAACGACCCCAGCCATGTCGCACTCAGAGATGACGAGGGAGAGGAGCCGGGCGCACCTTCACCAGGCGCACCTGCGGGTCAGCGAGAGCGGTCGTCCACAAGTCCGTGAGCTCTTGAGTCGGTGCGATGCCAGACTGAGCAGCCATTCGAGCGAGTTCGCAGCTGGAGCGTGCGGTCGAGGAGCAAGAGGACGGGCCGACACAGGTAGGCGCTGTCCAGCTCGCTCGAAACGCTCGTACGGCCAAGTAACAAGCTCAAACAGCTACTTAGGATGGACAAACTCGCCCAATGTACGGTCCAGCGCTCCCCACTGCTTGCTTCACCGTCCGCTCATCCTCATCGCTCGCAACAGATCTTCCTCCAACATCCGGCGGAAACCTCCCGAACTGGATGCTATTCGTATCGTGAGTCCTTTCCAAGAAATCTCTGAGGTCGTCTGAGCTCACCGTAACGGAAACAGCGGCCTCGCCATCTTCAACGGCGTCCAGAACTACCTCACAACTCGCCTCACCGCGCAAGTCTACGCTCGGAGACCGGCATGGGGTGCGTCCATCGCTTGTGGTGCTCTGTGCTGGATCCTGCGTCAGCGGGAGACAGTCGCGAGCGGATTCTCCCCCCGCTAGTCCTAGAGCTGGACACCATGCCGGACCTGCATCACTCTCCCTCAAAGATCATCCATGCTGACCGCTTCTGCCCCCGTCCCGCAGTCAACCCCCTCCAGGCCCGCCTGTTCGGCGTCTGGACTCTCATGTCCGCCTTCGTTCGCCTTTATGCCGCCTACCACATCCATTCGAAGCCGTGCGTCCTCTTGCTCCGCGTTCCCAGGCTCTGTAGGCTTGACTTTTCGCCGACAACAGCATTTACGACCTCACCATCATCTCCTATATCCTCGCTCTCGGCCACTTTGCCTCGGAGGCGCTCGTCTTCCGCACCGTCGGCTTGAAGGGCGTCTTCTTCCCCTTCGTTGTGGCGTGTGCGTCGTCCTGTTCCCTCCTGCACCAGGACTTCGGCCTGCTGACGTAGGTCGCGCCCACAGCGAGCTCGCTTTACTGGATGATCACCCGTGCGTTCCCTTTCCGCGCTCCTTACGCTTCACTCGCTCACGATATTCCTTCTTCGTCTTCCGCAGAGTACGACTTCTACGTTCGGCTGTAACGGGTTCCATGCCGTCAGCAGAGCCTGCAACAAGGATTCAAGCGATTCTCGTTCGCTCTTACGCAGAGCAGCTATCGGTCTCGACGCGAGCGAGAGAGGAAGCGAGAGAGACTATGCACTGTCGATTGAATTCCGTCTATAGCTACGATGAAAGGGCACGCGGGTGGGTCGTGAGGGCAGAAACGATGTTGCGGGAAAAGAGTCTGTGGCCGTGCTTTTCTGCCGACTATTGCTTCGAGGTAGAGATATCTGAGAGACGCTCAAGAAGGGAGATCATGGCGGCGGGACTGCAGATTGTTGGCGCGAATCAGCGTCGGCTCAGCGCGAAGACAGGGAAGCACGGCGACGCACCTTTCGAGGACGGCGTTGGCCATCGTCATCTTGGCGCCAGCCGTCTCCTTGGCCTCGATGGCGATCATGAACGTCGCGCTCGGGTCGAGCTTGCTCTCGACCGGCTGGCTCAGGTCCTCCGGCAGAGCACCCTCCGGCGCGCTCGCCCTTGCGGCCTGCGCCAAGGAGGGGAACAGCGCAAACGACTCGGGCGGCGTGATGAGCGTCTTGCCGGATCCGCCGAGCGCGGGCGTGCTGTTGGAGAAGATGCGCGCCATCGAGTGGAACATGTCCTCGTCCGTCTTGTCGTCGCCAGCACACATGCAGAACTCGGCGTCCGGGTGCTGGTACAGCAGGCGGCGGACGATCTCGCCCTTGTTGGTGTGCGCGGGGCGGACCTCGACGTTCTTCTTGCCCTGCGAACGCGTGTCGAGTCAGACTTAGCGGCGTGTCGCAGGAGCGAAGCGAGGGGTAGCGAACTTACGACGAGAACGTCGATCGGCAGACTCTCCTGCATGCTCTCGAGCATAGCCTGGCACTCCTTGGCCTGGAAGAGGCCAAAGACGGGGTCGGCGTTCCGGTAGTGGAACGTGACGCTCGACACCTTCTTCTCGACGAACGCGCCTTGCGTGCGAGCCTCGTAGTCTGCGCATCGGGAACCGGTCGTCAGCGCTGCGAGGAAGCGAAAACGAGAAGGGAGCGCGACTCACAGCGGAAGATGCGCAAGACGTCCGCCTTCCAGTCCATGTCGAGGTCGTCGGTCAAGCTGACCCACTTGCCGCTGCCGGGCGCACGGAGGAAGCAGCCATGCTCGGCGCTCATGCCAAGGTTCGGGATGTGCCCGAGGTGCTCTTCGAGGAAGGCACCGTCTCGTCCCGAGATGATGTAGACGATGTTCTTCGGATCGGCCGCGAGCGTCTCGAGCGAGTGGAGGAGCTGGGGTGATGGCGTTGCGGCGCTCGGGTCCTTGACGATGGGCGTGAGGGTGCCGTCGTAGTCGAACATGAGCAGGCGGCGATTCGCGCCCTCGTACTTGGCTACGAGGGCGTTCTCGTCGAGGAAAGGCGTGTTCTGCGTCGCCTGTTCGCCCTGGAGCGATTCGAGCAGCTTGAGGATGTTCATGTGCGCCCAGACCGAGGCAGTCTGGCTCGTCACGGCGCGGTGGAGGACGTTGTGGCGCGCTGCGCGCTCGTCGAGGGGCATCTTGAAGCACGAGTCGATCGCGCGCGCAACACCGCCGAGGTCCCACGGGTTGACCTTGATCGCCTTGCTGAGGAGCGACGAGACACCCGTGAACTCGGAGACGACGAGCGAGCCCTTCGCCTCGGCCTGGCAGATGATGTACTCCATCCTGCGCGAGCGGTACAGAGTCAGGGAGAGCTCAATCAGTAGCGAAAGAGGGTGCATCGACTCACGAGGTCGTGTTCATGCCGTCACGGCGGGAGGTGACAAGCGCCAGGTCGGCAACCGAGAGCAACGCGAAGTACTCGTCGCGCTCGATCGTCTGGTGGTAGTGGTGAACGGGCTGGAACTCGAGAGATCCGTAGGTGCCGTTAATCTGGTCGACCAGCTCGGAGACCTTCGTCGCGAGAGCGGGAGAGTCGCCGGGCGAAGGCGAGGTGACCTGCATCAGGACGACCTTGTTGGCCCACTCGGGGTAGTCGTGTAGGAAGCGCTCAAACGCGCGAAGCTTGGGAAGGACGCCCTTGGTCGGGTCGAGCTTGTCGCGGCCGACGATGATCTTCTTGCCGGCGTACAGCCTCCTGAGCGCCTCGATCTTCGGGCGAACGCCAGGCGAGTTGCGGTCCTGCTCGACGTTGTCGACGTCGATGCCGATCGGGCAGTGTGCGAGGTGGACGACACGGCCGTGGACGTCGACTCCGCCCGCGCGCGCCTCGTAACCGTTGACACGGACGCACGACGAGAGGAAGTGGCGCGCGTACGAGTGCGTCTGGAAGCAGACGAGGTTGCAGCCGAGCATGCCGTCGAGGAGCTGCTCGCGGCGAGGGAGGCAGCGGAAGAACTCGGACGAGGGGAAGGGGCAGTGAAGGAAGAGCGAGATGGTCGGCGACTGGTTCGGGAGGAGGTCGCGAAGCATTTGCGGGACGAGGAGGAGGTGGTAGTCGTGGATCCAGATCTAGGTTGCAGGAGCGTCAGCAAGTCGCGCGCTTCTCTTCCTTACGCATCGTGCACTTACCAAGTCGCCAGGCTTGTAGACGCTCGCGACCTTGCGGGCGTAGACGAGGTTGGTCTCGTAGTAGGCGTCCCACGCCGCCTGCTCCGTCTTCTTGCTAATGTTGTCGGGGAGCGAGAGGTAGTGGAAGATGGGCCAGAGGTACTCCTTGCACATGCCCTCGTAGAAACCTGCATGTCGCGCGGCGTCCTATCAGCCCTCAACCCCGGCATGGGCTTCTCGCCCGAGGAAGAAGCGCGGAACTCACGCGTGTGCAGCCCGTCGTCCAGCCAGACCGGCACGCAGCCAATCCCCTCGTCGTCCTCGCCGCCCATCTTCCTCAGCCCCTTCTCCAAGTCCTTCTTCGCGTCATCACTCAGCTGGTTCTGTCCCATCAAGTCCCCGTCGGCGCTCATCAAGTCGTCTGGCCTGCCGACGACGAGGAGCGGGCGGTCCTTGAGCGAGCGGAGGCCGGAGTTGAGGGCGGCGTGGCCGCGACGAGGGTGCAAAACCCAGCGGTGCGTCTGTTGCTGCGGGATCGCGTGAGGAGCCGGGGTGTGGGCGCGCGAGATGCCTGCGCCTGCCGCGGCCGCCGAGGCGGCGTGGTTCGAGTTGCCGTTCGACGAGGCGGCGTCGGGGTCGGGTGAGTTGGCGCGGGAGGGAGGAAGAGCGGGGTGGAAGGACGGGCGGAGGCTCTTTGCCGGGTCAGGGAAGGAAGAGGGGGGCATCTTGTGCTTGTGCGACTGGAGCGACTGGCTCGTCGGGGAGTGGAGGGCACGCGGGCGCAAAAGAGGGTCTCCAGGCTGAATTTCGAGAGGCGTCACGGCGCCCGAACCGAGGACAGACTCCTCATCTGCGGCAGGGAGGATGTGCTTGTCGAGGCCGGTCGTGTGCGAGGTCGTCTTGTGGAGAGTGCAGACATCTGCGAGGGTTCACCGCGTCAACAGAGTACTTCCTAGCGTAAGGAAGGCGAGAGAGCGCACAGGGAAGCGAGTGCACGACGACGCTGCGAGGCGGTGCAGGGGAAGGGTAGGGAGTCTGTCAGCGCGCCGTCGTCCTCGGGTGCAGTCCTTTGGCTCGTTCAGGGCAGCTTGAGAGTCAGTCCACCCGCCCAGCTTGTTCCGCCTCCGCCAAAGTGCGCCCTCGTCAAGATCCCGCATCGTCATCGCTGCGTCGACCTCGCCTTTCCTCGGGTGCATCCAACACCGTTCGCCCAGCCCTGCAATGCCACACAGTCCTCGGAAGAGCGCACACTCACATGGTCCTGCCGCTGAGCTCCCTCCCCCTGCCCTTGAGCTCCTCCTCCCTCGCCCCGATCGCCTCGCGGATCTCGTCGAGCGTCAAGTCGGGTTCACCGCTCGCGGGTTCCCACTCGTCTGCCTCGGGGAGGTTCTCCTCCTGGAGCGAGACGGTCTGGGCGCGCGTCGACTTGATGCGGGCGGGGGGAGCTGGGCGCGAGGCTGCGCGTGGACGGAGCGGTGAGAGGGGCATGGTGGGTGTGCTGCTGCTGCTGGCGGGAGGCATGGGTGTCAGTTGGCGTGCTCTGCCAGTTCCCAGCCAGGTGTGTCTGTGCGAGTCTCGGGCGAGTCGAACGTGCGCGGCGAGAGCGAGGACGCGAGATGACGCTCGGGAAGCGAACGACAAGCGGGATGACAGACGGCGGGCGAGTGTGCCGACGTTCGCGCGGGTGGATGAGCGTGCGCACCTGGTCGTTTAGTCAGTCACTGCGAAGTGTTCGACGACGAAGAACAACCGAGCGAACGAGGACGAGCGCCGCGCGAACTCCGCAGCGTCGTGACGCACTCGGGACTCGCTCGCTTCGAGAAACATGCGGCAGCCGGGACATCGCGCTCCATCTCGCGACAGGCTTCGATGCACTTCGAGTAAGCGCACACGAGCGACGGCGAGGGCAACAGTACGCAAGCTGGGCGAAAGCGAGCGACCGCAGGACGAGGCCTTCACAACTCCTTCTCCTTCCTGCTCCTCGACCTTCGGATCTCCTGCTCGCGCGCAACATCCAACGGCGTCAGTGACACGCCGAAAGAAGAGGAAGACGAGGGACGTACGACTTGGTGGTACATCCGCAGGATATCCCGGCGGGCACGAGAGGCGAGTTCGACGAAGTAGCCCCAGCCGAAGAGGAAGACGGTGACGACTGCAAGCGAGGTATTGACGGTCGCATGATGTGTGCATTGCGTCCGAGGCGAGAAGGCAAGAGGTGAAGGGGATGAGAAAGACTCGTCAGCTCTCCTCGTTCTCCAGCTGTCCTTCCGTCAAGTTGGGCGATGCGACGCACAGGTGACGGGTAAGGCGATGGCCCAGAATAACCTCACGCCCTTGTCGAGGTCGCTAATGAACGATCCCTGCGAAAAGTTCATGCCTGTCGCTCGACGCCACTGTCAGTTCCGCCTCCTCTGCAGGGAGGGAAAGGGACACGGACCGAAGTAGGAGGAAAGGAAGGTGGCGGGAACAAAGATTATCGAGACGCTGCAGCGAGGCGAAGCATGTGAGCGCTGCGCGTCGAAAGATACCGGAGGGCTTGGCGACGCACACCGATAGCGCTTGCTGTAGTGGCCGCACGAGGCGCTGGTCAGCTATGAATACGAGAGCGCGGGCATAGGGCAAACAAACCATATATGCGTTGGACGAGTAGGACAAGTTGTTCTGCGCGTTCGAGGATCGCGGTGATCAGCAAGCGTTGCGCAAGGCCGGGCACCGTCAGCTCCGAGCAACGACGTACGAAAGTAAAGGCGATCTGCGCGACATGAAACCGTCGTGAGTAGCTATACAAGGAGGGGCTAGTTCCGGGGTGTCGCAGCACCAAAGGGTTCTGTTTGTCGGAGAGAAACCACTCACCAGGTTCTCCGCGAGATCCGAAAAGAGGTCGAGGCTTGAGAGGACTGCATACAACGCGTCAGGTCAGCGGAAGTTAGCGTAGACGGCCAAAGAAGCGACAAACCAGAGTCGACGTGGTCCATCACGTCGCCGAGGCTACCAGTTGCCCAACGTCGTGTGTCAGCATGCGCCTTGGTCTGCGCAATACGAACGCTCCCGTCGACGCACTAGACCTTCGCCTCGTGGCTCACAAAGCCCTTCCTCGCGGCCCTCTCCGCCACCCTCTCCTTCTCCCTGCCCCTCTCCGCTTCGCCCTCCCGCTCATCGCCAGGAGCCTGGTTCGCCGTCGCACTCGGCCCGGCCAGCGCCTCGATCCGGAACGCTGCCGCAGCCTTCGCGTCGTCCTGCGACCGGATCGCTTGAAGGAGGAGTTGGAGTGGCGTGAAAGTCGACTTGAGGAGAAGCAGCTGGGATGAGAGGATGTGAAGGTGCTGTGTGCGACAATCTACGTCAAAGGGGAGTTTTTTGTAGACACGTGCTTCGTCCAGGAAGCCGGTCGCGAGCAGCAGCCTAGCGCAATCCTGGAACGAGGAGCAGGTCGAGGGCTAAGCGGGACATACCCGGACGTCGTCCATATCTGGTCGCGCCAACACCCGACTCTCGAGCATCGTCAACGTCTCGCGAAACTCGTCGACAATGTCCAAGGCATCGTCCGCCGTCACATCCAAGAGCGCCTGCAGGACGAAACTCGCGTCTTCCGAATCGCGGAGGAGGTCGTCGCGCGACTGGATGCGCTCGAAAATCTGGCTGATCTGGTGGTGGTACCCCGAGTCTTGCGAGAAGGAGAGGATGGTGCCGTCTCGGAAGAGGAAGATTGAAAGTTGCTCGACATGGATCTATATCGTTCAGGACGCAGATCAAGCGAGCTCGTGATCAGCAAGACTTGAGAAGCAGCTGACTTGAAGCTGCGACTCACATGAACCTTGACGTCCTTGGTCAGCGTCGCGACCGTCCACCTCGCCGCCGCACGCTGCGCTTCTTCCTTCCGCCGCCGCTTTGACTTCGTCGTCAACCCATGCCACTTAGTCGCCAAGCCTGAGCGATTGTGCGAGAGCTGCCGGTAAATTACCGGAACGTCAGCCACACTTGCGCGAGACACTACCGTCGAAAACTTGGGGTTTGACGCACCGTCCTGTACCCTTCCTCTCTGCTTCTTTTGACACCTTTGAACGCCTCCCGCAGGTTCTTCCGATATTGGCTATACGCCTTCGGGTGGACAGCCATGAGCGGCGATTGCGTCCCGGTTGAGGCGATGATCTGCGCCGCTTCGTCGGGACTAGCTGATCCTGAGGCATGCGAGCCGATGCGCGAATGCGTGGCGGAGTCGACGATCGCCTCTTCGTCTCGTTGGTGATGGTGGAAGCCAAATCTGCCACAAGGGAGAGTCAGCTTCATCGCGGTGAGGGAGCAGAAACCGACACGCACTGCTCCCTGAGCTGCGCACCCCTCTCCTTCCCCCCTCCCTTCAGCGCCTTCGTCGTACTTCGACTGATGCCCAGGGTCTCCTCGGGCGCATCCAGATCCACCTTGGGCTGCTGATCCAGCGTGCGGTGCACGACAACTCGCGCAAAGAGATGCTGGCGGTAGTAGTCGACTTTACTGCGCGTCGAGGCGGACGAGGACGAGTGCAGCATATCTTCGAGCGAGAGCGGGTGGAGGTTGAAGTGCAGCGCAAGCGGTTTGATCACGTCCCACGAGAGCCCGTTGACGTGCATCCATCTGACCTAAGGAGAGAGCGAAAGCTCAGCCAGTGCCGACGAGAACATCGGCGGAAGGGGGACAGACCTTCGCGAAGTCGGGACGGCCTGCTTCGAGGAAGCCCGGCACCGACTCGTTCGTCAGGACGGTGAACTCTGCGCGCTGTTTGCCTGGCGCATTAGTCGACATGCACGCAGCCCGCACAAGGGGGACGCACCTCCTTGCTCCACTCCGCGACCTGGACGACCGATCTGCAGTGCAAGTCCGGTATGTCGACTCGGCGAGGGTCAATGCCGGGTGGTCGCGAATCCCAGTCCGTGTCGGCGCCAAGGGAGAGGATGTTTGCGGCGACAAGTGCCGCGCGAACTGATTGCAAGCGCTGGGACGAGGTTTGGTCTGCAGAACCGTCGTCAACTCCCGCTCCGCGCGCCAGTGACATCGCTCGTAATGACCACTGTGAGCTTACTGTGCAGGTCAGGCCGCTCGACGACTTGTGGTGGCTTCAGGAAGTGTTCCGAGACGTCACCGCCTTCGAGGAGAGGCAGCTGCGACTCGCGACTTTGCTGACCGGGCGCCTCTGTCCCTCCCAGGGTCGATTCGTCCTCCAGGCATCCTCCTGCACCGCTCGCCCCGGCCTGGCTGCGCCCTGCGTCGTCGTGAGATTGTAATGTGGGGGGGTCGTCGGACGGGCGTTCGATTTCGCGGCGGTGAAAGTGTCCGCTCGACGAGCTGCGCCTGTGAGCAAGCGACGGAGACGGCCTCCCACTCCGCAAAGCCGGATTGTGGTGAAGCGAGGCCATCGTTGCGGTGAGCGAAACTGATGAAAGCGCTCCGTCTCCATCAGCACCACCTCGCTCCTCGTGTGAACTTGGCGGCCAGCAGTAGCGGCCCAGGCATTGCCGGAATGGATTCGGTGGAAACGGCGCTCTCTCCCGTTCCGTCGACGCCGTTCTCGACCGCCCTCGTCTCCGGAGGACTCGCTGGGACAGCCGTCGACACGCTCTTCTTCCCGATAGACACGCTCAAGACACGGGCGCAGTCCGAGCAGGGCTTCTTCCGGGCTGGCGGCTTCAGCGGCGTGTACCGCGGGCTGGGCAGCGCGGTCGTGGGCAGTGCGCCTGGAGGTACGTCGCGCGAGTTCCTCTTCGACCGCCGAGAGGCCTTTGATACGTTGAGCGATGCTGAATCAGTAATCGTGCTGCGGTCATAGCCAGTCTCTTCTTCACGAGTTACGAGCTGTCGAAGGATGCCTTGCCCAAGTTCTTTCCTCGGTTAGGAACGACCGAACTCGCGCCCGTCCTGCACATGATCTCCGCTTCTCTGGGCGAAGTCGTACGCTCCTCTGTCTGCTTTCCAAGCCGAACCCCAGCTGAACTTTGCGGGTACAGGCGGCGTGTATGGTTCGCGTGCCGACGGAGGTTGTCAAGCAGCGGAGTCAGACAGGGTCAAAGGGGACACGGAGCTGGGATGTCGCGAAGACTGTATGGCGGGGCGAAGGGCTACGAGGATTCTACCGAGGTTTTGGATCGACGGTCGCGCGAGAGGTGAGTCTTTCGCTGTCCTCGCGATTGCTTTCAGTTGGTTGCTTTGAGGGCCCTGTCCTGCGCCTTTCGTTGACACAGTAACATCCACGTTGTTTCGGACACCGCAGATCCCCTTTACCTGCCTCCAGTTCCCGCTCTACGAACGACTCAAACTCCTCGTCACGCATCGCACCCTCGGTCCCTCCGCTTCCGTATCTGACCTCCCCGCCTGGCAAGCTGCGGCATGCGGGTCCATCGCCGGTGGTGTCGCAGCGGGACTGACGACGCCGTTGGACGTGGCGAAAACGAGGATCATGTTGGCGAATCAAGTGAGTCTCCGTCTGTCTCCTCGCTTGAACCGTCGTCGGCCGATCGTCTGCCAGTATTTGACCCTGCCCTGCTGGTGCAGACTTCCTCCGAGTTCCCCGCGGCACCCGCGCGACGCCCGCTCGCCCTGCTCCCGACGCTCCGGCGAATCTACACGCACGAGGGCGCCTCCGCCCTCTTTGCCGGTGTCGTCCCGCGTGTGGTGTGGATTAGCATGGGCGGAGCGGTGTTTCTGGGTGTGTACGAGAAAGCAAAGGCGGTGTTGAGAGCGACGCGGACCGAACGACAGGAAGGGAGAGGGACTGACTGGAAGTAGGGGAACTATAGACGACGAGTGAGAACCTTAGACCTGCACCTACGGGGGTCCGCTGGGAGCGCCGGAGCCTGGATGCATTCGCGAAAATCAAAGAAGCGAGCTGGTATCGCCTCCATCCGCTCTCTGGCTTCAACAGCCGGTTCACTTGCCGAGCCAGTTCACTTGCCGAGCCAGCTCGATCCTCTGTCGTCTTCTCGAGTTCGTCCGAATGGATTGGTTGCGGATGCGTGGGAATAGCTACAAGCGGCAGAGTCGGCCGCGGGAGAGGCGAAGTGGCATATGTCGCGGAAGAGGCGAGGGTGTGTAATGTACGATCGTCAAGGTCCGTCTATTGGGCGCTTAGAAGGTCTGTAGCAAGGAAGAAAGGTCAGCTATCGGAGCAAGAGGCAAAGGAAGGGGGTGAAGCCGACCGGGACGAGCATGTCGCCGAAGGCAGCGATGGCGGCAACGGCGGCAGCGAAAGTGCCGAATGCGGTGAGAACGACTGCAGGGCAGAGCTCTTGTCAGCTCGCAACGAGGACGGGAGTCGCGCGAACGCACCCTTGTTCGCCGCCCAGGATTCGGGGTCCGTGTACTGCGCGCGAAGGATCTGGCCGAGCGTGATCTGCTGCTGCTGAGGAGGAGGCGCCCTGTGTGCATCGACAAGCTTGTCAGCCGTGCGTTGCGAGCGTGTCGTTCGGATGATGAAGAAGATGAGAAAGTTGGCGAGGCGAGCGGGAGCGGTTCGGATGGGTCGGGAAGGAATCTAAACCGTTCTGACGAGCTGTGCAGCATGCTCGACCTACATTTGGTGCGGGTGTGCGAGGTGTGCGGGGTCAGACTCTCGCGTCTCGCGCCATCGCCCTCTTCGACCTCGTCCCGTTCACCTCGCGCGCCCACACTCGCTTGCGGGGCCAGTGCTACTCGAGATGGTCTTGCTGCGTACCACTGCTCCCGCCCGGGCTGCTTTCCGCGCGGCGAACGTGCTTCGCTCGTCGTCCACCACCGCTCCTTACAACCCTCCGTCGCCATACTCGGGCGTCTCGTTCCAGCCGCATCCGCACTCTCTCCCCGTCGATGGCTTCGTCGGTGCAGTGGGAAACACTCCCCTCGTGCGTTGGGACTTGTCTTCGTCGCGCTTCATCAAATCCATAGCTAATCAGCCCGCCTTGGTTCGCTCAAACGCAGATCCGCATCAACTCGCTTTCCGACGAGACGGGCTGCGAGGTCCTGGGAAAGGCAGAGTTCATGAACCCGGGAGGGTCAGTCAAGGACCGAGCGGCGCTGGGACTCGTCAAGTGGGCGGAGAACACGGGTGCGTTCCCTTAGTTGTCATCCAGCGGGAACCCTTCTCGCTGTGCTCGATTCGCGCCACTAACATCGACATCCATTACGTTAGGACGCATCAAGCCTGGAGGAACCATTGTCGAGGGTACCGCCGGCAATACCGGCATCGGTCTCGCTCACGTCTGCCGCGCAAAGGGCTACAAGTGTGTCATCTACATGCCGAATGTGCGTTCGCCCGTCGCTCTCACGAGCACATCGACGATCAGAAGCTGACAGGTTACGCTCGTCATCCGCTAGACGCAAAGTCAGGAGAAGATCGACTTGCTGAGGATGCTCGGTGCCGAGGTCTACCCTGTCCCTGGTGAGTCCCTCGTCTTCCGACGCTTCTCCTCTTTGTGCGACAGCTAATCGTATTGTTGCCCAGCTGTCGCTTTCGAGAACCCCGAGAACTACAACCACCGTGCGCTACTTCCTGTCTCTCACTCTGCAGTCCCTGAGTCGCGTTCTACACCGCGCAGAGGCGCGAAGACATGCTGAGCGTCTCGATAATGCGGCGTGGTACGTTGAGAATACGTTTCGCTCTCCCGGCGCATGCTGACCTCCTCGCGCATGCTCACAGGGTCAACCAGTTCGAGTACGCTTGCTTCGCTCGATCGCGCTTTGCGTCCTCGTCTGACGTTCTTCCTACCGTGCAGCAACTTTGAGGGCAACCGTGCCGCGCACATTCACACGACCGGACCCGAGATCTACGCCCAGACCGAGCATCTGCCCGGCGGCTTGACGGCCTTCATCTGCGCGACAGGAACAGGCGGCACGCTTGCTGGCGTTACGCGAGCATTGAAGGACCTGAGCGGGGGCAAGATTCAGTGCTGGCTGGCGGACCCGCCCGGGAGCGTGTTGGAGAGCTTTATCAACCGCGGCGTGATGGAAAGGGGTGGCGGGTCGATTACGGAGGGTGCGTAGCCTTCCACTTGGCTTCTACGACCCGTCGCTGACGATGGAACGCTCCGCAGGTATCGGCCAGGGCCGTGTCACCGACAATCTCGCACAGGACATTAAGCTCCTTGACGGCGCCTTGCACATCCCCGACGCCGACACGATCCGGATGATCTATCACCTTCTTGACAAGGATGGCTTGTACGTCGGCGCATCAACTGCGCTCAACGTCGTTGCGGCTAAGCAGCTCGCCGTCAAGTTGGGCAAGGGTAGTCGTGTGGTCACAATCCTGTGCGACGGCGCTTACAGGTGTGACGTGTCCTCTCTTGCATTCTTGAGCATGCCATGCTGATGCAGTATTGGAGGACAGGTACCAATCACGCCTCTTCTCGAAGAAGTGGCTCGAGTCGAAGAACCTCTACCAGGAGCTGCCAGAGCACCTGCAGAAATACGCTGTCCTTCCCTAGACGTACTCTCCTCTCTTTGCATCACTCGAGCCAACGCGCTAAATCCATCAACACCTGTTGAAATGTTGCGCACGTTGTACACATGGCTTGCTTCAGCTTGCTCCGCATCAGCAGTTCTCGCTGGGCCTCGCTTCCACTTCTGTTGCTACAGTGCAGATGTTGCTGAACTGGGCCGCAAAAGTACACTGAGAACGGAGTGCCGCTGGCTCTGCTATAGAAGTGGGATGATCCCCTTTGTCTTGGCAATGTTAACTTTGTCCGGTCCGCTTGTGAGCATGCCAGAGCCTTGTGCTACAGGAAAAAGATGTTGTGCAGGCAGAAGCTTGGTGTGCGCCAGAGGGAGAAGCACAGGCCCTGAGATAGAGTCCGTAAGGCAGTCGAGGGTTGACGCTTGGTTGATGCGCCGAAAGCTTCCTTACTTGGGGCAATTGTATACGCATAGCTTGCTCGGTTAACATGTGGAACTTGGCTCAGATGTCCGAGTGGTCTAAGGAGCCGGATTCAAGCGCATCAAGCTTCCCTGCTTTCGCACGGGCTTCCCGGTCTAGCAATAGGCGAGGGTTCGAATCCCTCTCTGAGCACTTCTTTTTGCATCTATGGTTGTCTTCCTACCTGGCTGTGCATACCTTTTTGCAGCTCGATCCTGGGAGGTACGAGAACGAGGCCTGGAGGAAGGGAATTCTCCCTTGATGAGATAGCGCAGGCCAGTTGTATAACACCGCTCAGCCTCAACCTGCATTATGGAGGCTGCTCACAGGCCACTTACTGCTTTTTGCAATCTCCGAAGGATATTGCTCTTCGCGAGGTAAGTTAGGGGTTTCTCCCAACAAGCTGGCGGTTTACCCCGCACTCTTTGAGCGATACCAGCGCAGAGAATCCCTATCTTGCGGGGTCTCTCCCTCTTTTGCGGGGTAGACCTGTCTGGCCGTCCCAAGCTCCCCGGCGTCAGCCCTCTTCCGCTTCACTGTGCTCAGTGTCCTGCACACAGAGAGAAGTGTGCAGGGAGAAAACTCGCTGTGTGGAGGAAGTCTAGTCCAATCTCAAAGAGCTGAAGCTGGCTTGCTTTCTCTGGAAGGCAAGGGTAAGTGCAGTCCGCTTCCCTGAAGCAGGGTTGGGTTACAAAGTTGACAGCTGTTTACACGGGATGCCGGTGGAAGGAGAAGAGCTGGAACAGTGTATTGCCGCACAAGCCGGACTTCTGGCAGCTTGCTTTCCCTGGACTTGCTTAGAAGCTTTCCCTTGACTGTGTTTTCCCACTGCTTGACTCTCTATGCACACTCTGCAGGTCAAGAGCTGGTAGAAGAGGCTGGGTGGGCAGGAACTGAGCGAGTTCAACGATGTCTCCTGGAATGAGTCCGGGTAGGAGTGGCTTGTCACGCAGGGGATGCCATTTTTGGCTTCAGACTTGACATGCTTGAACCTCACAGGCTCGGGAAGAGTTTTTTGGGGTGGGGCTGTCCAGGTTGTGGAGGGTGAGCACACGACCTGGTGAGTCGTGGACTATGTCTTCCTCTGCCCCCTCTCCCTCTTCGCTTTCTCCAATTTGCCAGCTGACGCTCACGCTTGGCACACTGGCAAGTCACTTGAGCACCAGAAAAGCTAAGGGACTGGGAACAGAGGCAGTTCGAGGTGGTTTTAGTGACGGCGACTGGGGACTTGGCCAGGAAGGAGCAGGAGGAGGAGGGCAAACTCGCTTCTTTCAGGCTGGGACTGGTCAAGTCCAATGGCGTATGTGTGGTAGAGCAGGGAAGAAGTGCTGGTAAGTAAGCTATGTCTTTGACAAGGAAGAGCTCTTGCTTTCCAGGGGAGGCTGACCTTCTCACTCTCACTCTGGCTTTTGACATGACTCTGTTCCGCTTCTTTCAGCTTCAGCTGCTCTCAGAAGGTTGAGGAGAGGGCGGAGGTGAAGACTTGGAGCAGAGAGAGGAGGAGGAAGAGCAGGAGACTGACCTCACCCTCTCCTCCCGCCAAGCGGGCTGACTTGCTTCCCACACAGGCTCAACACAGTCATCAAATGTGCCTCAAGACCAGTGCTGCTGCTTTCTCTCAAAGCTGTGAGTCCAAGTCTTCTCACTCAAGCTTGGCTTTGAAGCAGGGCAGGAGGGACTGGGCTAGCTCACTCAGTGTCCGAGCTGCTGACTCAGTTCCTCCGCTTCCTGGTAGTGCAAGGAGTGAACTAGGCGGGACGGGTTTCTGAGGGTGAGTTCAGCTGGGTTTTGTGCACTGGTACTCGCTTTTCAGGAGGCGCAGCGCACTCACTTGCGGCAGGGCTGCACTGAGAAGGCAAGACCGCTCTCTAAGAGAGTTGTGAAGGGATGTGAAGCACAGGAGAAGTCAGTTGATGGAGAAGCTGGACTTGAGCATTTCACTTTCCCTCAACTTGCTCAGACACTTCCCTTTGCCACTCCCTAGCACTGACTTGCTTTCTGTGCACTCTTCGCAGGTCAAGAGTGTCTAAACAGTGCAGCGGAGCCAAAGTGGGTGAGTTCAAGCTGTTTCTCCTGGACTCTGGTTGGAAAGGAGGGGCTTCAAGAGGAGGAGAGTAGACTATTACCTTGGAACTTCTCTCTCACAGGGTCATGTAGAGTCCAAGCATGCTCTCTGCGTCTGTCCTGAGTGGAAGGAAAGCGAGTTGGGGCAAAGAAGGTCCGCTTTCTCCTCTTTCTCCTCCTCCTGACCCAGGCCACCTCACTTGTTTCTCCAGCTGCTGACTGGCAACCTTTCTTTCAGCCTGAAGTAGAGCCATCCAAGTGCAGTGCAAGGCTGGTAAGCCAAGGGGCCACCACGCTCGGCCAGTGGAGGCGCCACCAAGCTGCGAAGGTTCGGGACCTTTGCAGCCAATCACAGGCCTCCGTTTCTCTCTCTCCTCCTACACGCCCTCTGGCAGTCTATAAGAGTCTATAACGTGCTGTAGGCTTGCTGGATAATGTGTTGAGTCCCTTGAGCTTCACAAGTTGTCCCACGGGGCACGAGGCAGTGAGCTGTGGCCAGTCGAAGTGAGTCTCCTTGCCCCAAGGGGGCAAATGATAAGAATGACTGCAACTAGAGTTGCTCAGGCCACCTTGTAATCCCTGGCTGCCAGGACACTCCCTGGCAGCCGTTCTTTGGCACAGGTGTACGGAAGCAATGTGGAAGCTCGCATTGGCGCGGTAAGCGAAGGCCCTGGTGCAGAGGGGGAGCCAGGAAAGCAACATGTGCTTTTGCCGATGGGCGCAAAGGGGGTCTCCCGTGCGCCTTGTCACTTTGTTTGGCACAAGGAGCGAGACGGGTCTTTTCAGCTGCGGTGAACCCCGCGCAGGTGATTGTGATGAGACTATAAACCTGTTGCGCCTGCTCAACAAGAGCTCCTGACCAGACAGATGCTCCAAACAAACGTACTACAAGTCTTAGCGAGCTCTACGAGGCTTCAGATGCAAGTTGTCACTGAGTGCAAGCGGTCGTCGGACGACCCCCTGTTGGTGGTGATTCCTTGGGCAAACAATGGGCTTGCCGGCTGGTGAAGTCTGGAGTGTCTCTCCTGAGTGTCTCTCTTGCTGCTGGGCTGCTACAGACTGCTCTCTGCTTGTACCCGCCGTGCAGTCGGCATGCCCCCCCTTCATAGGCTGGATGTATCACCTGCGCAATCAATCTTGTCCAGATTACAATCTGTGACACAGAGCTGCCCCAGCACAGGCCGGTGTGGTGTGTGAATGCTCCATGGCTTGAGGCAGTGCAGGCAGCAGAAGGGCATTTGTAGGGCATTTCCTTCCCTGTGATCCCAAACGATAGATGGTCTGGACTTCATGATACACATTGGCCAAACTGCTAGGCACAACATGCGCAAAATTCAATCAGAGGTGAGGGGATTGCTGGCAGCATGGATGACAGCCAGAGAAAGAGCAAGAATTGGGGATACAAAGACCAAGTCAGCCGTGAGTTGAGATGACTTACTTGCCCATTCCAGCACTTCCAGCACAACCACTTCGTTCTCGTTACAACTCCGTCAACTGCTACACTGCTGGCACACCACAAATACATCAACTCAATGTGCCTATTGACCACCTCAACAAGTACTGGGTCAACCTGCACCCTGTGACCCACTTGTTATATCTGAGAAGACAACGTGCCAGGACAACGTGAAGGATCCGGACCAATTTGAGGTGCGTCAGCATTGCAATCTGCAGGTCCACATCTTCACATGGTGAGGCACTTCTTGCTGATCTGCCATGTCACTGTGCGCACAGGATATCCAGTTGACAAACTGGCAGCAGGCAGACTGTCTGCTTCAAGCCTGCCCTGCCTGACTTGCCAATCGATCGGTTGGGCCATCAGGGTCTGCTCGATGGAGGTCCAGCTTACCGACTACGAGATCGCCGCTTTCTCTGTCTTCATCGTCCTCCTTACGCGGGCAATCATGACGCTTGGGTTGAACTTCTACCTGCCTATCTCGAAGGTGCGCTTTGAGTTCCACCCGTCAGGATTCACCCTCCTCAGAAGGGCTATAGACTGATCTTGCGATCTGTCGCTGCAACAGGTCGACGAGAATATGCACCGAGCACACCGCCGCGACGCCATCAACACCCAGAAGTTCTACTTCCGCAAGAACGTCTTCGACCCCAAGCCTGGCCACCCCTGCGACCCTTCTCTCGACGCCGCCGAGCCTCAGCCCGTCCCATCTACCTCTGATGATGCCACCCTCCCCTCCGCATCGGCATTCGGTCGCGGACGAACCAACGGCTTCACTGCGCACGTCCGCAATGCCTCTGTCGCTTCTTCCGACTACCCCGCCTCTCCGACTGTCTGTTCTTCGCACGCTCCCTCTCGCTCCGCTTCACCCACGCCCGACATTGCTTTCGGACCAGTCGAGGACGAGTATGACGAGTTCTCGATCAACGAGATCATCAACGGCTCGAAGGAGACGGGCTTCCCTGCGTTGATTGGGGTCGTGGAGCGGTACCTCGACGGGCTGGAGAAGGAGGGTAAGGTGAGCGAGGAGGTGAGGAAGGGATTGACAGGAGCTTGGAATTGATTTGCCGACGAGCCGACGGTGCGTGTGGAACTCCTCGTACTGAAGCGAGCAGATGCTGACAGCTCTGGCATTGTTGAAGGCTCGCTCATCACCCTCGCGACCTACATCCGGCGCTTCGTCCGCTCGCACCCGTCCTACGCGCACGACTCGGTTGTTTCGCAAGAGATCAACTACGACCTGATCCGCGCACTCGACGGGATCGAGCAGGGCAAGCGGCCTGCTCCTGAGCTCTTGCCCGAGGGATGGCGGACAGGCTACAACGAGGACAAGAAGGGCAAGGGCGCATTCGGGAGGTGTTGCGGAGACGTTGTAGGCGATGTTGCGGCGGATGATGCACAGAGCGAGGGCAGCGAGGGCTTGAGTGCGGGCGCGGCGGTCATCGAGGACAAGGGGTTGTGCTGTGGGCCTATGGAGCCTGGGCCGGCGGCCAAGGAGGCATAGACGACCTGATTTGCGATCGAGGGAGGGAAGGAAGTGGGCGGCTGCGTCTCTGTCGTTACTTGCTTGGCTCGAGCATCTGTTTCTCGGTATTTGTGACTTTCTAGCATTGTAACGCGGTCCTAGACGCACTTGACCACACTCGTAAGCGAGGTCGAAGCCCGGGGCTCCCCTCGCCGGGCCACCTCGAGCTCCTCCCACTTGCCGAGCGCAGAATGTCGACTGAAGGGGATGAGGTACAGCAGCAGCCAAAGCGCCCGCATGCAGTCAGTCTGCGCCCGCATTCCACGCTCTTTGCCCCGTCGTGCTGCTCGCTCACCAGCTTCGCCCGCGTTCTGCATTGTTCGTCCCTTCGTCGTTCGCCTTGCGCAGTGTCCGCATCCAGGATGCACAGCGTCGTATGCTCGCATCGAGCATATGGGTGCGTCTGCAGCGCGCCATCTGCCGTCCTCTGTTCGCTGACCTCGACTTCCCCCCCTCTAGAGCGGCACGCCAAGTCGCATGAGCAGGGGCACGGGTACAGCTGTCAGGAGGTGCGTACGCTTTGTTCGGAAGGTGTAGGAGGGCGCGCTAACCTTGGGTCGTTGCGGACAGTGCGGAAAGAGCTTCGCTAGGTCGTGAGTTTCCCTTGTCCCTCCTCCCTATTTGAATTGTGAAGGCTAATCCTGCTCTTGCAGCGACGTCTGGCGACGACATCTGAAGGTAAAGCCTGAACGTCCGGGAGAGGGACCGACGCTGACGGCAAGCCCGCAGATTCACACTCGCGACACGAACAAAGCCGCGACTCCCGCTGCACCGGCGAACGGTGCTTCTGTGAGCGCCAACAGGGTCCTGCGAGGTGCGTGCTGTTACTTGTCGGGCGGAGACGAAGCGGGCTGACTCTTTGACGCAGCCTGCAGAGCTTGTGCAATCGCCAAGGTTCGACCTCTCCCTTCGCATCTTCTTGATTGGCGCACTGACGCTCAGGTCCTTCCACACAGATCAAGTGCAGCGGACACGCGCCCTGCCAGCGCTGCAGCGAGCTCAACAAGGAGTGCGAGTACGAGGCGACGGCGTCAAATTGTCCGGCGAAACGAGTCCGTCTCGAAAGCGAGGACTCGACGCGGGACCTGTCTGTCGGGGACTGCCCTGACAGCGGACACGGCGAAGCATCGTCATCGGGCTTTGACTCATCTGTCCCGACTTTCGCCCTCCCGCCCATGCCTCATTCGTCCGCTTCTTACCCTCCCCCCGGCTCGACGTCTACGGCCTCGCACATGCCCCCGACTTGGGGCGACCTTCCACCCGACTCTCTCACCGGCGACCTGAGCTCCCTCTTCGGCTCGACGTCTCCCGGCTTCACAGGTGCTCCCGCCGCCTCGACCTCGACTCTTTCGCCATCCCTCCCGCAGCCACCACAGAACGGCAAGTCAAACGGCGACATGCTCGACACGTTCGTCAACTTTGCCCTGCACCAGCACAACCCTACCTCTTCACTCGAATTGAACCTTGCGGCCGCTTTCTACCTCCCGACGGGCGACCAGATGTTCTGGAGCTCCTTCCTCACTTCACCTCCCGCCGCACCTCTCCACCAACCACCTCAGCCCTTCCCTGCCGCGTTTCCATACAAGAATCAGCAGCATCAGCAGACGGACTTCCATGCGGCCGCATCTTCGTCGCCCGCAAGCAATGCGGGTGGACTCTCATTGTCGACGCGACGACCGAGGATCCTCATTACGGCTGCGGGCATGCCGTCTCGTCATGGCAGTCCTCATCCGGAGGAGGAAGGAAAGGGGAAGGAGCGGGAGCAGCAGGACGCAACGGATGGAGCGGCAAACGCAGGAGGCGAGGCGAACGTTGATGGCGAAGGTCGTCCTTCCACCTCGTCTTCCGCCTGGCCGCCGGTCTGGAACCCGACAGGCGACGAGTCGGCCGTCTCGCTCGACCGCGAAGCCTCGCTTCCGCTGGTCGGAGGCGGGAATGCGGCAAAAACGATGCCGTTCGACGAGGACGTCAGGATCGCGTTGCTCGAGACGCTGAGGTTCGCTCAGCTCAGCGATGACGAGTACCACGCCGTGTACCGCACGATCGCTCGAATCCCGCTCTCCATCTTCGGTACGTTCCTCCTTCCTCTTCCTCGAGATGACGCTGACGCGACTTTCGACTGGATAGACCTCCTCTGCGGCCTCTACTTCCACCACTTCAACCGAGTCTACCCGATGCTCCATGCCCCAACCTTCAACCCCAAGTCAACTCTCGGCCAACTGCTCCTGATCATCCTCGGTATCGGCGCCGTCTACGCACCAGTTCCGGGCGCGCTACAGCTCGGGCGTGTGCTGATTGAGGTGGCGAGGAGGGGGACAGAGCACCTCATCAATCGGGACAACAGGTTGGCGCGGTCGCTTCCTGTGGTGCGTCGAGTTTCTCGCTCCGCCGTAGCATATACTGACTCCATCTGACAGGCTCAAGGAACCCTCATCTGGGGCATCGTCCGCTGGATTGGCTCGGCGCGAACAGTCGAACTGGCTGAAGTCTTCCGCAGCATCCACGTCGCCATGTTCCGCCGTCTGCGCATCTTCGACGACTGGGAGCAGCACAAGCCGCGAAGCTCGTCTCCTCAAGCGCAGTGGTCGGCTTTCATCGCCAACAAGGAGAGGCGGAGGACAGCGATGGTCTGCTTTCATACGTTCTCGCTCGTTTCCGCTTCTAGAGTATCGCTAACAGTTCGTCAGTAGTCCTCGAGGGAGAGGTAACGACCCTGCTGCACCTCCCTCCTGTCATTCCCTGGAGCGACATCAAGACACCGCTTCCCTGTTCAGACGACCTTTGTGAGCGGTGCTGCTACTCGTTCCTCGCCCCCGCAGCTGACCATCCTCCCCCTCTCAGGGAACGCTCCGTCTGCCGAAGCTTGGCTCGAGCTCAAGGCAAACGCGCCTGAACCTGCCTCAATCCCCGCCGTCGCCAAGCTCCTCGCGTCCGACTCGTCCCTCCCTCTTCCGCCCGCCATCTCGCTCACCCCCTTCGGCGCCCATGTCCTCGTCCAAGGCATGCACATGAACATCTGGAATGCTCGCCAAATGCATCTCTCCGGCCTGACAAACCACGCCGAACTCATCACGACTCATATCCGCCGGTCGCTCGTCCGCCTCGCGCGCGGGAAAGACGAGTTCTCGCCACGTTTCGCCAAGGGTGCTGCAGGCAATGGCGATGACCCCGCACTGTACGCCGCCTCACACGCGTGTTATCACCTCGCGCAGATCTCGACGCACATCCCGCTCGAGGAGCTCGACCTCGTCGGGAGGAAGGGCGGCGATAAAGAGGCGATGGAGGCGACTGATACGTGGGCGAGGTGGATGCAGGCGAACTCTGATTAGGCGAGGATGGTCGCGCTGCATGCGGGCCAGCTCTTCCGAGTTGTGCGCGACTACCCAACTCACGGTGCGTCCGTTTGCGCTTTCTCTGCTGTTCCCGGCTGACCTGTCCGCTCTCACAGCGACCTACGAGTCTTCCGCCCTCTTCCACGCCGGACTCTGCCTCTACATCTTCGCCCGCTTGTCATCAACCTCGGCGGACCCAGGCGCGAGCAGCACCTTTGACAGCTCATCCCGCGATCCCGGCTCCTTCTCCTCGTCGACCGAGTCGGCCTTCCCTCTCGACGCCGCGCTGTACAGCTCCTTGACGCCGGTCAATTTGGGGAGCTGGCTTGCGCTTGGAGGTCCAGCATCCTTGACAGGTGTCTCGGGCCTCTTCTCCGACTCGTCTGCGCCCATGCAAGTCCTCCGTGCCATCTCCCGCCATCTCCCGCCTTCCCACTCAGCTCGCAACTGTAGGGCGCATCGGACAGGTCTTTGCAGTTGTGCTGAAAGGGATCGCGAGGCGAGACGAGGAGCAGCAGAAGTTGGCTCTCGTTCCGGCCACCTTGAACTACGGCAGCGCGCCGGCCAGCTTCTGATTGTTGCGTTGTTATGTCAGTACTTTTGGGTTTTTGTTGTCCTATTGCATGGTTTGCAACGTCGTCTTTCCGCTCGTCTCCGCCCGCCAGTGGGAACGGTGGGAGCGAGCAAGCGAGCTCTCTCCTCTCAACAACTCGCTTCGCCAGGCTGGCTGACATGAATGACCCGCTCTACACAGAGGTCGAGCAGGTTCTCGGGCCCGGCAGCACCTGGATCACTGCTCCTTCCCCGTCCACCTCCTCGCTTGCATCTTCATCAAACAGCCCCGCCTCCGACTCGCCTGTCCTCTTCCATGCCTTCCGAAGAACGTACAAGGGTGCTGCAAAGCATGACAGTTACATCTGGCTCCAGATCGTCAACCCTGGGTTGCTCAAGGCGCTCAAGGCGGTCTTCCCGACTCTTGCAACTCTCTACAAATCGGTTCCCGGGGTCCCTACCTTCCCTTTGCGATTGCCAGCTCTGCTGACAGGCTCATATACACTGCAGATTGACGCTCGAGCGGTCTATGTGCAGCGCGAGGCCCTTCGCTCGGACGCCAGCTCTCCCGCCCTCGACTCGCTGCTTTGTTATGTCGAGGCCTCCTTCGCTTACGTGTGAGTTCAGTCCTCTCCAACCGTAGAAGACAGCTCATGCTTTATGGTCCAGTGCAGAAACCATCACGACTTACCCGGCGGGCACAATCTCGTGGCATCTCCTCTGGACCCAGTTGGAGATTGGTGAAGACCTCGAGACAGTGCACGACGTGACAGGCGAGACAGTGCGTTATCTTTCACTGTCTCTCTACGTCTCGCTGACGCCTCTCTCGCAGATGGCCATTACGCTCGATAGCTGGGCATACGTACAAGAAGCAATGGGGCGGTAAGTGCTCCTCTTGTACTTCATCTCTACTCCCACTGATGCTCCATTACTCACAGAGCCCTCAACCTGTCCTGCCACTTCTACCAGTGGGCAGGGACCTGCTGGCACCGCATCCCCGTTAACCCGCAAGATTTGCGAATTCAGCGTGAGACCCGTCTTCTCCCGCTTCTAACGACGATTCACTGACACGCTTTGATGTAGAACTTACAAGAGATCTTGGCGCTGCCGGCACGGCCTTTGACGAAGGAGAAGAAGGCGAGTTTGCGAGGTACGGCTTCTTCACCTTCGACTATGTACTGCGCACGTTGTTGAGGTCTCTTTGCTCACCGGACCACATTTTGTTGTGCAGAACGAGGACAAACGTACACGCAGTACGCTGGTCAGGTGCACGCGAGCTACGAAGGCTTCTTCTTCACTGGAGCTTTCAGCGGAGCGTGTGGCGCGTTCTCCTGCTTCTCACCGCTATAGAGCTGATTCTCGGGACCGCAGAGACCGGCTGATGGGAGAGGGGCAAGTAGTCATTGATGTCAAGAGCTTCCGGCGCTGCAACCCTACGCTCGATCACTGGGGGTGCATCTCGTTCGAGGCTCCTCCATTGGCTGCTGAGCTCACTTCCACTGCCCCAGAGACGACGTCGTTGACCGCGGCGGGACGACCCAGTGGGCGACACATTCGAGCAGCCGAACGAAACCTTGTCCGCACCTTGTCCGCCCGTGACAGAAGAGCAGCTCCACCTTCTTCTGCCGTCCATCCACGGCTTCTCGCTTCGTGCCAAAGTTAGTTAACACCTTCTCTTGCCATTGAGCACATGAAGCTGACTGCCAGTGTTTGACAGCGCTTCGGCAAGTTCCTCATCTCCCGCCTGTCCCCCGTCATCTGGCGAGACGAGTCTTTCTCGCATCTCGTCATCCCCGCTTCTTACCGCCAGATAGTCAAGGCGCTCGTGACGGTCCATGCGGGTGAGTTGAAGGAGAAGCTGATGGTCAACGCTGTCGAGGGGAAAGGGAACGGGCTGGTGATGGCTTTTCATGGCGCACCTGGAACAGGCAAGGTGCGCCTCACGATTCTCTCTCCTCCCGTTGCTGAGCTCACAAGCACGCCTGTCTTGATGCAGACTTTGACTGCCGAGGCCGTTGCCGAGCACCTGCGAAGACCGCTCTACGTTGTCAGCGCAGGCGAGCTTGGCATGACTGCGCAGACACTTGATAACCAGCTTAAAAATGTCCTCGAGGTGCGGCAATTCAGACTTTCGAGCTTGAACGGCAAGGGTGACCATCCTGGGTACAGCTCGCGACGGCTTGGAATGCTGTGATCCTGATCGACGAGGTCTGCTCTAGCATCTGCCTTGCCTTGAAGAATGAGCTTCCGCTGATGCAAGTCGTATGCAGGCCGACATCTTCCTGACGAAGCGCGACACGAGACAGCTAGAGCGTAACGCTCTCGTCGGGATCTTCCTGCGCTGTACATTTGCTCTCTTTTGCCGAGCCTAACGCTGACAATCGCCTTTGTTCTCTTCCAGTGCTCAAGTACTCCGGTGGCGGTGCGGAACGCCTGGCCTCAGCCGCTGACCTTCCCAGCTAACATTCGCCTCGTCCGCAGTCCTCATCCTCACGACTAACCACATCAAGAAGTCAATCGAGCTCTCCTTTGCTATTGTTCTCTCAGCGCTGACCCACTGGCGTTTGCAGCTTCGGCAAAGCCTTCCTCTCGCGCTTCGCCATTGTCCTCCGCTTCGACGAACTCGACGAGCCTTCCTGTCGGACCCTCTGGGAGCAGGTGCACCCTCCTCTTCACTTCTCCCCTCCAAAGCTTTGGTTGACACTCGCTTCCGTAGTTCCTCCTCAAAGCGACCTCCTCCTCGTCCTCCTCCCTCTCCGCCTTCGACCTTGCCCACCTCGCCTCGTTCCGCCTCAACGGCCGCGACATCAAACATGTTATCCAGACCGCGCAGGCGGTTGCGCTGGTCAAGGGAGACGAGTTGGGGATGGAGCATTTGGACGATGTGTTGAGGGTTGCAAAGTCGGGCATGCGGAGGGAGTAGCTGGTGCTAACGTGAGGTGCTGCCTGCGAATTGCAGACCTGCGTGCCTCATATTTTGTCTCAGGTGCCCTCATGCAAGTGTGAAGAGCGACGAGACTTTGTGGGAGCGCTGCAGCATCAGGGTCTATCGAACAAGCTCGTATTTTCACTGATCCAAGCGAACGAACAAGCGCTTTGCAGATAGGATATACAATGAGAGAAGAAGAAGGATGCGAGGAGAGAGTGCAAGATGGGCGGGAGCAAGAGGAGCTGCTCAAGCCCTTGCGGCACGACAAGCGGCACGGGTCGCGGCTTGGAAACCGGGTTTGATACCGGCAACCGAGCAAGTCAAACCGCACAACAAGTAGGTCCTGTTGCACAAAGAGTCAGTATGTACAGCGCAAGGGGGTGGGAGGGAAAGCGAGAGGCGCGCAGGAAGAACAGCCTGTTGTCCTTGGTCAAGGTTGTGTCGGGGCTCTTGCAGGTCTTGCAGGTCACATATTTGACAATGTATTGTTGGAGAACATTCTCGATTTGCTCTGCGGGTAGGGTGAGCCGGAGTGGAGTGAGATGAAGGTCGTGCAGGAGGGTGCGGCGGGGATGAAAGGTGAGGGTGCAAGAGCCGTGGTCAAAGGAAATGTATGAGTGATAGCGGAGAGGCGGTTATCCAGTCAGCGCGAGATTCAAGCTGCGGAGGAAGCGAAGCGCAACGCACTCTGCTGGAACCGACCCTTGACGACCAACCAACTCGATCCATGGACGAACCGCTCGTACCCAATTCGGCAAACAAGAACTGAATAATGTGCTTGGGCTGACAGTGCATGCGCTTGCAGATGTCAGCAATATTGGCAAACATTGAGCGCTTGTTGCCTTCGCGGAAGAGCTGGGGAGGCGGGATCCTGTACTTCTTCTTGCCGGCGCCGCCAGAGAGCGAGGGGTGCGCCTGGTGGAGAAGGGAGAAGAAGGACGAGGAGCTGTGTGGTATTCGAAGAAGGAAATCATCAGTATAAACTGCCTCAACAGGTGAACCATCCAGACGTGAGTCGGGAAACGCACATCGATGTAGGTGTAGTCACGGTCCTCCTTCAGCCGCGCCTTTGCCTGCGCGGCAGCCTCAGCCTTGCTTGTCTGGCTGTCCTTGTCACGGTCCTCCTTGGCAAAGGGGTCCTTGCCCTCACCGGTCTACATGGGCTTAGCCCGATCTCTTTCTCTCTCTCTCTCTCTCTCTCTCTCTCTCTCTCTCTCTCTCTCTCTCTCGTCCTTGCCCTCAACCAGCTCATCCTCGTTTACACCTGTCTCCTAAGTCCTAACTCTCCTCTCCTCAAGCGGATGTTGCCTTCTTCTCAAGCATGCTTCGGGGCAGAGGAATCTTTCCCATCTTGTTGCCTGGGAGTGCCTCAGTCTCGGCAAGCTTCACATGATTTGATGTACAAGCACACACTGAGCGGATGACGATCAGGAGTTGCGCGCTTCCTGCGGGCACGGAAGCCCGTACGAAAGCAGGGAAGCTTGATGCGCTTGAATCCGGCTCCTTAGACCACTCGGACATCTGAGCCAAGTTCCACATGTTAACCGACCAAGCTATGCGTATACAATTGCCCCAAGTAAGGAAGCTTTCGGCGCATCAACCAAGCGTCAACCCTCGACTGCCTTACGGACTCTATCTCAGGGCCTGTGCCTCTTCCTCTGGCGCACACTAAGCTTCTGCCTGCACAACATCTTTTTCCTGTAGCACAAGGCTCTGGCATGCTCACAAGCGGATAAACAGAGCACGGTCCGAGGCCAGAGGGATCTTGTGTTCCAGCAGACCGTCCAACGTACCCTCCTAGCATCGCCTGCCCGTCATCTGCCACACCCGCAACAGCCGGCTTGTATCATCCAAATCCTCCTCTGGCTGCCGCTCCTCGTTTGGAAAGAACCGGCAGATTTCCTCCCACAGCTTGTGCCGGTCCCGGTATACCTCCGCGGCGCAGGCATTGACGGCCGCCTGAGACGGCAGCTCACACGACCCATCCAGTGCGGCATCGACGTTCATCGACGGAGGAGCGGACAGCAAAGCCGCCATGCATCGTCGAAAGGATGCCGATTCGCTAGACGACGAGTGGTCGACAACGCTCGAGAGATCGTTCTGGAGGTACTGGAGGGCGATGACCGTGGGCGCAGTCTTGCACAGCTCGTTGAAGCTGCGGAGAACTCAGCGGTATCAGCCCGCTGTTTGCTTTAACCGCAACTGCGAGAGTGAAGACTCTAACGCACCGCTGTTTCCGCACGAGAAACTTGGCCAATCTCAGCGCTTCTCCGGGCGTGGGCCTGCTCGAGGTATAGTTTAGCGTCAGATCTCTGCAGCGTTCGCCCGAAACGACGCACTCGATGATCCTCAGCATCCACATGTCACTCAAGCGATGCTCCACCGGACCGCGCACGTCCGAGTGTCCGCCAAACAGGTACGTCTCATGCCTCAGAGGATCAAAGACAATCTGTACAGAGCGCTGGTCAGCTCTGCTGCACGAGCGGGCGGCCCGAGATGACCGCGAGCGCACCTGGGCCGCAAACCTTCCTGCTGGAACGGCTCCGTCGCCCGCCTGATCCGCCGACACAGCTCCTGCTCCTCGCTCTTCCTGAAGTCTTTCCCATCGCCAACTCTTGCCCTCGCCGCGCGTCTGACCGGGCGCCCTTGTCCTCCTCCACACGCCCGGCAGACAGCTCTCCCTCGTCTCGTTCGCATAGGCCATCCCGCCGCCGTACGATGCGGACGGTGGAAGCGAGCGGATCAATCCCGTCAGGAGCGTCCAGGAGTCGGTGTGTGAATCGAGGACGAGCCGTTGCGTGAAGCCGGGTGGTGGCGTGGGACTGGAAGTGAGCGTGGGATGCGGAGAAGAGGTAGGCGGAGGCGGCCAGAGGCGGCAGATCTGTAGAATGGTTGGGCGCGACATCGACGATACGGAAGTTCCCCCGCCAACTCGGGAAGGCGATGATTCGGGAGATGCGGGTAGCGCGGAGAGGTCGACCAGCGACCGCGAGGCGGCAGCTGCGGCTGACGATAGCGACGACCCAGATGACGATGGGAAAGGAAAGTCGAGAACCGTTCCCTGGCGCCACCAGGGATCATCCTCGTCATCCTCGCGAGCGTCGCCCTCTTCCCGCTTCCCCGGCCGCCCTCGCTCTCCCGATCCGTCGACGCTGGCGAGTCGAATCGCCCACAGATCTTCAAGATACTGCTCGTTCCGCTGGCCGGAGTAGACGTACAGGGTCGGATGACGGGGCGAAGGATCGAGCAAAAGGGCATGTCCGGCTCGAGAGAGCAGTCGGTCAGAACTGAGGGTCGAGGGCGTCGTCGAACCCGGCGGCGGTCGAGGGTCACCGCTGCGGAACAAGTTCGTCAGGAGTGCATGGGGGAAAGTAAGAGAATGGGGACGCACAGCAGGTGACTCCACTTCTTCCGCCGCAAGTCGTAGCACCACAATCCGCTATATCTCGTCTTCGTCGGGTCGGCATCCGAGCTTGTCGACAGCTCATCGCGTGCCGAAGGCTCAAAGGGTTGGTTCTTGCCGCCGAAGACGAAGAGGCGAGATGTGGGCGAGTGAAGGGCCATGGCGTGGTCGAAGCTGTGCGGGACAGCGAGTCAACTCCGGAAGTGAGAGGCATGAGCTGAGTAGACGTACAGCAGGGCTGGTCCGCCGTCCCGTCTCGTGTCCTCGCTGATCAATTCCCACTCGCCGCGGCCGGGTCCGACTGCCTTATACCGCCAGAAGTCGCTCTTCCACCGGTCCTCCTTTGATGACCCGTGCAAGCTTGTCATAGAGCCAGGATGCGTAGGCGTATGTTCGGCCGACGGAACGGAAGTTGACGGTCTGCGAGGACGTCGAGGACGGTCGTCAAGGTCCTCCGCCATAGCCACGTCGTCATCGTCCTCCGCCTCTTCCTCGTCCTTCCTGCCACCCAGCAAGTACACCCAACCCTCCGACTCGTCCACGACCATCTGGTGACAACTCCTCGGACCTGGTCGCTGATCCTTCGCCTTGGTCTCTTCCCCCGAATCGAGACACCTCCATCCACCGTCCGGCGCCGTCAGGTCCCACTCCCACAGATCTCCCAAGTCGCGCGACCCGTCCCATCCGCCGAAGAGCAGGATTTTCCGCCCCACGCGGACCATCGCATGTCCGCCTCGTCCAGTCGGCCAGGAGTGCGTCGCCTGCGCTGTCGAGCGAGAGGGCGAGAGTGGTTCCCATTTCGCCACCGTCCTTCCCTTGCCCCCTCCGGGCGTCCACTCCCGGAACAGCCCTCCCTCTTCCCCTCGATCCAATATCCGTTCCGCCTCTTCCCACTCTCCCTCCCTTACCAGCTTTTCATGCAACTCCCGGCAAAGTGGACTCTCGAACGTATCGCGCGTGATCGTATCGAGCGAGTCGTAGAGAAGGTCGAAAGCCCGGATGCCTTGCGAGCGCGGTCCAAGGCGGCGCAGATGCGCGAGGATGAGATGATTCGTCGTGCGCGAGCGGTGAGAGGTGTAGAGCGATACGAGCGTCGAAGCGGGAGGGAGGGGGGACAAGGGCGAGGGGGAGGACGGCGGGAGATAGCCCTCGAGGAAGAGGTGCCAGATCGAGATCGAGTAGTTGGCGTTCGCAGCGACGTGGCAGTCGATCTTGAGATACTTGATTGGCAAGGGCTGTGGATGCGAGCCTGTCAGCGGGACCGCGTGAGGGACGGCCTGGAACAGGACGAACAGCCTTTCCCCTCTTTCCGCCGACCTCTATCGGCACCTCGAACCGCTCAGGCATCGCATCGTTCTTCAAGCCCCCTTCTAGCAGCGGTTCCATCGACAGCGGATCTGGCGTTAGACCGCCCCACAGCGTAAAGTCGGCGAGATTGCAGGGGTGGGCTGTGACGGGAGGTTGAGGGTGTCAGCCTGCTGCAGCCGCTTCTCTGTAATTACATCTCCTCGCCGACCGCATCGTCTGGAGAGGCGGACGCACGCTTCGTAGTCTTCCCGAACCCGACAGTCCTCAATATCGCGACTTGCTCGAGTTCGACGATGATCCATTCCGGCTCCCTGCGTCTGGCCGGGTTGGTCCCTGCACTGCTTGGGCCTGTACCGACTCCTGCCGTCCTTCTAGCTTGCTGGCGGCGATCCTCCGGACTCGGAGCGGTCCACCTTGACGAATCGTCTGTCGGCTTGTCGACGAGGATGTGCGAAGGGTGAAAGGAAGCATGGTAGCCTGACACAGAGTGTACACTGCATGTGCAATGCTCAGCGTGTGAGTGTTGAGCGACCCGATGACGAGAAGTGGGGAGGACGCACACGTAGGACAGCCGAGGGTTGGGAGGGGTCTGCAGCAGCCGCGTAGCATCCCAAGCAGCAGGATCGGTCATGCTCGCCCGCCAGTCCAGCGCACGAGCAGCGACAGACGGAGAGGAGCAGGAGGGAGGGAACGAGCGAGGGTCTGCCCGCAACCGTTCACTGCGCCTGCTCACGCTCGAACGAGGACGGCTGCAAGCGACATGGACAAGCTCATCAGCTATCTACCGCCAGGACTGCCCCTCCTCATCGACGTCTTGAACCTGCGGCAGCCTCTCAACGCCGCCCTCCTCGCACTGCTCGTCGTCCTCACTCTCCGCGTCCTCTTGCCTGCGCCGCCCTTTGCACCCCCGCCGTACGCCCTCTCGGACTCGTCAACCAGTGGCGACTATCATTGGAGACCGGCGACACACCCCAAGAGCGAGGTTTGGCGCAAGTGGACGACGAAGGAATTGCGCGGGTTCGACGGGACCGACCCGGCCAAGGAGGGCGGCCGGATCCTCTTTGCAATCCGTCGCAAGGTGTACGACGTTTCGAGCGGCCGCAACTTCTACGGACCCGGTGAGCGCCCTCTCCTCACCCTCCCTGCCGCGGACAATCCGTCCCGCTCGTCTCGCTTTCGTGCTAAAGCGTTGCTTGACAGGCGGCCCGTATGCAATCTTTGCAGGCCGAGACGCCTCTCGTGGGCTCGCGAAGCAGTCGTTCGAGGCCGACATGTTGACGCCTGTCGACGAACCGATCGACTCGCTCGACGACTTGACGAGCAGCGAGTGGGACAATCTAAAGGACTGGGAGCGTGAGTCGTGCTTCTTTGCGTCGGGTCCTATCCACGTGCAGCGGTGGACAAGCGTGCTGACGTTGATCTCTTCCTTGTTCCCCCCTCGCCGCTCGTTCCGTGCGCCACTTTTCTTCCTCGACTGTTCCGCACAGAACACTTCTCGACCAAATACATCCTTTGCGGGTGCGTTCGTTCAGTCTCCACGACTTCACGCCGCTGAAATTGACTCCTCACCGTCCACAACTTGCCAACCGCCTTTGTCTGCTCTCCCCTCGCCGTTCCTGCATCACCTTCACCTCATCACCTCATTGACCCGCTACCAATTACTTAGCGACCTGGTTGAAACGCACTAGCCCGGCGCCGCTCCTCCATCCTCCTCAAGTCCAGTCTTCGTTGCCAGGTCGCCGTCGGTGCCCGTCACCTCTTGACGATCTCGTTATGCATGGAGTGAGGAGGCTCACACCGCGATCCGTGTGTTGGAAGGGGACGATCGAGCGTCTGAGTGTTCTCCTCGCTGCAATTCTCATTTGCGAGGCGCTATGCGCCTCGCTCATACAAGCGCTCTTTCTCGCTGGCATAGACAGAGAATACTCAGCGACTGCGCACGCAGTGCTTGACGTCCCTAGACGGTGCGCCGACCGTCCGCTACTCTGCTTGCTGAAGTTGCTGCGCGTCGTCTCCTCCCTTTGTCGTGTACACCTCGTGCGCAGCTCGAGTTGCGGCTACGCGCGAAGACCTGCACAGCACCTCGCTTACTTGACAGCTTTCACCCGCCCGTCGGCGAAGCAGCTCGAACGCGACACAGCTTCATCAGTCCGACTCTCCTCACGATCAACTCGCCGAAGACACGCGGCAAGGATGGGTCTTTTGGTGCGCACATGCTTCAACTGTGGCTCTCCTTGCGGTGCTGACCCCTCACCTTGCCGCCGCAGCCCTCAGTGGATCCCTCGCTCGTCCCTCCCTTCCTCCTCGTCTCCCTCCCCCTCGCCTACCTCTCCTACCGATTCTACGTGCGCCTGACCACCATCCCGCCTTCTCAGCGGCCGTACGACCCCAAGACCGGCATCGGGCGCGGCGCACCAGGTTTCCAGACGGGCGTCCGTAAGGTCGCGATTCCGAAGGACTTGATGGAGCGGATCAAGAGGGGCGAGGAAGTGAGCGCGGAAGAGATCACGGCGGGAATAGAGAGGGAGAGGGAGAGGCTCGAGAGGGAGGAGCGCAGCTCGGCGAGTGCCGGCGAGGAAGAAGCGGAACGGAGGAAGCTACCCGAGAACGTGGACGAGGAGTGGTTGCCTGCTGTTGCGACGGGAACGAGCGGGAAAAGCAAGGCGCGGAGGCGCAAGAAGTAGAACGCGCAGGCCAAGTTTGGCAGCAACGAGGACATATTCGCACGCCGTCTCTCGAACTTCCTCGTCGTCGATGAGGGCTTCGAGAGTACTGCATTCCTATGCCTATAGACAACTACCGAATGCCGAGTATATCGCATACAACCTCACGGCCTTGAGGACGGCGGGTACAAGCCTGCCGAGCGTTGGGGCGTGATATATCGGAACAAGCGCTGTACAAGGAGGCGATTTCCCAGCTGCTACCAGTATCGTTGAAGGACACATGCGCCCTCTTCCTGTTCAAAGTCGTATCCGGGCGCGCACGAGACTGCAGCGGAATCCGGGCGTGTTAGCTTGGCGCCGGCGGATCTGAGGATGAGAACGCAACGCACAGATCCGGCACTTCGACTCGATGCACGCGGCCGAACCACCGTTTGCGACGCCAGGCAGGGCCGTGCAGTCGATGCCTTCCGGTGCTTGTCCCCGCAGGCCGCCATCGCTGTTGGAGCACCCTCCGCATTGGGTTGCGCTGGACGTCGTGTCGAAGCACGCGAGATAGTGCTTCTCCTGGTCGCCTCTTCGTCGAGAGACGGGACAGACCGAAAAGCCTTGAGGGCAAGTTGCGCCGGCGGGGAGAGCGACGCGGCGACGGTGGGCAGGACCTTCGTTGTCCGAGTCGGGTGAGAAGCGCTGTTGTTGCCGAGGGGGTGGAAGCTGAACAGCCGGCTGAGCCTTCAGTTCTTGGGCGGAATCGAGGACCTTGGTCGAGCATGTCAGGCTTTGCGGGTTGCAGAATCCTGTTTGGGGCGGCGCAACCCGCATCAGCTTGCCCCTACTGGCGCCATAGCGACGAGTCTGGACGCACCCGAAAGACAGGCGTGGTGGTTCGGTTTGGTGCTCGGCTTGTACGATCCGTGGAAAGAGCAGTCTGCACCTTGGCCGCCGCAGACAGCCTTGCCCACTGCACCTTCCACCTGACATCCCAAGTTTCCCGCGCACAGCGAATCGTCGGGTCCGCCAGGTCCCTCGCATGAGTCGCCCAAGCCGCCGCTGAGTGGGCGAACGCAAGGGAGAAAGAGGCAGGCGAGGTCAGTTTAGGAAGGTCGACTGTGAAGGATTGGCGGTCACGACGCACATGCACTGTCCAGGCTCGTCGTCTGTGCCGCTGCAATACCCGAAGTCGCATTGCAGGTCGGAGGTGCACCTGTGAGGAGAAAGAAGGTCGTCAGCCATGCCACCGGAGCGGAGAGCTCCAGAACTCCGCACGGCGACGAAGAGAGGCGACCTCCGAGACGACCCATCGCTGTGCGGGTGCTGGAGTCGTGAGAGAAGAAGAGCATGCTCACCGTGCGCCAGCCCACCCGCAAAAGTACCCTGACTGTCCTGCCGCGACGCACTCCGAGTCGATGGGGACGAGGAGGCCTCGTCTCGCCGTAGGGTGCGAGAGAGCATCGCACGCCCGCTGATTGGGAACGGCGACACCGCAAGGGAACCGTCCGGGCTGAGCAGAGGCGACCGCGACGAGAAGGGAGGCGAGGGCGAGAAGAGAGCGCAGGTTCGGAGTTGATGCGGTCATGCTGGCAGAGTCGATGGGCGTTGCGAACGGGTCGACAGAGACAAGCAGCGGGTCGTAAAAGACGCTGCAGAAAGGCGAGAGGCGAGGGAAGCGGGCGAAAGCAAACAAGAGGGTGGCCGGCGAGGGAACGAGGGCTGCTGCGGGGGGGAGGCAAACAGGACGAGGCCCCCCCCCCCCGCCAGCGCTGCAACCTGGAGCGTCCAATCAAGCCGTGTCGTCGCAGCTCGAAACAGAGAGCCCTTCGATTCTTCCTGCCCGATCGAGTCTGGTCGCGACGCGCTGATTGCCCGAAAATGATTCGAAACGAGATCATCTGGCCGGACCGTCCCTCCAATACTCCTCGAGCTGGGCCCCGAATCAAGCAGAAATGAAAAGAGCGGAGACGAGCAGAGAGGGAAGGGTGAAGCCCACGGCTTGTCGTCCCTGCTGGATCGCCGTCCATTTCCCTTAGCGGCGTCTTGCTAGTACCACGAGACGCTGCCCTCGAACACGACCGAGTTGCGCGCGCCTCGCTCGGCGAGGCCGCTCTTCTGCCAACCTCGAGCGGTCTTGCCGAGTTTGTCTGTCCGCTCTCAGCAAAGCTCTGCTTGAGCAGGTGGTTGCAGCATGCGGCCGGAGAGCGGGCCACAAGCCGAAGCGTGGCAGCCATATGAGGGCGGAACAAGCTTTGGGTGAGGAATGTGACAATATGTAATGCGGCGCGCATCCTGCATCCTGACCCAGCGAGTACATACGGTGATCAAATGAAGTGGCAGATGAAATAGATGCCCGAAGTGTGGCGCTGAAGACGATGCAAACAACCCGAGAGTCGAGCCTGTGCCGCAGAGCGCAGTGCTCCGGTTGGCGACGATCCGCAGTCGGGACGACGGTGAAGGGTTGCAAAGTGCTACGGCACTCTGTCGGAGATAGAGGGCAGCCGGTGCCCCGCTCCGCCGCGATGGCGGAAGCAGGCGACCGCTCGTCTACGAGAACCACCCATGCTTCTTCGGCTTCGTATCCCGCTGGTCCCAGATGATGTCGACGCGCTCGCCTTCGCGGTTCTTGTGCTCGATGCGGTAGATGCCGGCGGCGTCGACCTGGCGGACGCCAGTAACGTAGTACGTCCGCTTGTCCAGCGCCTCTTCCTGGCCCGGGCGGATTGGATGGAACGTCTCGAACTCCCACCATGTGTGCTCCTGCAGGACACGCGGATGATACAAGCACGTGAGTTGTCCGCATCGAGCGAGAGTCAGTGAGCGAGGCAGCAGCAGCGCACCGACTTGTCCAGCTCAGCCTGTGTAAGAGGCTTCGCCTCGATCGTCACGCTGTACCCGAGTGCGACCACCACCTTTCCGCCCTCGAACACGTACCGCCTGCCCCAGTTGTCCCCTCCGACTGCCTTCGCTGCCTTTCCGACGAGCGTGATGCCCTTCCGCAAATCGCCGGCGCCGCTCTCGTGCCATGGCGGGAAGAGAGTGAACCAAGAGCCCCAGTGATGGAGCGACGTGAACAGGAAGCCGGACTGGAAGAAGCCGGTGCCGTCGCCGCGGATATCGAGCTGGTGCAGGGTTGGCTCGAGCGTTAGGGCATCCTCGGCCGACTTCTCCATGACGAGCGCAGCACAGTGCGTCACCATAGCGTCGCCGCCGAACGAGGCGCCGAATTTGGCGAGACAGCGGTTCCCTGCGAGAACACAGGTCAGCGACGAGTGCGCGGCACCGACGACGAAGACCCTCGACGCACAGACACCTTCATCGTTCATCCGACGCATGATGCCTCGACTGACGAGGATGCCGGCGCCGCCGTAGGCGATGTGGCCCCATTGTGCGACCTTGCAGCGAAAGGAAAAGTCAGATGTCGGCCAGATCGAGCGGTGCGAGATCAAGGCGAACCTGCTTGGTCGACTCGCTCAGTGTGCCAACCAACCAGTCTCCGTTCGCGTCGTACGAGCCGAGAAGGCGGGCAAGAGAGTCGAAATCGGGGAAGAAGGTGTCGTCGTCGCTGCAGGCAGATTCGTCAGCTTCCATTCGCGAAGTGGTTACTCGTGTGACGCACGAGAAGATGAACCAGTCCGTCCGAATGCCATCTTCCTCCTCCCTTCGCTTCGCCTCCTTCCACATCTCCTCCGCCAACGCAAAGTACCTCGTCTCGAACCGCTCCGCTTCCCTCTGCCTCATCTCGACAAACATGCCCATCCCGTTCGCCTCCTCCATCGCCTCCCGTGCGCGCGCCGTCTCGGTCGGGTTTTGCGGCGGCGTGAGAACCAAGACGAGCGGGAGCTTCGATGTCATCGCCTTGACGCTTGGATCGAGCGGAGGAGGCTTTGCCGACGGGATCCACTGCGACCAGACTGGCAAGTTCGCCAAGACGCGATCAGGTGTTGTCGACATGCCGAACATGACACTCGAGTCCTTCCATCCTTCGGGGACCTGAGGGCGCGGACTCGACGCAACGCGGTGCACCTTGCACAGCTGCTGACCTCGCTCGTCATCCGAGTTCACGCCGTCGTTCAACCGACCAGCGCCGGGTCGCCGCTTCGCCTCATCCTGGACAGAGACGGTCTGCGCAAAGCGGAGTTCGCGAGGTGGGTAGGCGTAGGGGAGGAAGGGTACGGGCTGATCGCCCGGTTGCTCCAGGACGAAGACGGTCCGATTGGCGTCCGGTGCAGCGGTCTGCGTGCCCTGAAGGATGACGGTCGGGATATGTTTGCGAGACGTCGAGTGCGGGCAATATGCGAGGAGTTTGGCTGTCTCGGCCTGAGAGGGAGAGAAGCGGGCAGAGGTGGCTGTCGACGGTGGACTGTTGAAGTAGTAGATCGTGAAGCTGATGAGGCAGAGAAAGGCGATGAGGTGTCGCATGTGCAGGCGGAAGCGATGTCCGGTAGGGAGCGTGACCATGCCCGAGTTCGACACGATCACGCCTGTACCGGCGCCTGGCAAGCCGCCATCGAGCGACTTCCGCCGGTACGAGGTCAAGATCCGCGAGCCCGCCAGGTTGCGTCGGGTGATGAGGGTCGGGAAAGAGGAGCTCTAGTTTGCAGAGGCCGTCAGCCATCGTTGGGATTCGCAGGCAGCTATGAAGGCGCACCTGGGTCGCCGCAAGCTAATGCAATCCTCGTAGTATCGCGCGAGCGCCCTGCAGCCGGCCGTAACCGTTTGGTGATGAGGAAGGGGCGGGGCTGGCAAGGTCTTGCTGCTGTGCACTGGGCAGTCTAAGGCAGCCGCGAGAAGCTATAGACAGCTGAGCAAGCGCGCGGTGTGCGAAGCGCGCGAGCGTACGAAGTAAGAAGGCGGAGGAGCAAGTGCGGGATGCGGGACGAGGATGCTGCAAGATGTCGATGCCAAAAGCCAGCCGCACTGCACTCTACATAAGGAGATGGGCCCGAGGAAGCTTGCGCGCAAGCACTATCGTTACAACAAGTCGCAATCGCGACACCAGGTCAACCGCACCGGAACGAACGGTTACGCTTCGCCAGCCCCCGCCTCATCGCCGAATCTCGTGTTCCGCCAAAAGCTGCCATTCGAGTGGAATCAACTACACGAGCGAGTGAAGCGGGAAGAGGAGCGGGCGCACCATGTTTGGTATGCTGTCCTTGATCCGGTAGACATGCTCGCACTGCGGGCAGACCATCTCTCCGTCCGCAACTACGATCTGTCAATCGTCACACGCAAAATAAGCATTCGACGCTCTGCGAAACGAAAAGGACAAGCCGCGGTGCGCACCTCGAGCAAGACATGATGCAGCGATTTGAGGAGGTCGAGCGGAATGGCTTCAGGTCGCGTTAGGTCTGGTGATTGTTCTGGAAGGTCGGTGTTGCCCAACTGTTCACGGGGTGGATGTGGATGAACATGGGTCGTCTGTACTTCGTTGCTTGGCTTGCGCCCAACGCAAATCCGTCTCCCTTTGCGTTTCCGGCGTCGAGATTTGCCGTATCCGCCGCCGCGTCCCGCTGCTTCTGAAGAGCACGACCTCTACAGGGCATTGCAAACGCCAGGAGTCCGCGCTTCCCGGCAGACATTCCTTCTCCTCCCCTCGCCGGCTCGAACCCTGTGTCTTCGCTTGACCAGAACAAAGGGACGCACCTCCGCCGCGCTTTTTCGCAACGCCTGCCACTCGAGCCTGCTCAGCACCCCGCGCAGAAACTCCTCGTTGAAGTCGGCTTCAACCATCTCGAGCTTGGTGACATTGCGGAAGGAGAGTGGGAAGTTGGTCGGGTATGCACAGGCGCGCGAAGGGCAGGAGAGGAGGTTCTGGGTAATCAGTCGAACCATGTCAGCAGTGTTCGTGAGCGGAGTGTGTGGTGGTCAACGCCAACCCGAATCGCCGTCTCGATGGCCCAGCCAGCAACCCTTCATCTCAGTCTGAGAAGCTGGCTAGTGTTCTGGGCTATAGACGCTGCTTGCTTGTGCGCCTGGGGTGACTCACTAAACCGCCTCTGCTCTCCTTCCCATTCTCTCCGTCTTCATCAGTTACGTGAGGAGCTTGGTTCGATGGCGTCGTCACGGCCAGGAAGAACGCGATGGGCTGGCCGTGCACACCTAGATCACCTCGTAGGGTGCTAGCCAGCGCTCGCCCGCGGCGAACCAGATGCGGGACTGTCCGGACCCTGCCGTCCTCCTCCCTCGCTCGCCGTCCTGCCTGTTCGACGGGGCAGTGGGCTGCGCATTGCTTGCGGAACGAGACTAGGCTTAGGACCGCACGAGGCCGCGTCATCAAGCCCTCCGCCGACATTACTGCTCTCCTTTTCCCTTCTTCTTCACATGGCGCTCCCAAAGAGTGCTTATCTATGCTGCATTAGAGTCTACGGTTCAGTGTACGGGTATAAGAGTACTGCAGCGCTCTACAGAAGCTCCGGGGTGCGTTGTGCGGTCAGGCGGCGGCGTATGTGACTTGAGCGCCCTCTTCCAAATCGAAAACTTCGCGATATGCGGCGAGCTGCGCCTCATAGTCGTACGACGAGACCGATGGTGGTACACTCGGTGATGGCGCATTGGCAGCTACGCTCGAAAGGAGCGCGGCGGAACTGCCGCAGGTTGACAGCATCAGCACGCGTCTTTGCCGGACTTCGAGAGCACATACCGCGCGATCCAGTCCTGCACGACCGTTCCCGCTTCATCCTCCAGCTCGCGCCCTCCTCCTGACCTTTCGTTGACAGCGTCGACCAGCAATTCCACCTCGCCCTTCAGTTCCTCGCACAAGGAGCGAACGGATTCCTGTTGCACCAGCGAGAGGTACGGGAGGACTTCGACGGCGGGAGTGAGATGGCGCGTCAGGAGGGACAGGGTAGAGCGGAGAGTATGGTGGGGATCCGGAGGGGAAGACTGTACATTACGAGAGGTCAGCTGCCAAGGCAAGATTGTCATCCCGAGCGAGATGTACTCACCTCCACCGAACGCTTCTGGTGAGCTACTCGTCCGGAAGGAACGGGCGAAGCGGAAGGGGCAGCCGGACGAGCGCGAGCAAAGTCTTCTACCGGTCGAACCTGGATGGGCAGAACGCTGTTTTCGTTGGAGGCGGCGACGAGCTGCACCAGTGCGAAGAGAGCATCGTGCTGCGAGTGTCTTTGTCATCATAGGCTAGAGGACGGGCGCGGAAGCTGAAACGCACAAGTGCGACGCCCATCCGAAGCTTCTCCTCCTCACTCGCCGTACCTCCCAGACTCCGCTTGATCCTCTCCGCCGTCTTCCCAAGCTCCTCTCCTTTCGTGCTCAGCCCATCGCCCAGCCGCTCCAACCATCGCACCGTCTCAGCCTTGTGTTCTCGTTCTCGCGCTGCGAGGACGGCGGAGGGTGGAGGGTAGACAGCTTGGAGAGTGCGAAGGTGGGTGCGATGCGAGGGCCTCTGAGCTGGACGTGAGAGGTGGGTGTGTAGACTCGGGAAGAGCGGGGCGTGAGTAGCGGAAGCGAAGTGGGCGGAGGCTGCGTGAGGGAAGGTCAGAGGGGCTAGCGCGCCTCGAGAAGCGTGCCGGGACGTACTGAGCAGCACAACCAGGCTTGCGAGAGACAACGTATCGAAGAAGCGGTAGAGCATGTCGCCGCAGGATTCAGGCAATCCAGCAAGCAGAGCTGCGAGGGAATTGTCCAAGGGCATCCACCGCCGTGGCAGCCTTTGTCAAGCACGAGCATCCCCGGCCCCCGAACAAGGTTTGCCTGCATCGGCCTGTGCGTCGCAAGGGCGGAGCGAGCAGAGGAGACGAGGACAAGGGCACAAGGGCTGGCGAGAGGCGGAGGTGACCTGAGCGAGCCGATGTCGGTTAGCGGCATGCAGCGGGGTGCGAGGGTGCCGAATTCGACGTTGCTCGACGACAAAGGGCAGGAGAAGCACGCTGGCATCGGATCGGGAGCAGGAGGCCTGAGCATGAGCAGAGAGAGGCGAGCGGGCGGGGCTGGAGAGTCCGTGACGGTTCATCGCCCTCGCTGTTGGCGTGCTGTTCGATAGCAATGCCGAAGTAGCAGTCGGAGTGTGCTGGCCAACTCGTCGACTGTGGATAGCTGGTTGGCCGTCGAGGTGCGAAACAAGGCAGGGTTGACGTGGCCGAGTTTTGGCGCGAGCGAGGTTCGAAGGACGGGAGAGAGACGGACCATTCACCCAACGCAGAGGCGAGCGGCTGCTTCAGGACTCTCGCACGCTCTGTCGACAGCTGGGCACCCTCGCAGCGACCCCAATCGGACGCGACAGCACGCGTGAGCAGCATTCGTCCTCCCTCCCCTCCCTCCCCGACCAGCGCGACAGGACAGGCCTCGCGCGCACGAGAACCACGGCGACGAGCACTCGCAGCACGCAGTAGAGCAGGATGGCGCACGCGGGCGGACCTCAAGGTGGGTCGAAATGTCAACGGGACAGGAAGTTGAGAGGGGGAGAGGAGGGATCCGGCCGACACTCCGCCGCCGCGGTCGGGTCGGCCAGTGCGCTGAGCGGTCGATGTGGGTCTGGCGAGGGACTCGAGCACCGTCCCACAGCTCTCGTGCGCGGGCGAGGCGTGCGGGCAGGCGTTTCCCTCCGTCGACTCCGCTTTGTTTGGCTTCCAGCAGCCAGGCGGTGCCGATCAAGTGGGGAGATGCGGCGGGTCTCGCTGAGCTTGTCCATCCTTCACAAGCGCCGTCGAGTACTCTTCTGGCTCCATCGGAGCGCGCCATGGCTGCCGTGCCCGCGTCGCCTGGCTTTGCCTCGTCCTCGCCTCGCCCACCGCCCTTGATCAGCTCGGCTTGATCTGAATGTTTCGCATGCTGATCTGTAACCCGCACCGAACGCAGTGAACGGCAACAGCAACCCCGCCAAGCGGCCTCTTCAGGAGTCGCCGACGCAGCAGCCTCAGGGAGGTTTCCCCTCCGATTCGACCGCCAGCCGGACCATCTACACCTCGTTTGAGCCGGCCTTCGCCACGAACGGTGCGATGAACGGGAACCAGCTCGACGGCGGAGACGACCACGACAGCTTCACGACCAACGGGCTGTACGGAGGGCAGCGAGCAGCAGGGCCTATGGGCAGGCAGCCTTCTGGCGACGCGGCGCCCGGTTCCATGGCTTCGACGTCGCCTCAGGGTCAGCCGCGAAAGCGTCTGAGGCGCGGAGGTCCGACACCGAACGACGACGTGCGTTGCAACCGATCCGTCGTCCTCGAGCGCCGAGCTAACCTCCCCCTTGCAGACCGGCGACGAAGGCCCCGGCAGCTTCACCGACAGCCTCCAGCACCGCCTCGCAGATGTCCACGTCAAGTCTGAAGCCGGCTCGGAGGCGTCCTCGGCGGTCGGCAGCGCGAGCGCAAGCATGGCGCCGACGCCGTCTTACCCTGGCAGCGTGGCTGGCGGCGACGTCAAACCCGACGCAAAGATGTCGATGAGCGACTCGACTTCCGCCGTACGTCAAGGAGTCTACGTCGGCTCGCCGCTCGTGCAAGGCTCACCTGGGCGATACGCCGTTCCTTCGCCACAGCTCGCCGGTCAGCCAACGGCTGGACCGTACTCTCTCCACACGCAGTACTCCCAACCACAGCAGCAGAACCCTCCGACGCCGCCTGTCGCGCAGATGCAGCTCGAGAACCCGGCGTTCCAGGACTTCCTCCGCAAGGTCGGCAACTCCTTCCCGCCCGAAAAGTGCTGGCAGGCGTTCTCGAAGCACCCGACCGACTTCAACAGCGCGCTCGCCGTCCTCGTCGGGGCTAAACCGCTCGGCGCCCCCGGAGGAACGATGGCGCCCTCCTACGCTGCCGTCAATCCGCCTGTCGCCTCTCCCGCGCCCGGCACGCCCGGCGCCATCCCACCCCAGTACGGCGGCGCGAATCCTCAGTACGCCGGCGTCGCCCAGAAAACCCACTCTCAGCAGCAGACGCCCCAAGCCCTTCATCCCGCCTATCCCGGCCAGATTCCTGGCCAAGTTCGCATTGCACCCGGCCAGCCGTATCCGCAGCAGGTCGCGCGCGCTCCGAACGGCATGTCCATGCATGCTCAGGCGGTGGGCACTCCGCAAGGTGCCGCGGCGCTTCAGCAGCAGCAACAGGCGATCAGCTACTCCCAGCAGCAGCAGGCGATCGCGTGGCAGCAGCGGCAGGCGAGGGCGCCGCAGGGCCAGCCGATGACGCCGCAGCAGATGCAGCAGCGCGGCTACGGACCCGCCGTCACCCCTCAGCATCATCCGGCCGCCGCCTACCAGTTCCCGCCCGCCTTTACCGGCGTCGCTGGCATGACGGACGCGCACGTGAGGCATTACGACCAGCTGCAGAAGCACTGGAGGGCGGGGACGATCTCGCAAGCCGACTTCAAGGTCCTCCAGCAGTACATCAACGTCCTCGCCCAGGCCGACCAAAAGCGTCGAGGCGGACCGGGCTACCCGCCTGGGTATGGCCAGCCGGCCATGTACTCGCACCAGGGCGTCTATGCAGGCGGGCAGCAGGGTCAGATGCGGATGCAGCAGCAACAACAACGACCGAAGCCGGTCCCGAAGGCGGTGGCACCCGCAACTTCGGGCTCGATCCTCGCTCGCCAGCTCGCGCTCGCCAATGCCACCGCGTCGTCGGCCAGCAAGAAGCACAAGGTCAAGAAGCGCGCGTACGCCAGCGACTCGGACGATGACGGCGGGGACTACGATTCGGCAGGCAGTGGAGACGAGTACGGTACGCGGGAGAACCCGGCGATGGTCGCGCGGCGCGAAGCTCTCGCCGTCGAGTTCTTCAACGACTGCACGAAGGAGAACTTGATGGAGCTCGCCGGTGCGTCCTCAACCTTCTCTTGCGCTCCCAGGTCTCACTGACGATTCCGTCTCTCGCAGGTTGCAACGCGACCCAGGCGACCCTGACGATGAAGCTTCGACCCTTCGCCAGCGCCAACGACTTCCGCACCCGCACCCGCAAGCAAAAAGGCGTCGGCAACAACATGATGGACGTGTACCTCGACGTCGTCACCGGCATGGGCGAGGTCGACAAGGTGCTCGACGAGTGCGAACAAATCGGTCGCCAGCTCTCGTCCGTCATGCAGATCTGGGCGTCCGGTGCGGCAGTCTCGGCGAAGTCGGAGCAGGGCAAGCCGGGCGCGTCGGGATCGAATGAGGTCGGCATGGATCTCGTCGCCATCTCGGAGGAGACGATCGCGACGAGGGTCGATACGTCGAACGACCCGCGCGTCCGGGAGGCCTTCAAGGACTACATTCGCCGGCAGCCCGCAGGCGTGCCCGAGTCGATCAAGCTCAAGGACTACCAAATGCTTGGCGTCAACTGGCTCAACCTGCTCTACCGGCGCGGCACGAGCTGCATTCTCGCAGACGAGATGGGCCTCGGCAAGACTGCGCAGGTCATTGCCCTCCTCGCCCACCTCAAGGCGACCGGCGAACCTGGTCCGCACCTCATCATCGTCCCTTCGTCCGTCCTCGACAATTGGATGCGCGAGTTCAGCATATTTGCGCCCGATCTCAAGGTCGCCACGTATTACGGCTCGCAGGCCGAGCGTCACGAGTTGCGGAGCGAGCTGCGCAAGATGGAGGAGCTTGACGCCGTCGTCACGACCTACAACATTGCGACGGGCAGTCCTGACGACCAGAAATTTCTCAAGCGCAAGATGGATTTCAAGGCGAGTTTGCGTCCTTCCGTAATCTAGAGCGCACGCACTGATGACCTATTCGCCTCGCTGCAGGTCACCGTGTTTGACGAGGGTCATCAACTCAAGAACAGCGAGTCGAAGAAGTACAAGGACCTGATGCAGGTCCGTGCCCAGTGGCGCCTTCTCCTCACCGGCACGCCTCTCCAGAACAACCTGCAAGAGCTTGTCGTGCGTGCCGCTTCCCAGGTCTCCTCGGCTCGATCCACGCTGATGTGCCTCTCCTACGACAGTCCCTCCTCTCCTTCATCCTCCCCGACCAGTTCCGCGATGCCAACGAATCCCTCCGCGCCATCTTCAAGGTCCAGCCGGGCTCGCAGACCAACCTCCTCTCGCGCGAGCGCATCCTCCGCGCCAAGAAGATGATGACGCCTTTCGTCCTGCGACGAAAGAAGGCGCAGGTTCTGACGGAGCTGCCGAACAAGACGGAGCGTATCGAGTATTGCGAGATGACGGAGCTGCAGCGCGAGTGCTACTCGGAGGCGCTGCAACGGAGTCGCAAGGCGCTAATCGACACCGAGGACGACGAGTTCGAGGTCGTCGCATCGGAGGACGACGAGGAAGCTGTCGTCGATGCGGCGGCGGCTGGCGACAACGAGGACAAACCGAAGCGGACTCGCAAGAAGGCTGTCGCCGCGCCGAGCACGAAAATGGGCAACAAGGCGAACACGTCGTCGAGCGCGCACATCCTCACCGACCTCCGCAAGGCGTCGAATCACCCGATGCTCTTCCGCCGCTTGTACGACGAGAAGAAGCTGAAGGCGATGGCGCGCGACTGCCTGCGCGAGGAGGAGTTCTTCGACCGCAACAAGGACTTGATCTTCGAGGACATGGAGGTCATGACGGACTTCGAGCTTCATCGGTTCTGCCAGATGTACAAGGTGAGTATCCAACCACCTCATGGCGGGGCGCCAAGCTGATCCGTCGCTCCGACAGCACCTCAACAAGTACGCGCTCAAGGAGAACGAGTGGATGCAAGCCGGCAAGATTGCCAAGCTGCAGGAGATGCTCCCCGACATGAAGAAGAAGGGCGACCGCGTCCTCATCTTCTCGCAGTTTACTCAGGTCCTCGACATCCTCGAAGTCGTTCTCGACACGATGGAGCTCAAGTACCTCAAGCTCACGGGTCAGACCGCTGTCGGCGAACGGCAGGGACTCGTCGACGCGTACAACAACAACGAGGACATCACCGTCTTCCGTGCGTCTGGCCGCGGACGCTGCATACCGCGAGACGCCGTGGCTGACCTAGCTCCTGCTTGCAGTCTTGTCGACTCGCGCCGGCGGCCTCGGCCTCAATCTGACGGCCGCCAACACCGTCATATTCTATGATTGCGACTACAAGTGCGTCCTTGACATCGCTCGCAAGCTGGTACGCGTACTGACCCTGCTCGTCGCGCAGCCCGCACAACGACAAGCAGGCGATGGATCGTGCGTACCGTCTTGGACAGACGAGGTGCGCTATCGCCTTCCGATCGCACAGGGTCCTCCTGCTCACCTCCTTGTCACTCGCAGGGACGTCTCGGTCATCCGCCTTATCACGCGCGGCTCGCTCGACGAAGACATGTACCGACTCGCGACCGCCAAGCTCAAGCTCGATGCTGAGGTTTCTGGGCAGACATCATCGATCACAGCGGGCGAGAAGAAGCCCGAGGAGGAGGAGGAAGAGACGGGCGGCGCGGAGAAGAAGATGAAGAAGAGTCTGCTCAGCGGTCTCAAGCGGCAGTTCGAGCTCGAGACGCAGGGCGGCGGCGCTACGCAGGCGGAGGTAACGCAGCAGGAGAAGGGTCAGGACGCTTGATACTGGCTTGGAGACGACGGATGGTAGACGCTCATATCCTTTCTTGTAGGGTCTTTCTCGGTTTTGTGTCCCCATCGTTCTCAAGGTATTCCGGGTTTACCCTCGCAATTGTAACTCCCTATGGACCGCCCGTGACACTTGCGAACATGGCGTGGGAGGAGAAGCTGGCCTGGGAACACGAACCGAGAGCTCCTTGCGCTTCACTCGCTTCCTCCTCCCTTTCCGGGCAAGCGACCTCTCGCTCGTTCTGCTCGCTTCCGCATGCCGTAGCATACTCCCAAGTTCGCTCGAGGCTCCGCGCTCACCATACGCGCCGCCGCTCACCAGGAGAGCGGGTGGGAAGAGGGCGGGACTTGGACGCGTAGGGCAACTGGGGCGTGTCGAGGGCATGCCAGGCAGGGTGAAGGCCGTTCACAGGGCGGATACTGGAGTTCTCCGCCCGCAGCGACTGACGGCAGCGCCTCAGCTGGCATCGTGACTTTCCCACCTGCTCGAGGACGTTCCCACGAGCAGCTCATCAGCGGAACCTTGCAATCTCGCAATCGCAGTCTGAGACACGCCTAAGCGGGCTCTGAACCGGTTCATCGCACGCAACGCATCTCAGCGACGAATGCGCCGTCGTTGTCTCGCGGGATCCTCCTCCTCGACTCGCCATTCCAGGAATGCCAAGTCCGCTCTTCAAGGTTAGACTGCAGCGCGTCTCATTCGCTCACTGAATGAAGCGGAGCGCGGAACGCCGGCCTGACGTCTTGGCGGCGCTCGGGAGGATGTTCTCAGGCTTCCTTCGCACGACTCGCATTCCCAGGTCATGCGTATAAAGCGGGCGGAGCTCGCTCTGCGTCTTTCTCTCCTCTTCTTCTACCACACTCCTCGTCGAGCCGCCGCCCGCAATCTCTCGTGCCCGCACCCAACCTTACACATTCGCTTGACCTCACCTTCCTTCCGCTACCGCTCGAATACCTTCGTCACCATGCTCGTCAAGAACGCCCTTGTGATCGCTGCTCTGGCAGCCTCTGCCATGGCGGAGGGCGTCGCTTCGCCTGTCGAGGCTCGCAGCATCGTAAGTCCCGCCTATCCTTCCGACATTGTCCTCTCGGCTTCGGGAGTCCTGAGACTGACCCGTCGTACGTCCACAGTCCGCGCATAACTCCGCGAACCGCATTATCAAGATCAAGCGTTCGCAGGCGACCATCGCCGAGGAATTCGCGAAGCGTTCTCCTGTCGCCCCCGATGTCGCGGCGGCCGAAGCTGCACGCCTCGCGCGTCGTTCTCAAGGCGCTCGCCGCGTCGAGAAGCGCCACCACGGCGATGCTACGCATGCCGCGAAGCGCGCGACCCAGGTACGTCGCCCACATTTCCTCCGCCAGCCCTCGCGATCCGAGCGAGTTCACTGATGTCGTTGGTCCTCATACAGCCCACTCTTGAAGAGCTCAACGCACAGGAGCAAGCCCTCCTCCCTGGCGTCAACCAGCTTCTTTGGGAGACCTTCTTCAACCTCGACGCGACCGCGCTCAATGCCGAGGGTGCCGTGCACGGCGCCGTCAGTGGCCTCGGTCAGCTCGCCAAGCGCAGCATCGAAACGCTCACATCGGAGCAGAAGCGTGCGCTCCCCCTCTTCCCCGGCCTCCAGAACCTCCTCAACCAGGTCTACCCTGGCTTGAACGGCGTCGTCACGCACACCGAGAACACGGTCACTGGCGCCGTCGACGGGGTCGACAAGATTTTGACGCCCCCTTCGACCGGAACGGGAACTGGCTCGGTGGACCCATCGCTCCTGCAGAAGGTCAACAAGGATCTCCTCTTGCCCCTCTTCTATCACACGAACGGCGTCGTCGTGAACGGCGAACAGGCAGTCAATGGCGCTGTCGACGGCGTGCGTTCCACTTTTCGCACTGAGCCTGCGTTTGATCTAACTTTCCTGGTATCGCAGCTCGGCAAGGTCGTCAAGCGCGAGGAGACGGAGAAGCGCGACAACCTTCCTCTCTTCCCAGGCCTCGACAACCTCATCTCGGAGACTACGCCCGGCGTCAACAACGCGGGTGTTGCCGGCGAAGCCGCCGTTCTCGACGCGGTCAAGGGCTTGAACGAGGTGAGCCCATCGTCGTTCGCCGCCTGTACATGTTCTTGCAGCTGACTTATCTCCCGCACTGTGCAGATCCTTCAGAAGCGCGCCACAACGCCCGCGACGAACGCCGGCACCGCTTCCCCCGCGCCCGACAACACCGTGCAGGTCCGTTCATGGTCCGACTACGTCCTCAAGGATGATTGCTGACTCTCTCTGCCTCGCAGCTCACTCTCGCCCTGCAGCAGCTTCTCCAGCGTCTCCTCGGCACCGGCACCGTGAGCATCTCCGTCGCGACTCCTTCTCCAAGTCGACGCTGACCTCTTTCTGACAGCCCATCAACCTTGGCGGCATCCTTGGCGGCCAGGGCCTCAACCTGAACCTCGGCGGACTCCAGCTCTGAAGCCGCAGCCCTCGGAAGACTCTTTCTTGCTTGCGCTCGTTCGCCCCGCCTGCAGTCTTCGTATTCTTTGACAGCTGCCCATGTACATACATATACCCGCTGTCTTTCTTAGCATCTTCGCATCACGTACTCACGAACACCTGTCAATACACACTTCTTCAATCCTGGCAGAAGTTGCGACGATGCTCTTCCCTTCCCTTCTGCTTCGTTTCCCTCGTCAACTTCGTCTACTTTACTGCGCGTCTGCTGCTACTGTCCAGCTCGCGCTTGATCTCGACGGGCGAGAAGGGAGCCATCTTGCTTCCGGAAGAGACTCCTCGAGGCGGCTCCTCTTGCCGACACGACATTGTCAGCTTCGTCGAGCCTGCTGACGGCTCTGTACGTTTGCTAGAGCTGCAGTCGAGCAAGAGGCCTGCTGACGCCTCACTCGTGCGCACAGCTCTCGAGTCTGCCTCCCCCCTCCTCTCCTCGACCCGGCGACCCCCTCTCCACTCGCTCAGCGCCAGAGAAGCCTGCACTTCTGCACGAATCCCCCTGCGCTCTCATACGGTACCGTACGCCCGACGAGCGGAGCAGCACGAATCGACATCGCCTCCATCGCCCATTCTCGACGAGGCGCGACCGACCGCGCCTTCAACAGCTCTTATCGACACAGCGAGGCTACAGGAGAGACGTTGGATTCTGGGAGGGGCGTGACTGCCCGCTACGCGGCTTTTTGGTCGAGGTTCCGAGCAGGCGGTCGGATTCGCTGAAGTGGGGAACGGGCTTGGTGAGTCTTCCGCTTTCTGCAGGCTTTCGTTAGGGGTGCGGGCCACGGATGGCGTGTCTATCTTGTGCGAGAGCGGGCGCACTCGCGTTGGAGGCGGCAAACGATCTTGGGTCTCCTCCTTCGAAGCGGGCGGGCCACACTGGCGTGAACGACTGAGTACTGACGTCGATCTCCTTCGTTACCGTAGCGAATTCTGCACGCACGGCATACCCTGCAAGATGTCGACGTCCCAGACGCCGCCCGCACCCGTCCGATACAACTCTCGACTCCCCCCTCCCATCGCCTCGAGTCCAGCCAGAGACGGCTCTTACAGCGACGCCGCACCACCTACGCCGCCGAAGATGTCCTCATCGACCTCCTCTGCGACGTCGCCGCCGTCCTCGCCGAGCCTCGCCTCTTCGAACCGCAATCCCGGCGACGCCGCATCAACGGGCATGACGCCTTCGCGATCCTGGACTCGACTTCAGCCACAGCAGACATTTGTGAACGGTCGCGGCGAACAACGGGCGCCAGCGGCACCGAAGCAATTCGTACCGCTTGCTCCGTCGACCGGTACTCCTCCTGCGCTCGGCGTGCAGCTCCAGGGCAAGCAGGCGTACGTCCGGCGAGAGCCTTCACCTGGGCCTTCGCGCGATATGAGCGGAGGAGGCGAGGACCAGACGGTCTACCTGTCTAGTCAGTTTGGCGTTCGCCAGCGTCTCGCGGTGAAGACGAGCTCGCGTCCACCTGCACCTCGAGCGTCGCTCAACGGTTCGCGACGGACTTCCACCGCATTCTCCGCGACACCTGCAGATGGCTCATCACCTGCGCCACGGATCCAGCCCTCCGATCTCTCTCCGGCATCGGCGAACGGGCGCAACGCCAGCCCGAGCCCTTCCTCTGCTTCGACGCCGCCGCAGGCGAGTGGCAGAACGACTCCCACGCCAACTTCCCTACGCCCTCCTGGATCCTACGTCTCCACTTCTTCTGGCGCTACGACGCCTGCGACTGCTCGCACACCGTCTCCAGCACCGAGCGTCGGCTCACGGTCTGTTCTTGACCGTCCACGACCGAGAACGCCAGAAGCTTTCGGCGACGACACGATCAGCTCGACCTTTGCGACTCGCCACGCAGGCAACGTCGTTCACGCCCCGCGACCTTCGCGTCCCGCGAATCCCGCATCAACCTCCATCCTGGACCGACCACGACCGACTACGCCGGATTCGACCGTCGCCCTATCCGCCTCGACCACAGAGGCGTTTGAACCCCCGCCGCCGACGAAAAACAGCGTCTTGGATCGTCCTCGCCCGAAGACGCCGGAGACCGGCGGGCTCTTTCGATTCGGTCAAGGGCAACAAGCGCAGTCGGCTGGTCGACCACGAACACCGGACGCGACGAGCGTATTCCGGTTTGGCGTTGCAGGGGACGGCGTCTCAGGTTCGACGAGAGTGCTCGATCGACCACGACCGAAGACGCCCGACAGTACGAGCGTCTTCGCATTCCAGCCACCGACTGCAGCATCGTCTGTCGGCCGCTCTCCACAACTGGAGAAGCCGACGTACAGCGTCCTCGATCGCGTTCGACCGCGAACGCCAGACTCGCAAGCGTGGCTCGATAGAGCGGCGCTGCGGCCTAGCCCTCTCGCCACGAGCGGTGATGTCGGCGCGAGCGCCCAGCATCGACCCACGGGGTCGAACACCACAACGAACAGCACGTTTTCGTCGTCGAAAGGCGGTTCGTTCGATTCGCTCGGCCCCTTCAGCGCCACAAGCGGGCTGTCCTCCTCCGGCTCCGTCTCTGCGGCTACGTCGGTTCGGCCTTCACTTGATTCGGCGCTCCAAACGGACTCGCCGTCTCGGGATCGTTTCTCGACGGGCGGCGCTCCGCTGCTAAAGCTCGACTTCGACTTCGATTTTGGGTCCGCCTTCGGCAGCACGGAAACGATGTTCGGCCTCAGCGACTTCTTGAAGTCGGGCAACCCATCGGAGGATTCGGTGTCGGCTTCGGCGCGTGCAGCTTCGACGCAAGTTGTACGGTCCGCGCCTTCGACCGGCTCGTTTGCTACACTCACCCCTCCGCCTGATCGTCCCGCCCGCAAAGAGCCGTCGAGGGTCGCCTCCGAGCCCACGGACGCTCCGAGACAGCCGTCCGCGCCCTCCGCAGGCGACGAAGCTGAACCAGCGACCGGAGAACGGGCAAAGCGGCCCCGGCTTGCAGGCGAAGGCGATACGGCGAAGCAGAGCGTTGAGCGGGATGTGCGCGAACAGCCATCCTCCGCCTCACTGCGAAGCTCGGCTCAGAGCGGCGCCTTCAGCGACGGATCGTTCTCGACAGGCACTCCTAGCCTCGCGTCCGACACGAATCCGAAGCCGCAGAGGCGCAGGCGACGGAGTCTTGCCAGCCTGCTCTCGATCGGGTCAGTGACGCAGATGGGCGAGCGAATGAGGGGCAAGGAGGAGAAGGACGGCGCGCTTGCCGCCCATTCCGAACGATTATTCACGCCTGAGCCCGGCGTCAGCAGGGCTCTCGCAACGCCCGAACTCTCGGCTCCTCTCGAACTCGCACTGCCGAACCCTTCACGTGCGGTCGACAAGTCGTTGCCGCCGACTCCGCTTGCCCCGTCGCCGGCAGCTCGACCTTCTCCACCAGCGACCGTCACGAGATTGCACAGCCAGTCGGAGGAGACGAGCAAGCGCTCATTCGGTTCAGCTGTCGACTCCGCGAACAAGGGTCTGAACCGGCAGATCTCGCGCTTGCGGAACCGGCCTTCAGCCTCGCCCGAGCCTCAGGGTCCTCGCACGCCCGGCTTCCAGGTCATCTCGGGCTCGACAACCCGCAAATTCTCGCGAGGGAAGAAGGCCTCGCTGTCGTCGCTCGAGACGTCCGAGACACACGAGTCGTCAAGCCGCAACACCTCCTTCGACCACCCTTCCTACCCTTCCGCCGCCTCGAAAGCTCTATCAGCCGGCCTTCCCGCCGCATCTGCGAGTTCCTCGTCCAAGCCGTTTGGTCGTCGTCTCGTCGAACGTTTCACGAAGAGCTCGTCTGCCGGCAAGCCTGGACCTGACGAAGGCCAGAGCTGGTCGGCGCCCGTGCGGGATCACTCGGAGGAGACGGCGCCGCCTCGTCGACCTGGACGTCGACGTTCATCTTTGTCGAGCCTGCTGGGCGTCGGCGGTAGTTCCAGTGCAGACGTTCATGCGGATCCGGCTTCGGCACCGAAGAAGCTCCTGGGCATGAGCTTGCCGGCAGGTCGGAAGAGCGAAGACTTGTTGACGAGCGGGCGTCTGCGCAGCACAGGCGAGAGGGAGATGCGCAGGGCATGGGACGAACCTCCGTCGCTGTCGGGTCCTTCTTTGAGCGGCAGGCGAAGCTTTGACGCCCTTCGCGACGCTCGCCCCGTTGCGCGTACGCCAAGCACCGACGACCTCCTCGTAGGTCCTGCTCTCCCTTCGGCAGATGACGCGCTGAATTCGCCTCCCCGCAGAGCCTCGCGACCGCCAAGCTCTCGAAGCTCGCCGTCCCATCCGTCGTTGCCGAACCGCCACTATCGCAGCTCGCATCAGCAAGTCAGCAGGTCCCGACTCCGCAGCCAGTCGACCCCACGCCTTCCCAGCCTGCGGTCCCCGAGGTTGCGCCCATCCAGCTTCCATCGTCTGCTGAGACGACGGTTCCAGCTGCCGCGCCGACAGCTACGGCGATAGCCCGACCAGAGACTCGCTATCCAGACGCGCTCTCTCAACTCGTCGCGAACGACCCGGTCAACCCGCTATTGCCCGCCCCTCCCCAGCCTCAGCAGCTGCATCCTTCGGCGCCTTCTCAGCGAAAGCGCTCTCCGCCTGTGGACCCGCCAGTATGGCGACGGCCCGCACCGGCTACATCTCGCCGTCCCGGCCACCCAGAGACGCATCTGAGCAATGCCTGGCTCGAATTGGAGGACGCGCTGAGAGTGTGCGTCTCCTCCCGCTCCACCTCGTCTCGTCTTAACCTGACCGACACTGGTATCGACAGATATGCTGTGCTGATCCAGGAGCGCAAGCCCGACAGAGGCGCCATCATCGGCAACGTCGTCCTACCCTTCCTGCAGCGAGACGACGACCATCCCGTCCTCAATCTCAGCGACCGGCTTGCTAAACGCCAGCGTGATATTCTTTTCGAGTGGTACGCCTTGCGTGATGACGTAGATATTCCACACTGACACCTTTCCGTGTCGCAGGCTCAAGACGCTGACGACGGAGTTGCATGAGATGCAGCCTGCGCACCGCGGCCTCAGCCTGGAAGCCGTCGCAGGCATCGCTGAGAGGTGTGTTGGGCTCTTGGAGGCCGGCAAAACCCCTCTCAACCCAAAGTTTAGTGACTGACCTTCCGTCCCTGCCCAGCCACCACTTCTCGGCTTCCGCACTCCGCAATGACACCAAGGCGCAGGTCCGGTATCGCTCGACGCTGATCCGCATGCTGGATTTTGCCGTGGAGAAGCTGAACGACAAAGGCGCGTGCAGCGGGGAGAGTCGCATCCTCCTATACTGACACGTCCCTCTCGCAGCCGTCTACGCCAACACACTCGCTTTCTCTGGTCGAGTCTTCGCTCTCGCCTTCTTCCGCGTCGAGGGGGTCGCCCTCAAGCTCTTGCGCGCGCTTCCGACCGTGAAGCGTCAGGCCTTGCGAAGGGTGTTGGAAGAAGCCGGTGTGCAGGAAAAGTGTGTTGCGATCCAGACCCGCCTCTCACGGCGCCCGGCTCACGCCTCGTCCTCGTCCACAGCGCTCTCCCGCCAGCCGATGTCGACCGCTTCCCGCCCCATCTGTCCGACCTCTGCTTGCGCGACTTTCCGACCTACGTCAAGCTGCACATCGGACAGCGGCAGCAACTCGGCGACGAAGATCGAATTCTCGTTCGCGACGGTGACGTCGAGGTGGAGATGTCGGGAAACTGGTGCGTTGACTACGTACTACCGTGATCCCGGCGTCGGCTCATCTCGCTTCCCCAGGCTCATCCGCTGGACGGCATCCGACTCAGACCTGCCCTTCGCCTTCTACCGCGCGTATCATCACCAACTAGCTGCTCATCTCGTCTCGTCTGAGCTGCGCTCGTCGGTTCGCACCCAGCCATCGCTTCCGCCGTCCGTCGTCATCACAGCGCCCGGTTTCCTCTTCTTGGCCGCTTCGCTTCTGGACAAGAGCGACGCTCTCGTCCATCGCAACCTCCGCTCCGTCACCTCGATCGGCCCGAACAGCGGAAATTTTGCCGTCAACGACTCGGCGAATCTGTCCTTCGGCCAGAAGCCAAAGGTTCTCGAGCTCGCACACCGCCGGGTCGTCCAGACAATGGTCGACATCTATGGGGGCGCGACTCCGGCCCCTAAGACCGACGAGCCGCAAGACCCGGACGCCCATGTTCGCCGATACCTTTTCGCGCAGATGTTGCCGGTCTGGCTTAGAGCGTGCGTGAAGCGGACGTCGTTGTGGGACACCCGGAGCGTCTACCTCGTCCTCGACCTGGTCGAAGGCCTCATTTACCAGCTCGCCTATCCTGCGCCCGACTCCGACGAAGACGATGCGTTGGCGGCGAAGCCAGACGCAACCGTCCTCGACGCCTTCGACCTCCCTTTCTTGTTCTCGGCCGTTCGCAAGATCTTCCTCGAGGCCGACGGGACGGTCACCCTCATGCGGACAATCTCGTTCCTCTACTCGCATTTCCCTCTGTGCGCGCATTCCACGACTTTCAGGGTTGCCAGCCTGACCTTCCTACCGAGCAGGTTCACGATGCGCAACGACGATCGGACCGAGTTGTGCGAGCGCCTCATCCTCGACGAAGCCGTCTTCCAAAGGCTGTTTCTCCACTGGAACTCCGGCGTTCGCGGCTACTTCATCCGTTTGGTACGTCTTGCAGCTGTGGATACCTTCGGCCGTTTCGCTCATTTGCCTCGTCCTCTTCAGCTGGTTTGGCGTGTTTCCCGCCTCGGCGTCGTCGCGCACGAACAGAACCCGAACCGTCCCCCAGACGACGGCATCGTCGCCATTTTCAATCTTCTGAATGTTCGCCTCGAAGCTCTGCGCAAGCGGCACGACCAGCTTGAGCCGTTTGACAGTCTCTCCGAGGACGACTTCCTCTTCAGACCGAAGAGATCTACGATCTGCTCGACCCGCGGCGTCAAGGAAGCACCTTGGACTGTCGACGAGCTCGCTGAACCGGTCGAAGAGGAGGAGCCCGAGTCGGAAGAGGTGATGCAGCCAGCGCCACCCGTCAGCGCTGTTGCCGAGGCCGATACAAGTGAACAAGGCGGCAAGAGGCAGGACCAGAAGACGGTCTCGAAGGTCGTCTCATGGCTGAAGGGCGGGATGGCCAAGAAGCAGAGCAAGGCTCGCTCGTCGCTCGACTCGAGGATCGACCCATTCGCATTGGACCGGGACGATACGTCGTCCTCTTCTCGCCGCAGACGGATGGGGTCCAGCAGCAGCGACGTGTTGTCGGTCAGCTCGCAGGACGTGCCGACGACAGTCCTCCCGACAAAGGTCGAGACAGGCGCCATCCCCGACGGTCGCGCCTCGCCAGCTCCGCGATTGCCGACGACTGCCGTCGATCGAGCCTTGCTTTCGCCACCCAGCTCGCCGTCGCGACCGGGAATGCCGTCTCGTCGAACCTCAAGCTCTGAAAAACGTCGCTCGCACGGCTCCGCTTTCTTCGCCTTCGAATTCGAGAACGGCGTGGTTACACGTACCGACGTCGATCCTGCCCTCGCTTCGTCGGCTGCGTCGGCCAAAACCAGCGATACCGCGTTGCCCACCTCGCCCATTCGACCGCGCCACGCAGGAGAACACCACCTCGCGCTCTCACCTCGCGTCTCCTTACGCTTCTCAAAGCGGATTTCGATTCTCCCGCCAGCTGCGCTGGACCTCCTACGCGAGGTCAGCGGCGTTGAGGACGTCCCGCCGATCCCCGCCAGGTTCCGCGAGACGGTCGAAGCCGGTTACGACAAGAGGCTGCACCCGTACGCCATCCGAGGTCTGCGCGACTATGAAGACGCACTCGACGAGTGGACGGATTGGATCGCCAGTCTCCAGGAAGACGAGGATCTCAATGGCAGACTGAACAAGGGCTTCGCCGATGTTGTACGTCTCCCCTTTCCCACGCGCTGCTCTCAGAGCTGACCGCCTGCTGCGCTCTCTAGGTCCCTCGTCTTGGTGTCAACTGGCCACTGCAGCAGGGCGAAGACTGAGCGCCTCATGCGTTTTTCATCCTAGATTCCGTTCGTCCTTTCGACTCTTCCCGTGTGCTTCCCGCTGGTTAACACGCTTTCTCCGCGCGTCACAGGTCGTTCATAGCCCGTTCTCTTCATTCGCAGGAGCGATACCCTCTGCACCTTCCGCTCTCATTCTTGTGATTCCCCTCGCCTCCGTTACCCCCTGGTTCCAGCCATGATACCTCCCGCCCTTGACGTTGTCCAGTGTATTGAACGTCTTGTGGCTGTCAGCTCGACCAAACGCTGTCCAGTGAGTTGCGCAAGCCTCAAGAGTTCAACGAGCGACGAGGACTGCCCTTCCACCCGCGACAACACCGCTGAACAAGCTCGCGCTCCCGTCTGCTCTGTGTCGGAGTCCCTTCTGAACATCTCTCCAGCTTTCGCACCTCTCGCACCGCGCCGCACCCTCTCGCTTTCCGCCTCCCCACCTTCATCAGCTCTTGACCTCGAAACCCCTCATGTCCGACCAACCGCCTCGCAAGAAGTCGAAATGGGACGACGATGAAGAAGAGTTTGCACTGGAGAAGGAGCGCAGACGCGCACAGAAGCTGGCAGCTCGCCTGATGAGCGAGAAGGAACAGCTGGAACGGTCTCGCGAACGGGGCGCGACAGACTCTCCGCGCGGAAGTGGGCGGTCGAGCGTTGAGAGCACGCCAAGACGGGTTGCACGGGACGACGATGGGCTGGCACGAGCGCGGAGAGTACCGAGACGGGGCAGGGCTGCGCACCCGCTTCTCGAGAGCTGCCGGTCCGTGTATTGCTACGAGGTGCGTCAGGACTCTGCCGTGTCGCCTGTGCCACACTCTCCTTACCCTTCTTTTCAATCGTCAGCGCCTCAACGAGATCGAGGAAGGGAGCTACGGCATCGTCTTCCGCGCCCGCTGCAAGTCAACGGGCGATATCGTCGCGCTCAAGAAGCTCAAGATGGACAAGGAGAAGAACGGCTTCCCCATCACCAGTCTGCGGGAGATACAGACGCTGATGACCGTGCCGCACGAGAACATCGTCCGCGTGCGTGAGGTGGTCGTGGGAGACACGCTTACGCAGTCAGTCCCTTCCAACTCGCGCCGCGGCCTTGACAAACACTGCTGAATGCTCGTTTCTCAGAGTCTTCATCGTGATGGACTTCATCGAGCACGATCTCAAGACGCTGCTCGCCAACATGCCGACACCTTTCCTGGCATCCGAGATCAAGACGCTCGTCATGCAGCTCCTGTCAGCAATGGCCGCATGCCACGACAACTGGGTCATTCACCGCGACTTGAAGACTAGCAATCTGCTCATGAACAATCGAGGGCAGATCAAGGTCGCCGACTTTGGATTGGCGAGGACGTATGGCGACCCGCTCGGCGACATGACGCAGCTGGTGGTCACATTGTGGTATCGGTGCGTTACAGGACGCTTCATCTTTGGTAATCGCGACCTGCGCTGACCTACGACGCTTGCATGACGCTGGCAGCGCGCCCGAGCTTCTCTTCGGTGCGACGGAATACACGACGGCGGTCGACATGTGGTCAATAGGGTGCATCTTCGGCGAGCTCATCCTGCGAGAACCGCTGCTGCCCGGCCGAGGCGAGATTGACCAGGTCAACAAGGTGCGTTTCACTGCAAAGCTTCCGCCCGCCTTCTTGACGCTGACCATGTTCCCGTGACAGATCTTCAAGCTCCTCGGCCGCCCGACGGACGAGCTCTGGCCAGGCTTCCGCAAGTTGCCTAACGCCAAGTCCTTCAATATCGACGCCGCGCAGCCGTACGTTCGCGGAACTATTCAATCTCGGCTTGGCTGATCCTGGCTTCTCGCAGTTACTCCACCCTCTCCCGCACGTTCCGCTACCTCACTCAATCCGGCCTTGACCTCCTTTCCCGGCTCCTCACCTACGACCCGGCGAAGCGCATCACGGCGGAGGAGGCGCTCAAGCACGCTTACTTCGAGGAAAGCCCGCTGCCGAAGGACCCGAGGCTGTTCAACTCGTTCCCTAGCGTGGCGAGCGGCGAGAAGTGCGTCTGGCGACTATAGCAAGAAGAGCGTAAACTGACGAATCCTGCTTGGCCTGAGCAGGAAGACGACCCTTGCTTCTCCGTCGGCGCCTCAAGCGGGAGGGTGAGCTCAACAGTCTTCTTGGCGGAATCTCGCAATAAGTGCTGATGACGCTGATTGCTGCTTGCAGCGGCTACGATTTTGTCTAGCGCCGCATACTCGCAATGCATCGCATCTTGACGCATTCTCTCACACGACGCCTCAAGGGCGAGCTGTTGTTCCTTCAGGTTGCAAGGGTATCGAGAACGCGGACAGGAAGGGTAGAGCGATCCTACTGCGAAGATAGAGAAGAGGGGTATCGAGATGCGGGGCTGTACGGTCGTGAAGTTCGCTTCTGTCTACAGGAAGTACTCGATCTGCGGGTCGTCATAGCGTCAGCGCAGACCTGATGGCGAGCAGAGTGTCTGCACGCACGCTCGAGGGACCCTGCCCCTGTTGAGGCTGCTGCTGCTGCTGCGGTCCATCGCGCTCATTCTCTGGCGCCGCATCAAACACATTGAAGTGCTTCTCGCCATTCGGCCCAACCTCGAGGATACTCGCCATGTTGCCGCATCGATAGCAGTAGTTAGGCGCCGACCAGACGGTCGAGAGCTTGTCGTCGTACAGGACCGAAAAGCCTTCCATGCAGAGCTGGTGCGCGCGGAGGATGTGCACCATGTTGTTGCTGTCGAGGAACTTCTTGACGACTTGTGAGCCGAAGGTGTAGCCGGCGCCTCTGCGGGAGGCGCAGAACTCGTCAGCGGGAAAGGCGTGTGAGACGAAGGAAGCGAACGCACCGTGGTGAGATAGAGAACTCTTCCTTGTCCGGATCAGGATCGGACCAGACGAGGTCCGCCATCGGGCCCTCATGAGGGATTTCTGCGCGCCAAAGCGAGTCAGTCGGGAAGAGTCAAGGGAGGATCCGAGCCGCCATTGCGAAACGCACCTCGGAACCGGTCGATGATCTTGATCTGGTCGAGCGTATGTACCGACGGCGAGAGACCTGTGCGAAAGTGGGAGAAAGCGCAATCAGGACGGCGCTGCTTCACAAGCAACACGGCTCGAAAGGCTTCGAAAGCGGACGCACCTCCATGCACGCAGAATATCCGGTCGTCAATGACCACCGAGAGAGTGAGGAAGTCAAACATGTCGGTGAAGTACTGCCACACCGCCGGGCTTCCATACTTCCGCACGCATTCCGAGTAGAAGCCGTAGGTCTGGGAGAAGAAAGAGGGCGACGATCAGCCTTAGTCTTTCCGACGCCCTGGCAGCATTGTACGCACCTGCGTCACCGCCCGACTCTCATGGTTCCCCCGAATCAGCTGCACACGGTCGGGATACCGCAGCTTGAGGCAGGTAAGGAGCGAGATGGTCTCGACGCTGAAGAGGCCGCGGTCGACGTAGTCGCCGAGGAAGAGGTAGTTGGTGTGTGGGGAGTAGCCGCCTATCCGGAAGATCTCGATTAGGTCGTAGAATTGGCTGCGCAGGTGGTTGAACAGCGGGAGGAGGAGGGCGAGGTTGGCGAGGTCAGCTCCAGGCGGTGTGAGACCATGGCAGCGTGGCAGCTGCTCCAGAGAGGACTACAACGCACCCATGGATGTCCCCGACGACCGTGACAGGCGCCTGGATATGCACGACGTTGCTCTCCCTCATGAGGAGCTCCTTTGTCTTCTCGCAGATCTCCTTGAGCAGCGCCTCGCCCAGCAGCTTCTTCCGCAGGAGAATCGAGATCGCTCCATCGAGGTCGAGCATCGTAAGGCGCCGGGTGAGGAGGGGGCGTGCGGATGTCCCGCAAGTGGCGCCTGGAGGAGGAGGAGGTGGTTGGGTCGCTGGATCGGGTGGTGCAAGGGGTCAAGGCGTCCGCTGAGTCCGTCCTGAATCTATCAAGCGCGTGAAAGCAGTCAAGCGAGGTTGCTGTCTCGAGCCAACCCTCGTCGTCGCTCGTCTCGCTCATCCTCATCAGCTCGAACTTGCCAACCTGCTCGGATGGGGACTGCAGACGCTGCTGTGTACTCGCTCGAACAACTGCTGAATGGACACTTGGCTTCGCTCGAACCGCCCTTCTCGGACGACGACTTGAGAACCCTTGCTCTCCTTGTCAGTCCGGCGACTCTGCTGGACGCGCTGGACCTCGTAGACCGGGACCAGGGTGCGTGCTGCGCTTGCATATGACTCTCGTGGTACCGGTTGATCTTGCGCTCGCCGCTCTCTCGCAGTCGCCCGCATCACTCCTCCGAACGGTCGCCCGCTCTACCAAGTCGCCAGCTCGTCCGGCGGCCAAGCCTACACCGTCTTTCCCGACATCACAGGCGGATACTGTCCCTGTCCCGCGTTCTCAAACGGCGTGATTGCGCGCCAGGCGCAGGGGAATCCAATGATCGTGCGTCGGCCCCTTGCTCTTCTTCACACCCTGCGCAGGCTGAGCTGATACTGGAGGGTGACGGCAGTGCAAACACCTCCTCGCATGCCGGCTCGCCGACCGCCTCGGCTCGTCAGGCTGGAAAGACAAGCACGTCTCGCTCAAGTGGGTCGCGGGGCTCGCGACAAAGTTTGGGACTGCGGTGCCGCCTGGATTGGCGAGTACAAGTGTGGGTGCGGGTGCGGCTGAGGGAGGAGGAGCGGCGGCGGGATGAGGCGCTGGAGAACGCAATTTATCCGGCTCCTTTTCGACTTCTCGACGAATGTCGCGCGCCCTTATCGCCCGAAGGCGCACGTTTCGATCACTACACGCCATCAATACGCGCTAAGGCGGCCTCAGCAACCGTCCCAGCCCATACTCGAGCGATCGCACAAGAGCAGCTCGCGCAAGCCCTGCGCTTGAACGCTCGCCTCGACTCGGTCCGCCTTCTCCGCCCTCGGTCACAACATACGCCAGAGCATCCAGCGCAGTAAAACGGAGACGTAGACGAGCCCTTCAGCGTTTGCAATCACCAGGAGCAAACCGATTTCCCTCTCGCCTCGTCCGGGAAATCGCTCCGCGTTCCGCTGGCCTTCCGCCCGCCTGGCGAGAGCTACGCATGCTCTCGTGCGCTTCATCTGCGCTCCAAAGGGATGCGCCGATTTTTTTCGGCTTGCGACGTCTCCGCGCGGATCCGAGAGCAGCTTACTTCATCACGAAACTCGTCGCCAGCCACGCTCGTTGGGCTCGGACGGGACACGTTTGGACTGCGCGTGCTCAGCTGTGCACACTCGACTCGGCCAGCGACTCGCACGGGCGCAGCAGACGGCAGATCGACCCTCGCTCGCGCAATCGGGTGCACTCGACTCGCAAACGGGCACCCAAACAACTGCCAGCGACAGCCGAGCACACGCACGCTTAGCAGTCTAGACTAGCACTCGCACCGCCTTAGACTCGCCCGCCCGATTTTCACCTCGAACGCACCCTCTCTCGCTCGCCGACGATGGGTCTCCTCGCTCTCGGCACGCCCCTCGTCTGGTCAGAGGCCAAGAAGCACGCAGACTACGTTCGCGAACACGGCATCGAGCAGTTCTTGAACATCTGGGAACGCCTCAAGGACAGGACAGGAGACAGGCTCTTGTGGGGAGACGAGGTGAGCTCTCCATTCTCGCTCATCCGGTGGGCTTGGCTTCGTAGGCGTCGCGCATTGCTGCACAGAGCTCTAGACAGAAGGGAGAGGCGAGCGATGGTGCCGTCGAGCGAGGAACCGCCTCCCGTCGAGCTTCCGGAGAAATGTCGCTTGCCGGCAGGGATCGAGCAGCTCGCACAATCCACCGCAGATTGTCTGAAACGAACTCACTGACAACCCGCGCGCATCCGGCAGATCGAGTATCTCGTCATCTCGTTCGACGAGGCAAACCGCAACGCCTGCCTCTCGCTCCGACAAACCGAGATCCTGCAGGACTTGCAGGCTGATGCCGAGGCGCGGAGAGAGCGTGGGAAGGATGTCGTGAACGGGAACGGGGCGGTTGCGACTGGGGCGGGCAAGGAGTGCGTTTGATCCGATTCTTCGAGAAGGGAGCGCGAGCTGACGTTCGTTTCTCTTGCGGTTTGCAGAGCTTGCATCCCCGTCTTCCATCCCGAGTATGGACGGTACATGCTCGAGTCAACGCCTGGAGCGCCGTATGGTGCGACATTGGAGGACTTGCTGCTCGTAGAGGGCAACATGCGCTTCCGGTGAGTTACGCCGGGCCTTGCTCGCTAGACCACCGGCACCATATCGCGCGCAGATATTTCAGTCAATCCTCGCAAGGCTAACCCTTTCCTCCCTCACAGCCGCAAGCTCGCCAAATCCCGCATGAAGCCGCACGAAGTCCCCCTCACGCTCACCTCCTTCCCCCGCCTCGGCGCGCCAGGACAATTCACCGACCCGTACTACCCGCCTGGTGGAGGCGTTGCGAGGTCGTTGTTCTTGCCGGACGAGGTCATCAACCAGCACGTTCGCTTCCCGTGCGTTTCGACCGATTCTCGCTCATTCAGTTCCCGCTTCGCTAGAATTGAGTCGCTGATGTGCCTTGAACGCGTTGATTGCAGGACCTTGACGGCGAATATCCGACGACGACGCGGCTCAAAGGTCGCGATCAACATGCCCGTCTTTTTCGACGAGAAGACGCCGCGGCCTTTCGTCGATCCGACGGTGCCGAGGGACAGAAACGAGTGGCCTGAGGACAAGAGTCAGTCTCTCGCTCGGTTACCATTCCGGCAGGCTTCGTCGAAGACGCCAAGCCGGCTTGTCGAACCTCCCGAGGAAGCTGACTCTCGCTCGTACCTCCCACAGACGCCCGCGAAGGTGCCGCACTCGACGACCACATCTATATGGACGCGATGGGCTTCGGGATGGGCTGCTGCTGTCTGCAGATCACCTTCCAAGCTTGCTCGGTCGGCGAGGCGCGGAGGATGTACGATGCGTTCGTCCCCGTCGGGCCGATCATGGTGCGTTCCTTCGTTTCCTTACGCAGACGCAGAGCGCGCGCTGATGGGCGGGTTGAATCAGCTCGCGTTGTCGGCTGCTGCGCCGATCTTCCGGGGCTTGCTGGCGGATGTGGACTGCCGATGGGACGTGATTGCTGGAAGCGTTGACGACCGGACAGAAGAGGAGCGAGGGCTGAAGGTACGTGCGATTCGCACTCAGCACGAAACGGCTGACTTACTCGCCCGCCCACGCGTAGCCTCTCCAGCACGACCGCTTCCACATCCCGAAATCCCGCTACGACTCCGTCGACTGCTACATCGCCGACACGCCCTTCAACCGCCCCGAGTACAACGACAACAACATGCCTATCGACCCCAAGATCCGCGACCACCTCATCGAGCGCGGGGTCGACCCGCTTCTGGCGACTCACTTTGCGCACTTGTTCATTCGCGACCCGATCGTCATCTTTGAGGAGACGATGTGCCAGGACGACGCGAAGAGTTCGGACCACTTCGAGGTGCGTCGGCGCCTGGCCATGCGGATTCACCGCTTCGAAGAGCAGGCGCTCTTGGCTGACTCGAGATGCCCATGTGCGCACAGAACATCCAATCGACCAACTGGCAAACCGTCCGCTTCAAGCCCCCTCCGCCCGGCTCGCCAATCGGCTGGCGCGTCGAGTTCCGGTCGATGGAGGTCCAGCTTACCGACTACGAGAACGCCGCGTTCTCTGTCTTCATCGTCCTCCTTACGCGGGCGATCATGACGCTTGGGTTGAACTTCTATCTGCCTATCTCGAAGGTGCGCTTTAAGTTCCACCCGTTCAGGACTCGCTCTCCTCCGAAGGGCCCTAGACTGAGGCGACGACCTGATGATGCAACAGGTCGACGAGAACATGCACCGAGCACACCGCCGCGACGCCATCAATACCCAGAAGTTCTACTTCCGCAAGAACGTCTTCGACCCCAAGCCTGGCCACCCCTGCGACCCTTCTCTCGACGCTGTCGAGCCTCAGCCCGTCCCGCCTACCGTTGACGATGCCACTCTCCCCTCCGCATCTGCATTCGGTCGCGGACGAACGAACGGATTCGCTGCGCACGTCCGCGATGCCTCCGTCGCTTCTTCCGACTACCCCGCCTCCCCGACCGTCTGTTCCTCACATGCGCCCTCTCGCTCCGCATCGCCAACCCCCGACATCGCTTTCGGACCAGTCGAGGACGAATTCGACGAGTTCTCGATCAACGAGATCATCAACGGGTCGAAGGAGAAGGGCTTCCCTGGGTTGATTGGGGTTGCGGAGCGGTACCTCGACGGGCTGGAGAAGGAGGGTAAGGTGAGCGAGGAGGTGAGGAAGGGGATTGACAGGAGCTTGGAGTTGATTCGCCGACGAGCAGACGGTGCGTGCGGAACTCCTCGTACTGAAGCGGGCGGATGCTGACAGCTCTGGCATCGTCGTAGGCTCGCTCATCACCCTCGCGACCTACATCCGACGCTTCGTCCGCTCGCACCCGTCCTACGCGCACGACTCGGTCGTTTCGCAAGAGATCAATTACGACCTGATCCGCGCACTCGACGAGATCGAGCAGGGCAAGCGGCCAGCTCCTGAGCTCCTGCCCGACGGATGGCGGACAGGCTACGACGAGGACAAGAAGGGCAAGGGCGCGTTCGGCAGGTGTTGCGGAGACGTTGTGGGCGATGTTGCGGCGGACGATGCGCAGAGCGAGGGCAGCGACGGCTTGAGTGCGGGCGCAGCGGTCATCGAGGACAAGGGGTTGTGCTGTGGGCCTATGGAGCCTGCGCCGGCGGCCAAGGAGGCATAGACGGCGGCGCAATCGCGATCGAGGGAGGGAAGGAAGTGGGCGGCAGTCTCTCTGTCGTCGCTCGCTCGGCTCGAGCATCTGTTTCTCGGTATTCGTGACTCTCTAGCATTGCAACACAGTCCTGTACGCACTCAAACACGCTCTTGGAGAGGTTGTATCCTGGGGCTCCCCCTCGCCGGGCCACCTCGAGCTCCTCCCACTCGCCGAGCGCAGAATGTCGACTGAAGGGGACGAGGCCCAGCAGCAGCCAAAGCGCCCGCATGCAGTAAGTTTGCGCCTGTACTCCTCGCTCTTCGCCCCGTCGTGCTGCTCGCTCACCAGCTCCCCATCGCACCGCGTCCCGCATTGTTCGTTCCTTCGTTCACACCGCGCAGTGTCCCCATCCAGGATGCACAGCGTCCTATGCTCGCATCGAGCATATGGGTCCGTCTGCAGCGCGTCCTTACGACGTCTTCTTCTCGCTGACCTCGAGTTCCCCCACTCCAGAGCGGCACGCCAAGTCGCATGAGCAGGGGCACGGGTACAGCTGTCAGGAGGTGCGTACGCTTTGTTCCGAGGTGTAGGAGGGCGCGCTGACCTGGGATCGTTGCGGACAGTGCGGAAAGAGCTTCGCCCGGTCGTGAGTTTCCTTCTGCCTTCTCCCTCTCTCATTCGTGATGGCTGATCCTTTTCTGCAGCGACGTCTTGCGACGACATCTGAAGGTGAAGCTTGCTGGATATACGGGAGAGAGACAGAGGCTGACGACAAGCGCGCAGATCCACACTCGCGACACGAACAAGGCCGCGGCACCCGCTGCACCGGCGAACGGCGCATCTGTAAGCGCCAACAGGGTTTTGCGAGGTTCGTTTCTTTGCTAATGAGTTGAAGAGGACGCGGACTGACCCTTTGACGCAGCCTGCAGAGCCTGCGCGATCGCCAAGGTTCGTCCTTTCCCTTCGTATCTTTTTAATCGGCGCATTGACGGTCATGTCCTTCCACGCAGATCAAGTGCAGCGGCCACGCACCCTGCCAGCGCTGCAGCGAGCTCAACAAGGAGTGCGAGTACGAGGCAACGGCTTCAAGTCGTCCGGCGAAACGAGTCCGTCTCGAAAGCGAGGACTCGACGCGGGACCTGTCGGTCGGGGACTTCCCTGACAGCGGACACGGCGAAGCATCGTCATCGGGCTTCGACTCATCAGTCCCGACTTTCTCCCTCCCGCCCATGCCCCATTCGTCCGCTTCCTACCCTCCTCCCGGCTCGACGTCTACCGCCTCGCACATGCCCCCGACCTGGGGCGACCTTCCACCTGACTCTCTCACCGGCGACCTGAGCTCCCTCTTCGGCTCGACGTCTCCCGGCTTCTCAGGTCCTCCCGCCGCCTCGACCTCGACTCTTTCGCCATCCCTCCCGCAACCACCACAAAACGGCAACTCAAACGGCGACATGCTCGACACGTTCGTCAACTTTGCCCTGCACCAGCACAACCCTACCTCTTCACTCGAATCGGACCTTGCCGCCGCTTTCTACCTCCCGACGGGCGACCAGATGTTCTGGAGCTCCTTCCTCACTTCCCCCCCCGCCGCACCTCTCCACCAACCACCTCAGCTCTTCCCTGCCGCGTTTCCATACGAGAACCAGCAGCATCAGCAGACGGACTTCCATGCGGCCGCATCTTCGTCGCCCGCAAGCAATGCGGGTGGACTCTCATC